CAGTCTTGAACAACAGTCTTTGCTGAGTGAAAGGTTGTTGGTAATAATGTTTTTTCATGTTTCTTGGATGTTTGTGGGTGCAGGCAATTTTTATTCAAGACGTGTTTGTTTCTGTTCATCAGCTGCAGCAGAACGAATGTTGAAAAAGAGGATAAAATCATGGCACTGAGATTTACATGCTGTTTTATTTTCAGTATTTCCTTTCGATTTCACAAAAGAGCGCTTGATCGATCAGAGGTAAAAAGGATCATGTCTCCTCCACTGGTCCTCAATTTTTTAGTCTCTTAAACTTAATCTTTGCTGATAAACAGTTGTTGATAAAAATGTTATGTTTTTCTCTAAGGAAATTTTTTGTGAGGTTGTTTTGTATTTTTTAGACAAAGTTGTTTCTTTTAATTCGCTGCTTGGCCAGAGGAAGATTAGCTATATATTTAAATGACAGAGCAAGAATTTCTGCAACAAACAGCAAACATTTGTTGAATACATCACGCGATGCTATACATACAGCCACTCCCTAATGTGACTGTGGGCGGCTTTTGGCCTGGAGTTGATGTCATAAGACGGTGCCCAACCTTCACGAGTGTTTCGACCCTTAACTGCTACACCCTCCAGCTGCGGGTAGGCAGTGATGGCCTGGTCACTACCCATCACCTGGACAGAATAAATCACAATACGTCACCAGGTCCTGAAGGCCTGTGCGGAGCAGCTCTATGGGATTCTACAGCAGCTTTTCACCCCTAGTCTGACCCTGGAGACAGCCCAGTAATGTGGAAGATCTCCTGCCTTGTTCCAAAACCAAAGAAGACCAGAACCAAAGAAGCTTAAGCTTGGTTTATGACCCTACGCACTCTGGTGCACCTCCCCAAAATTGTAGGCGACCGCAGACAGTGCAGCAGATAGCTGGGAGGAGAGTAAGGAGGCCTCTGGTTGGTCAATTCTACCACTCTACACTATGCTTATTTCCTGTTTTAGTACCTAATGGCTGAAACTCTGGCTGTAGTGCAGTCCACAACGCCTGGCACACCTCGGACACTGTCCCAGATACCATGCAGGATGCTCGTTTGTAGCTCTGTGCAACAGTCTGTTGGTTTGCACCCGAAGCCAAAACACTTAGCCCCACGGCCAGTCTTTGGGGAACACTCGCGGGTGAACTTTATGTTGTCCGGCGTTGGATGAGGGGTTGTAGATGGCGAACAAGCTCGTCAAACCGACACACAGACACCCACAATCCTAGCTAGTTCGTGATTGTCCCTCTTGCATTGTGGCGTAGAATAACATAGAACAGACCACGCTTCAAAACCTTACTTTGTCTGTTCAGCCAGTTGAAGAACCCCTCCTTTAATGACCGACCCTTGACAATCATAGACAGGTTTCAGGTATTAGAGGAGACAATCCCCCCTTTAAAGACACTCTCCCCCTTTAATGACTGATCTTCAGAATCATAGACAGGTTTCAGATATTACAGTCTAACAATGGGACCAAACGACCCACTCGTTGGTTTCTATTTACATGTTTCCAAGCGATACAAGGTCTTGTCTATATAAAGCCTCAAGCTCACTGCAGATCCAGACATTTGAATTGAGAAAACTTCCTGGACGGGAAGCGAAATGTCTTCAAACCTTGGAACCAAGTTCAGTGGAATTTTTTTTTAAACTTTTACAGAGGATTTGTTTTTATATTCAAAGCAACCAGGTTACATTGAATAGTTATCAGCCCCCTAAACCCAGAAGTCTAGTTGATTTTATTTTTTTTTTGGAAGGATGCCTAGCCTAATCAATATAGTCTATTAACCAAAAGCAATATGCATGGTCTGGTTGTTACATGCCAGGTACGCCGGTTATTGACCTTGACCAAGGCACCTCACAGTAGAACTGTAGTCAGTGCCTGGACTGGCATGGCTATCACTGCCCCTGCATAGTTCCCACTGGGATCAGCTTCATAGTCATGGTAGGACTGCCGCATGGTTTTACTTTCGTTTTCTAGCATGAACAGACTATTAATGATATAGTCATGACCACATCAACCTAGATCGAAGGGGACCGAGACAAGACCAAAGGTCTCGGTTGGTGTGATCTTGACTACAACACTACGGCCTATGTAAGCTACACTAGATTGAAGTCCAGACTTTGATTAGGCCACCTCTTACCTTTTTGTTGTTGTTACTCCTCAAGCCATCAAGCTGTACAACCCCCCTCCATCTTGTGCTAAACATTACCTATTGTCCCTCATGTGCAATATTCTTCTCTCTCTCACTGTGCAATAACACATTCCAACTACTGTGTAGTCTGTGTCATTTTTACTTATTTATACGGTCAGTTTATCTCTGCAGTACAGTGCAATAATAAGTCAACTACTGTGTAGTCTTCCCGTAGATTTCTGCTGTGCAGATATTCTTAAAGGAAACATATTCCAGGACATTATAACTTTTCTTATGCTCTTTTTTACTACATACACTCTTTTTATATTGTCTGTTGTATTTTTATATTTATTGGCATCTTGCTTTAACTCTTTGTACATTATATAAGCTACTGGAACCAGAATTTCCCTGAAGGAGTAATCCCAAGGGATAAATAAATAAAGCTGAGTCTAGTCTTTTTTATCACATCTTAGTCTGGCTACTGTGGATCAGTTTTTAGGGAAGAAAGCAGCCAAGATCTTCTCTCTACCACCAACATCTTTAACTGGAATGTCCTTTGCTTAAGTTTTGCATTTTTTCAGTCATCCACTGAATATATATTTCTAGGGATGCACGATATAATCGGCCCCCTATCGGTATCGGCCTTAAAACTGAATATCGGACATCGGCCACCCCACCGATATTTAACCCGATATTTGATCAGCTTCTGAGTTTCTTAAAGTCTAAAAAAAAAAAAAACAACTTCTTCTTTCTCAAAAACTTCTCTTTTACAAACTTCTAAAGACGAGGGAAAAAATATTGATACATTAAAATATCACAATATCTTGTTATGCTGATATATTGCCATTTAAAAACACCATATCAATCTCTTTTACTAATGAAATATTGCTATATGTCATCGTTATGCTACGAAATCCCCCGAAAATTCACCAAATGTTGCCATATTTTTATATGTTGATATATCGACGCGGTATCGATCTATTTTACTAAAAAAATCTCACAAGAATTTGCAAAATATCACGAGAGTTTGTAACAGAACGATGAAATTTCACCAGATTTTGAAAGTAAAATAGATAGATACCGCGTTTTTAAAAATCTATTTTATATCAGCATATGAAAATATATTTGAGTATATTATTTTTCAAAGTGTCAGAAATGGATAACAAAACTGCTATTTTCAATGACTACTTATTTTTGTCCAGCTTTAACATCGGTATCGATATCGGTTATCGGCTACATGAGTTTTAAAATATCGGCATATCGGATATCGGCCAAAATCCCAATATCGTGCATCCCTATCTATTTCTATAAGTTCTACATCCTCAACATGTATTTAAGTAACTGTAGGACGGATCTTAATGTTCCGGTTCTCTTCTTCAAACTAACGTGAATGTAAGCATAATTAGTGCAGCTCCCTGATTTCTGTTTTTTTTAATATATATTTTATTCAAAGAGCTGGTTTAAATTTAAAGAATTGAGCTGTTTATGGTGTTCCATAAGATGATCTGTCTAGATTTCTCTGTTTCAGGCTGAAAGCGTCACAGCAATTCATGCTGATTTGCAGCCACCAGCTGAATCCTCTTCAGATGTCAGACCTGCTGCACCCACTCGTTCCAGTTCTTCTGCTGGATTTAGTCCAGACATAGTTTATGGTGGTGTTCAAGGTCCTGGACCCGTGACTTTTCGTTCTCGCCGAGTAGTGCCATTTGGAGCAACAGATGCTGCTCCTCCTCTGTGTGGAGCTGCTTCACCTTCTCCTTCTACCAGTCAAAATAGAGTGACAGCTATCTATGGCAGGTTCCCAATGACAGCTGGAATGTTTGCAGCTCCTCCTCCTCCTGCCAGTTTCCAAAGCAGAGCTGAAACATTCGGAGCTCTTCCTCCTCCTCCTCCTGCCAGTTTCCAAGGCAGAGCTGTAATATTCGGAGCTCTTCCTCCTCCTCCTCCTCCTGCCAGTATCCAAAGCAGAGCTGAAACATTCAGAGCTCCTCCTCCTTGCTCTATCACAGTCCGAAAACATATGGGTCTAATAGATCAATCTGCCGGGTTCCAAAGCAGTTTTGGTCTGAGTGGAACTGCTTCACCTTTTCTTTCTGCCAGTCAAAATAGAGCGACAGCTATCTATGAAAAGCTCCAAATCCAAGCTGGAATGTCTGCAGCTGCTCCTCCTCCTCCTGCTTCTATTAGACTTCTATGTTCTTCTAGACTTCTAGAGAAATATCGAGATCGAGAGAGATATGAAGAGAGAGATCCAATGTTAGGAACTACTCTTGCTTCTATTAGACCCTTAGAGACAGATCGAATGTCAGAAGCTTCTCTTCCCCCTAAACACGGAAGGAGGAGTCCAATGTTAGGAGCTCCTCTTAGACGCAGAATGGAAAGTCGAATGTTTGAGGCTCCTCCTCCTTCTGCACTTCATATCATGGACCCACATTCTGGTGTTGCAGAGGAACCGATGCAAGTCGACCCGTCACCTTTAGAGTGAGTTCTGAGACACACAACATGGCCCATCTTTATAAGCACTCAGCTGATGGTTTCCATGTTATGAGCTGAAACTGAGTCTTTTCTACTTAATGATTCAGGTCCAGAGAGCCGGATCCAGAAGAACTGAGACTGAAGTGGACCAAGATCTTCCAGCTGCAGAACCCAGTAAGATTTTCTGACCTGCTTTAATGTTGGAACCGTATGTTATGCGTACGTTAACCGTATGTCATCTGACCTCGGCTTAAAGTCTTCATGTCCTCCTGCCCTATTGTTCAGGATTGATCTAATCTAAAGGATGGAAAAGTCTCAGCTAAGGTTGTCTAACGTTTCTGACTCGGCTCTTTGGTTCAGTGATTGTTTTTTATCTGTGTTTGGGTCAGGTAAAGGGACTGAAATGCCTCCATTCTGCTCTCATTTCTCTAGACATTTGTTCCAAAAGTCTAGACCTGATATCGTCTTCCAATAGGAGAAGTTGGAGCACAAGAATTTCCTTTTTTTGTTGAGTTTTTGCGGCACTAGTGGCTCTTTTTTGACAGCAGACTGACAGGAAAGTGTGTGTATGAGAGGGGGGGGGGGGGGGGGGGGGGGGACATGTGGCAAAGGAGCACAGGTCGGATTCGAACCTAGGTCAGCCACAAGGACCTCCATACATGGGTTGTGTTTGCGTTAACCCGCTGCGCCACCTGCACGCCCCGGAAGTTTTAATGGTTTTAATGTGGTTCTGAAAAAACTGAGGGTTTATCGATGTCAGTCAAACTAGAAGAGGACAGGTTGTAGGCGGACCCTCTCTCCGTTCAGCCCATAGTGAATAACCAAGCATTAGTTCATCTCTGCCTCGGATTAATCTTCATCCCAGCCTCCCAGTTTATCCTGTTCCTCAGATAAAAATTAACACCAACCTTATCATACGTGACTCAGAGCTCGTCCATTTACTTCACTTTATGCCCTACATAGCCCAGCTGAGACCCTCACTGACCTCCTCAGCCAAACCTGCTGACCTCTTCACCTTATAAAGCAGGCAAACACGGAGCAACATTTTTCAATCATTACACGTAGCTGCAGCTCACACTGTATGTCGAAACCGCAGGGTTTAAAAGTTCACAACTCATGATGTAAGAAGTGAGTAATGTCTATCTATATGCAGTGTTGGGCACATTACTTTGAAAAAGTAATTAGTTACTAGTTACTTCTCCCAAAAAGTAACTGAGTTACTAACTGAGTTACTCCACAATAAAAGTAACTAGTTACTAGTAAAAGTAACTATTGTGTTACTTTTGCGTTTCTCGACCCCGTAACCCTCACCACCCGGCCCCCACCTTCTCGCCGTGTGTTTCCAAAGCCAGCTGAATAGAGCGGACGACAAAGACAAGAACCTGCAGAGAGTTTAGCATTTATTGCAACTCAATGTAAATGACATCAGGGGGGGGGACGCTATATAGCGTATATATATGAAGCGGTGTAAATATCATCAGGCTGCATTACCTCGAATCATGGGTGTGAAGGTTTTTAACAGGGTGTTCAGATCTGGTGAGTGAATGAAATTATTAACTGGGGATGTCTAATTCTGAAATCCTGTGTGTTTGGGTTGTTATAGATACTGCAACATCTATCTGTCCATCCATCCATCCATCTATCTCCCAAAAAGTAACTGAGTTACTCCACAATAAAAGTAACTAGTTACTACTAAAAGTAACTGAGTTACTCCACAATAAAAGTAACTATTTACTACTAAAAGTAACTGAGTTACTCCACAATAAAAGTAACTAGTTACTACTAAAAGTAACTGAGTTACTCCACAATAAAAGTAACTAGTTACTACTAAAAGTAACCGAGTTACTCCACAATAAAAGTAACTATTGCGTTACTTTTGCGTTTCTCGCCCCCGTAACTATCTATCTATGAATCTATCGATCTCTATCTCTATCTATCTATTTGTATCTATCTCTATCTATCCATATCTATCTATATCCATCCATCCATCCATCCATCCAGATTTCTCCCTTTCTCCATATAGGCTAATGATCGTTCACGCTCTCCATAGTTCCCCTGTGGCGCGAGCACAGGGCGACTGTTGCGTGTCTTTAGCTAGCATGCGTGTTTCCTGTCGCTTGCGCGGTGAATTGTGCCGCCTGCGCTGTGCGGAGATGCAGGGGAAACGGTATCTGATGGGGAAACGCAGCTCGACGTAACACCGGTATTTCCATCTGAGGAGGAAAACGCTGTTTTGCTGCAGGAGTCCTCCTGACTCTCCATCTCTCTGTGTGTGCTGTACGTTAACACCCGCCAGCAGAAACACCCACCTACCCAACTGACAGACGGAATCTCACTATACATCAGCCATTCTCATCCTCCCCTCTCTCATGACAAGGCGCGCACGAGTCCTAGCATGAAAAAAGGTTCATTGTGCGACCTGAGTAACGCGCAGTAACGGGGTGTCTGCAATGGTAACTGAGTTATAGTTACAGTCAAAGTAATTAGTTAGATTACTCGTTACTAAAACAAGGTAACGACGTTGGTAACGGCGTTGGTAACGGCGTTGGTAACGCCTAGTAACCACCTTATGACGGCCGACTGTATTTCAAACATGTTTGATTTTCTCCTGACCGTATGATTCCTGATGGGAGGTGGTCATTAGAGGCTGATGGCCCCTCGTTACCCCAGTACACTACATGACGCACCATCAGGCGGAAAGTCGGCCCAGTCAGAAAAAATCTGGCACGTCAAAAAATCGTACAGTGTTTAAACAACTTCCCAACACGCTGGCTAGAAATCTGGCGTCCTTCAGTGTTTTCTGAGGTCTAACATGTGGATCTTCTTCCTGTGCTGCAGGACGGATACTGGGAGCTGACTGCTGAGCTGGGAGGACTGATCGATCTCAACGTGGATGTGTTTGCTAACGTGTTCCTGAAGAACCGAGGCATCCATTCTCTGGGTGAGCGTTCTTCTCTTTTCTACATAAAACCTGTCTAATACATTTTCCGTCCAATCTCTCCCTGATTGTCCTTCTAGCTTTAAGCGTGGATTATTTTAGCTTTCTGTTGATTGGTGTTAGACGGGCCTTTCACTAACTTCTGCAAAGCCCTGATGATTTTCAACTGAAAACCAAGGAACAGAACTTTGGTCTTTTGATGGGTTTTCGTCTTTTTCTGAACAAACTGTATTTCTTAAACTTAGAACGTGGAACCTGTCTAAAACTCCCCCCCCCCAGCCTATTTTCACATTAATTGTCTGTTAGGATAATTATCGTTGATGACGTGTGAGTTTATTACACCTTAATATTAGCTGCCTGTTGTGTGTCACAACTGATGTTTATCACAATAGTTTATCTAAATAAGACATTTCATTTGTCCGGATATACAGTTATAATCTTTATTCGGCACGTGGCAAAGATTTGGGAATAAAACGAGGGCAGCGCCCCACAGCTAAGATCGAAGTGTAATATTTTGATAAGGCTGGAGCCATGGATGTCTAATCATCTGCTACATCTGTATGATGTGATGATGTAGCAGACTGGAGATGCATAAAATGCTTCTCTAACTGTTGATCATGGCCACTTCCTGAAAGGTATGCAGCTGCCTTCTGTAAACTCTAAGCAACTTCTCTGATCTGAGAAAAAGAATCAGATAGAGAAAGCTTCTCACTGTAGACACAGAGAGCAAATCTTTTTTAGCTCATAACCGTTCCACAGTTTTATTCTTGTTCTCTCCTTCATATATTTAGTAACGTGCTTCAGTTACCCGTTTAAAGAAAGTCGTAGGTCTCTGATTCACAGCAGATAAGATGCAGGCAGCCAGGCATGAAAAAAAATGGTTCGAAGAATCAGGGTTTTTGTTTGCTGCCTTTTTAGGAAGCGATTGAAATACTCTGAACTTCTCAGTCGTTTAGTTTGGTTTTCTCCAGTCTTGTAAGTGAACTGTGTGTCTTGAAGGTGTGAAGGCCCACGCTAACATCCTGAAGCTGGTGGCGACTCTGCTGGTTCTGCAGCTGATGAGGGTGGAGAAGCTGGAGGAAGGCAAACTGCTGCAGAGTCTGTTTTGCCTGAAGGAGCCGTCAGAGTCCAGGTCAGAACCATAACAAAGAAAAACTCATGTCTGCCAGCTGTTCCAGATGTGTTTAGATGTTTCATTGTGAGGTGCTGCCTGACTCGTTAATCGGTACCTAAACCTTTGGCTCCTGCAGGCCGGAGCGCTGGCAGCAGGTGAAGAAGGCGGTGGACTGGGTTTGCTGGGCCGACCGGGAGTATCCGTGCATCTGCAGCCGGCTGGAGTTCGGTTGGAGCTGGGAGTCGAGCACCCGGCAGCTGCTGGGCTTCGATCGCTTCCCCCCCTTCTCACCTCTCAGCAGTCTGAACCTGCAGAGAACCTCAGCTCTGCTGCAGGTCCACTGATGGAGCACAGGAGGAGATGGAGGAAGAGAAGCTGAAAGGAAGCCTGCATTTAAATAAACCAGTTAGTTAGACTGGTTTCTACTGGGAAACGAATACAGATGGTGGAAATTATAATTCATCAGATTGGTTTAACATTTTTTTGTTTTTCTGATAAGTATTTTAATCTGCTTTTATGCTTTTCCTTCATCTTAAAATAGAAATATAAGAAGCAACAGTTAAACCGAAGCATCAGAACTTGTTTTAAATGTATTAATCAGTAACTTGTGAAAATCACTTTTAAACATGTTAAGGTTCTATGGGGTAATTATGCGGCAGATATTCTTACAGAGGTGGTTTGTTTTTATGTTTTATTTGAATCATTTTATGTCTGTTAATAAAATTCTGGGATAAATGAACGAACAGCTTCCTTGACGTCTCATGATGGCAGCTTGTTGTTTTTCTTTTTAACGATTTTATCTCTTCTTATTATTGATTATTTTTCTCTCTTCCTTGAAATTTATGAACGCATTACAAATTTTTTATATATTTTTTTCCATTGTGGCTCTTAATGTCTCCTTTATTTGATTTTCTGCACTGGGCCTGTATACACCGTCCCTCTGTATGTATGCAGCCTTTGGTTTGATATCAGCAGTTTGCTTTGGAAATAAACATCTGATTAAATATCGTATTTTAAGCTGTAATTTACTCGTGTTTTATCTTATCATGAAACATTTTACAATGTTTTGTCTTTCAAAAACAAAACTAGTTTCATATTTTACCCAGAAATGTAGCTTTTATTGTTAAAGTCTTCTAATACTTCTAATACTAGTGTAACCGAGCGTTTGGGTCCGTGTTATGAACTTTATATGCAATAACGGGACAGGAGACAGGACGGAGTTTTCGGCGGTAACCCCGCTTCCGGTTTTTATTTTCTTCTTCTACTCTCAACACAACCAAAACTCACAAGCTCCCCCTGCTGTACACCCAGCGAACTTTCACTCCCCGGCAACAGGGATGGACACAACTTTAACATACAGACACAGAACAGTCTGTTGCACTAGTATTAGCGCCAGGCTAGAGATTTTTTTAGTTATTTCAAGAATAAAGTCGTAATATTATGAGAATAAAGTAACATTCCGACTTTATTCTTGTATGTTATACCTGCTAACATGTTTAGCGTGTTTTAGCACCCGGTCATTATGGCTGATTGTTAACCGCTGACCTGTCAGAGTCTGTTGGTCGGTCAGTAAAGACCAACTCATAGGTGGTGAAATTAAAAACACTCGGAGCAGCTTCTGGCTTTAACCAGCTGTCCGATAGAGCTAGCGGTCCATCGGGAATTGGCTCTGTTCGCATTCATGGGCTGCGTCCTCCGAAGGCCAGATTCATAGGATGATTACGTCATAGAGCGGCGCCGAGGTCTGGCCGGATTCCAAGACTCCTCTTTATGCGGCTTACGAATGCTTCCTTTTTACCTGATTTGAAGGACGGGTCCGATGTGTCCTATCTAGCCTTGGATATCCCAGGATTCACTGCAAGCCGGCTGCTCTGTGCTCAGAGGAAAAAGGTACTTGGCGCCGACCAGTGGTGAATTTTGAAAGTTCAGTTTAATATAATACAAGTCTGTGAATAGTTCCATCTGATATGAAATAAAATAGTTGTTTTAATGGTTATAGAGTCAGATATGTGGCGGTAATGTTTGATTTATCTAAAGGTTTTTATCTGTTACTGTGTAAATGGGTTTGGATGGAATTTAAGGACAGATTCTAATATATCTGCAGAGTGGGGACTATAAATCTGATAGTTTTATTTTTTTATTGCCATTTTGTACAATTTGCTTAACTAAGTATTTTTTGTTGTTGAATATAAGAGATTTTACATATATATTTTTTCATACATACATTGTTTAGATTTACTTATATATTTCTACCCCTTTTATAGAATTGAATAGAAAATGTCTTTATTGTCCCACAATGGGCAAATTTACAGCAGCAGAAAGATTATTAAAAATGGTCACACAAATGAGGACCTTAGAAAAATAATAAGAATGACAGAAAAGGGAAGTAAAAATATTAACAATAAAATACTGTAAAGTGTTTTAACAAAATAAAACTGGAGAATAAATAACCAATATGCAGCTATGGACATTTTTACAGTAATGGATATTTGAAAATAGATCAACATCAGAGATGTGCAGAATGACAGCAGCAGGTTATTTAACTGACTAAGGTTTCTATCATTACATTTGATTTTATCTGTTCCTGCTCCCGGTGGTTGGAACCTTTATTTCACTCTGGATTATTGTGAATGTAGCCTTTGTTCACTTAACAATACAAAAAATTGAAAATAAAAATAGTTTTGAAAATTTCAGCATTTATTATTTTCCTGCTCCCTGTGTCAACTATCACGGTTGCTAGGCGACGGAGCGTGCAGCGGTAAAACCCACCGAAGGATAGAACCGTTTGAATCGGTCTGTGACAGTGTACGTCACTTCCGCAAAAGCGCAATTCATTTAGGGTAGTTAGCGCCATTTCTGTGGTGAAGAGACAGCAGCAACCATAGATATCTATGGCAGCAACGAAGAAAAGAAAACTAACAGAGAGCAGACGTGTTCTAGTTGCTTCTTTGGAAATAATGGGACACTGGTGCTGCGTCAAAGGATGCAATAGTAATTCTAAACAGAAAACAGCAGATGCGGCCTTACGGTTTTTCGTATTCCCCACTTGGAAAAAAAATACGGACCGCAGACAGAGGACTTAACAAAGAGGCGTCGGGCTCCGTGGGTCGCTGCTGTAGGAAGGAAAGACATCACGTTTCATAAAATATCTCCTCATGTTCGTGTTTGCTCTCGGCATTTTCACAAAGGTAAGTCCTTATAAATATACACTAATAGCAATCAACACGCTGAAATGGTTTGCTTATAAAGTTGCAGGAGTTCATGTAAACCTACTGAAACATGCTGTGGAAGAGAAGCGGAAAGTGATTTGTTTTATTTCTTTTTTAGACCGCTAAAATTTAATAAATAATGCATTCTCTGTATATAATCATTTACACAATCTGCAATACAAATATATTTTTTTTATGAATAAATATATATAAATACAGTGTACATATAAAAACACTGTACATACCCACTCGTCAGCCAACTCACTGTATTTATTCATCCTGTGTAATCTACTTAAGTTTATTTATTATAATCCTTTGTTCGTCCTGTAAGCTTTTCAGTTTATTTATTTACCTCTGGCCTTACTAATCCGATGTACTTGTGCTGTTTTGGTATAGCAAATTTCCCCACTGTGGGAAACAAGCATATCTTATTTTATAACTCATCTAATCTAATGGGCTCTGTTATTAAGGTGCTTTATATAGTGTTTTGAATAGATGTGTAAAACACTCAACCTTTCATCTACTTTGCAGGTCAACCCGCATATGAGATGATGGAAACTGACCCAGACTGGGCTCCATCCCTGCATCTGGGCCACACTGACATCAGACCAACAGACACAGAACGCTCTTTAAGACGTGGTTATCGGGAACAGCTGAAAAAGAATGCCCTGCAAGCAACTGAAACGGGGCTCCATCAGGCTGATGAAAGGACAGGAAGGACAGACAGAATGTAACCTGTGTGTGCTCAGGTGTGCAGAGATGAACCGTCTTTTGGAAGAAAACAGAGAGCTGCAGCGTGAACTTGATGAGCTGCAGATCTCTGATTGCTTCTTTGGAGACAGTAATGAAAAAGTCAAGTACTATACGGGTCTACCAAACTTGGCAACCTTTATGGCTTTGTTTAATTTTCTGCTGCCTCTCATGTCTGCTCAAAATAAAATTCTCAGTCCATTTCAAATGCTTCTGTTAACCTTCATGCGTCTGAGATTGGATCTGCCCTCACAACACCTTGCTTATCTCTTCCGTGTTTCACCAAAGACAGTGTACAATGAAATGGTGTCATTTTTATATGCAAATCTAAAGCGTGCAATTGTGTGGCCAGATAGAGACACCTTGCACAAAATTATGCCTAATCAGTTTGTGGAGGCCTTTGGACATAGAGGCACAGTGATTATTGACTGTTTTGAAATTTTCACAGAGAAACCAGCTAATAAATGAATGCCAGATCAAGTACTGTTTCAACTTTATTCTTCTTTTTTATTCTTCTTTTCACACAAATAGAATTTTGCTTTTTTTAAAGTTACTTTTGAAAAATAACAGCAAAACAAATATAAGTTTCACCATCACTTCAAATATTAACAATGTTTCTGAGGTTGTAAAAATGTGTGTACAATAAAGAGTGGATTTGAAACAAGTGTTGTTATTATCTTTTCAATCAAGCAGAGAATTTATGAAAATGCAATACAAAATCTCAAATACATAAATAATGCAGAACAGTGCAAAGCTTCAAATGTTTTACTTTTTCTTCCTCCCTCGTATATAGCAGATTGCTCTTTAGATGAAATTAGAAGATTTTCATTTTCCCAGGACTTGTTTTCACTGTGGTCTTCCGTAGAGATATGACCTAACAGGTGATATCTGTGAAGAAGACTGCAGATCCCAGTGAAAACAGGCCTGGATAAAGTGAACAGCAAATACAGTGTGCAACTTATCAATGTGCAAAAATTATGACAAGTTTTTTCGTTCAGCCTGATGAGCAGCACAAACTGCTCTTATAACTGCAGCTATCTGTGCAACTGCCCACAACATCTGCCTTGTCACTGTAATAATAATATATAATATCGTTCCCTAGCAGCTTTAGAAAGTTTGTCTGGGTAGGGTATCCGTTCAGTTTTCTTGTTCTTTTCCATTTAACTGATAATCCTCACTGCTGGCAGCGCTCTCCTCTTGTTTTCTGCTGTTTTGTTTTTCTTCCGCTCACCACAAAAATGGCGCTAGGGGGCGTGTCAGTCACGTGTCTGACAAAGACCGATCCACGGCCAAACCTCTTCCGGTCTCCTTATTTTCAAGGACTTCGAAGGATCCACTCCAGGGTAGACCGGGTCCTTGGAGGATGCAGCCCAGGATTTCGAACAGAGCCATAATCTCCACAGCACGTGCCCCTAAACTGCCTCTTCTTCCTGGAGTCACGCGGTGAATATGGCCTCCAAACCATTAGCAACGTGCTTTAGACGCTTTCAGCTCTGTCTTCCATCAAACAGTTTGCGTGGTATATGTGACATAATGGACTCTATACGTGATTACACCCCTACCTTATGTGTGTGTGTGGGTTTTGGATGGGCGGAAGCATGTAGTAGCCGCAGTTTGCCACAAGGGGGCGCATGAAACACAGTGAGCTCTCCCGCCTCAGCAGATTAGAACATGCTGGAACAGCAGCTGAAGGAAGTACGTTTAACGATGATCAACATACAGAATCATTCCGCCGCTCTCCTCTATGTGGACAGGTCAAAGTTTACCTCATCTTTACAAGTCAGGTATCATAACATCTTTCTAGTTTTCCAGTAGAAATTAAAACATGAATGGGTGACCATGTGCTGGTATTCACCATGATTACCAGCAGTGTTTCCAGAATGAGCGGTTTACCTCCCAATTGAGCGGTTTTCATTTTGCGGGTAAAAATTGCTTTGGGGGTTGGAAATAATCTGGGCTGCTTTTTGATTCAACCCATACAAACACTAATGTGCACCAATCATTCACCATTACTGGTTCATAGCAAAGCCTCCCTGACCTTTCTCCATCACTGATTAGCTAATGTCATCTGCCAGGGTGTTTGCAACAGAGAACAAGTGTAGTGGCGCCACAAATGATGCTAGTTTTAGCAGCAGGTGGATCTGGCGTGATGAACCTAGTGCTGATGGTCGATGACTTCTGGTTGGAAGAGGAATATTTTAAAGATGCTGGAGGAAACCGCTGCTTTCGGGATTTAGTGTTTGGTGCAATTAAACTCCTCATCCTCGCTATATCAGATATGTCAGTTGAAAGAGCTTTTTTTTCAAGTTGCTCTGCCTAAAGATTCTATTCAGTTTATTTCTAAAACACCAATTCACATCATGTCATCTCAAGGCACTTTACAGTTCACCAGATCATCCAGTCAGATTGATTCAAAGTTTTCTATCTAAGGAAAACCAGCTGATAGCATCGACTCATTGACTCTTCAGCAATCCCTCACACTAAGCATGCTTGTAGCGACAGTGGAGAGGAAAAACTCCCTTTTAACAGGAAGAAACCTCCAGCAGAACCAGGCTCAGTGTGAGCGGCCATCTGCTGAGGCCGACTGGGGTTCAAGGAGACAGAAGCAGACATAGAAAAAGAAGCATAGATACAAAAGGCAGCTGTAAAAGGCGGCCCCATCCAGGAAACACACAGCCAGGCAGACGAGCTCCGAGCCAGCTCCCATGTCAGAGGATGAAGAGAGCACATCCAGTTAGTCACAGTCAGAGAAACAGGACTACACTGGAAAACAGGCCAAGCTCCAACATCTAGAAACAAAGGTCTAAATCTAATTTAACTTTTACTTTACTAAAATTTTGAATGAATTGCTTTCTCTCCTCCTCATATTTGTTACAGTATAACATCACATGCTCAACTGTTTCATCTACCCCACAATATTCACATTTGCCATTCCTATGTTTACCTAAGATAAACAGAGTACCATTTAATCCGGTATGACCAAACCTCAATCGAGAAATTATTGTTTCTTCTCTTCTTGTTCTTTCTGTTCTTCTCATTTCTCCAATTTTCTTTTGAATTTTATAAAACCAACGTCCATTATTTCCTTTCTCCCATTCGTTTTGCCATTTATCCTTTATTTTCTGTTTAACCCTGGTCCTCAAGGCACACTGCTCTTCATGTTTTGGATGTTTCTGAGCTTCAGCACACCTGATTTAGATGATTGCAGTTCAGCAAAGCCTGATAATCTGCTATCAATTGATAACAGGTGTGTGGAAGCTGGGAAACATCTAAAACATGCAGGGCAGTGTGCCTTGAGGACCAGGGTAACCTGAGCCACTCTAACTATAAGCTTTATCAAAAAGTAGCCTTAAAAGTAGACAGGGTGTTTGCCTCACAGACTAAAAGTGGTAGTTTGTTCCACAAGAGAGGAGCCCGATAGACAGAACTCTGGCTGCAGCATTTTGGATCAGCTGAAGGCTTTTAACTACAGTTTGTGGACTTCCTGATAGTAAAGAATTACAATAGTCCAGCCTTGAAGTAAAAAAATGCATGGACTAGTTTCTCAGCATCTCCCCTTGAAAGGAGATTTCTAATTTTTGCAATATTCCTCAGATGAAAGAAGGAAATTCTAGAAACCTCTTTGATCTGGGATTTAAATGACAGGTCCTGATAAAAAACAACACCAAGATTTTTTACTTTATTATCTGAAATCAGTTTAATCCCATCCAAATGAAGTGACTGACTAATCAGTTTCTTTTTCAGAGACTCTGGTCCAAAGACTATAACTTCTGTTTTGTCTGCATTCAGAAGCAGAAAGTTAAGAGTCATCCAGGTTTTTATGTCTTCAGACATGCCTGTAATCTATGTAATGGGTTAGCTTCATCTGGATTATAGACAGATATAGCTGGGTATCATCAGCATAACAGTGGAAATTAATCCCATGCCGTCTAATAACTCTACCAATTGGGAGCATGTTTAAAGTAAAGAGAATTGGTCCTAGCACTGATCCCTGTGGTACTCCACAGGTAACCTTTGAGCATGTGGAAGATCTATCATTAACATGAACAAACTGAATTCGATCAGATAGATAAGATTTAAACCAGTCTAGAGCTGTTCCTTTAATTCCAACAAAATATTCAAGTCTTTCTAAAAGAATATTATGGTCAACTGTATCAAATGCAGCACTAAGATCCAACAGGACGAGCACAGATTCAAGTCCATTATCTGAAGCCATGAGAATATCATTAGTGACTTTCACCAGAGCTGTTTCAGTGCTATGATGAGCTCTAAAGCCAGAATGAAACTCTTCAAAAAGTTAATTATGGTGTAAGTGATCGCAAACTTGTTTGGCAACTACTTTCTCAAAAATTTTGGATAAGAAAGGAAGATTGGATATAGGTCTATAATTGACCAAGTCACCTGGGTCAAGAGACGGTTTCTTAAGCAGAGGTTTAATTACAGCAACCTTAAAAGCTTTAGGTACATATCCCTGTAACAGAGATAGATTAATTACATCTAAAATGGAGGACGAGATCAAAGGGAATACCTCCTTAAATAACCTGGTTGGAACTGGATCTAACATACATTAATAAGATCATCTTATTTATAAAGAATCCCATAAAATCATTCCTGCTAAGAGCAGGTGGGATGGACGGTTCAACAGAGCTATGGCTCTGGGTGAGTTTGGCAACTGTTTTAAAAAGAAATTTAGGATTATTCTTATTTTCCTCTATTAATGAGGAGAAATATGCTGCCCTTGCTTTACAAAGGGACCTCTTATACAGCAGTAAACTATTTTTCCAGACTAGGTAGGACTCCCATAGGCCCGTGGAGCGATATTTTCTCTCCAGTTTCCTAGCATTTTGCTTCAAAGATGAGTCCAGAAATCGCATGGGCCTGCCAAGTTTGATGGATGTGCAAATTGAACATGGAATGTCTGATATCAGCAACATTCTGTCCTCCCCAACAATTATTGGGGAGATTTCATTCAACCATGTACTGGTCATTCCAAAAAAAGTAAACAACAAAAAAAAAAAAACATCCACTGGACTTTGTTTCCAAGTTTGAAGGCATTTCGCTTCCCATCCAGGAAGCGTCTATTCAGCCAGGCCAACAGACTCCCCTTCCAGAGACTTGGGTATGGGGCATTGCAGGCTAACAAAAGAAGCTAAACAACCCCCATTTTAAAGGGATGGTCCTGTTCGTTCCTTTCAATTTGCTTGTTTTTTGTTTCAGTTTTTATTGCACTAGAGGCTCGTTTCTATGGACCGTAGAAAAGGGGTATGAGAGAGGGGGAGAGACTTGTAAAGGCTTTGTTGGGCTACTGTATAAAACCTCAAACTCAATGCTGCTCCTGATATTTTGATTGAAAGAGCTTCCTGGATGGGCAGCGAATTGTCTTCAAACTTGGAAACAAAGTCAAGTGGATTGTTTTTTGTGTTTTTACACCACTAGAGGCTTGTTTTTCTAACAGTAGGCTGAAAGGAAAGGGGGAATGAGAGAGGGTGAGAGACAAGCGGCCAAGGACCACAGGTCAGATTCAAACCCGGGTCGGCCGCCTCAAGGACTAAGGTCTCCATACATGGGTCGTGCGCACTAACCACTGCTCTTCATGGTTATGAATCCATCTGCAAACATGTTAGTACCGGTATGTGACGTGTCACCCAACTCTCACTGGATCCGACATGGCTTTGGTGGCTGGGTCAGTTGTTTATGAAAAACTCTGGGCAGATTTTATTGGATTGTAGCCTTTGGACACGTAGTGTTGAATTAAGTTGTACTGAAGTGAGTTCATGTTCACACAGTAAATATAAAACTATATTAATTGGGCGGGTTTTTGTGTGATGTGGCGGTTTTTAACAGATGTTTGGGCTGGAAAACCTCGACTCTACCTGGCAACACTGATTATAAGACCACATGGAGGCAGCATCAACCAGACAAATTACAGGACATCCTGAGGTCTCCACTACTGATTTCATGAAAGTGGATCCCAGATCAGCATCTTTTTACTCAGGTGTGTACAAACAAGTTCTGGTCTCTGACACGTTATCATTGCTTCAACAGAGGATGATAAAGGAATGAAGTTAAATGTCAAGAACCAAATAATCAGACAGAGACATTCTGTAGTGCTGATGATCATGCTTTATTAAATCAAGAATTGCAGAAAAAAACTCAAGGAGGCTGCGAAAATACTCAAAGCTATAGCTAACTTCAATCCAACAAGGGTCAGGGTGACACCCGACGAACACCTTTTGTTTCATCATGGCGCTGTGCCGCAGGCGTCGATGGACACAGATGCTCGTGTTCTTGGTGCCACGCTGTACAACTGTTGGCTGAATCTCTACAAACTAACACACAAAGCACGCTGCAGACCTCCGAGAGGCAGCTCTGCCTCTGAAAACAAGCACCAGCAGGACTCATGTGATTGGCCAGGTTGATGGAACGACGTCAGAGTCTGAGCTGGAGGTCGTTTTCCAGAAGCAGAGCACAAAACAAACAAATGAAATGCTTTGAGCTCAGGGAGTGCAGGCCGCTCGCACTGTGAGCTTGTCATAGAAGTGGCGATATGACATAATCCGTCGGAGCGCGAGGTCCAGTCGTCCTGCTTACATTAGGGTAGATGCAAACAGCACTCAGGATCTCATGCTCCTGTTACATCATTAAAGCACCGCCCTCTTAGCGGTGGCGCGCTGATAGTTTTGTCTCTGGTTCATAACATCAACAGGGAGCCTCTCTACCTGTTGAGGCAAACTTAGACTTCAACTTATTGTTGAGGCACAGAGTTTAGTTTCCCAGTTTAACAGGGTATTCGTTCCAGCTGAAACTTTCTCCTGTTAAACTATATTTAGTTCCTTTTAGTTTCAGTTAATATTATTGTCATAAATAACAATGCATACATTTCCCATAACCGGTAAACTCGGCTATATACATTATGTACATGTCACAGAAAAATGAAGTCAGAGTTATCCAATATGGCACATTTTACAACTTTAGACTTTAGTCTAGTTTGGCATAAATTAACGTCAGGTTTGGTACAAAAATAGTTCCTATTTACAAGAATATTTCAGATCCTTATCAAGAAGACTACTGTGTTTAATCAATAAATAAAAAGTCAAGGAAGAAGGGAAAAGGGGAAGTTTTGAAATATCAGGTTGTTTTGGTTTTTCTTTTACGATCGAATGCTGATGTGAACGGTTGCGGAGTCCGACCCAAGCTCGTTGGACAGCCTAAGGGTGTAGGCTCCGGCATCCTCCGGCTTCACCCCAGTGATGATGAGGGTGGTTAGGTCCTCCGTGGTCTCGATGTGGAATCGTCCACCTGTGGACACGTCGATTGTTTTACCACTGCGGGACCACTCTATGTGTTTGGCGTCGCCAGAGAAGGCGCAGGCGACCGTCAGGACTTTGCCTGGCTCTATGCTGATGTCTTCTGGCAGAGCTTCGATCCGTGGAGCAGAACCTGAAAGCAGCAGAACAGTTTGAAGGAGTCAAAACTAGTAAAGATCTGAAGTTTAAATAGACAGTCCACTATTTCCTGTTTAATTAGTGTTGCTAAAATCATTTTATCCTTAAAATATTTACTGCTAATGTCTCTTCATACAGTGTCTGTAAATTTCTGGTTTCAACTGTACGTTTTAAAATATGAGACATGTTTGCTCAACTTAGCTTAGCATCTTAGCTACCTGTTGGGTCTTAATATGTAGAACTAGCAGCTAAAAGCCCATATAATAACATGAAGATGTTTTAATTAACCCTCTTACCAATTGCTCTGATTGAGGATCCCTCCATATGTGACATCATTTCTGTCAAGCTGCTGGAGCTCTTGGCATATGTCTCCGATGTCATGGAGGACATGCTGGACATTGACATGGTCTCGAACTTCATTTCCGCTGCCATGCTGCTGAAGGAGCTGGACTCCATCATGGACGACATCATCGCCTGATGGGCAGAGGAGGAAAAGGCAGAGGACTCCTCCACCATGTGGGTTTCTTTCTTTGTCCTTAGAGATGAGGCCTTTGTGGATGACTCCTGGTGACTCATCATCACTGATCCTGCTGGAGATGGAACATAAAGTAAACAACCCTTGACAACCTTTTCTAAATTAACCCAATATCACATCAAACTAGAGTGGAGGAAAATCTCACCTTTAAGCGCAATTTGCTGCTCACGATAAGCTGACACCTTTTTGTATATGGACTGGAAAACCTGACCAGTAAATGAGAAGGTGGATTTGGATACTCCTCCATCCGAGGTCATCTCACATGTGTACTCTCCCTGGTCACTCTCTGACAGCTCATGGATAAGGAGTCTGCAGGAACCCTCAGAGTATTGCATCTGAAAGCGGCTGCTCTGTGAAAGCCTCCTGCCACTGACGTACCATGCCACCTCCCTGACACTGCTCTCACAGATGCAGGACATCTGGACCAAACCCTCGCAGGCCTCAGCTGTTAGCTGACTGAGGACTTTGGGAGGTTTTGGGGTTGGGGATTTGACAGTCGGGGGAGACACAACCCTCTTTGGAGACAAAATGGGGGGAGGTGATTTAACCCTCGGAGGTGATTTGACTCCCTCAGGCTCAGGAGACTTCAACCCCCTTGGAGATTTGATACCCGAAGGTTCTGGAGACTTGATGCCTTTTGGTGTTTTGATCCCTGCAGGTTCTGGGGACTTCAGACCCCTTGGTGTTTTGATACCTGCAGGCTCTGGTGATTTCACGCCTCGGGGAGATTTTGCTTCCTCAGGTTCTGGTGACTTCAGACCTCCAGGGGCTTTGACTGGCGGAGGCGACTTCAGTCTGGGTTCTGGAGACTTGATCCCACGTGGAGATTTAATTCCTTCCAGTTCAGGAGATTTTACTCCAGGAGTTGGAGATTTTAAACCTCGTGCAGGAGAGGGTGTGGATGGCTCTGGAGATTTGATGCCCTTTGGAGATTTTGCTTCGTCCGGATCAGGGGACTTTATACTTGGTGTTGGTGACTTAACCCCAGGGGTGGGAGATGTTACAGGCGGTTCAGGGGACTTTACACTTGGAGCTGGGGATTTGATTCCGGGAGTGGGAGATTTTACACTTGGTTCAGGAGACTTTACACTTGGAGTTGGAGATGTGACTGATGGTTCAGGGGTTTTCACACTGGGTTCTGGTGACTTCACACTAGGAACTGGCGAAGTAATGGAAGGAGCAGGTGATGTAGTTGGGGGCTCAGGGGATTTTACAGGTGGCTCAGTGGATTTGACAGCTTTGACTTCCTCCTTAGGTGGTGGCCTGCGGATTGTGAGAGTAAAATGTGCCTCTTGTCTACCTGCTGAGTTCTCTACCACCACTGTATAACTGCCCTCATCAGAGCTGTTCACAGATGAGATCTGCAGGCTGGACTTGTACTGAGTTGAGGAGACATGGATACGGTGAGATGATACAATGGTTTGGCTTTCATGTATCCATGTCACAGTTGCTGCAGGCTCCCCATCGATGTCACAGGAAAACCGGGCTGTCTCTCCCTCTGCAACTGTCACGGATTGTGGCTTGGTGAGGATTTTAGCAGGAAGAGATGGTTTCTCTTTGGGCAATGAAACTTGTTCAGGAGCAGCAGCAATAGAGGATGATTTTAGTTTCTCTTCGGATGTTGCATGCTTCCCAGTTAAAGAATATTTCTCTGAGGAATATGAGGAACTTGAGGAGAGGTATTCAGTGGAGGCATACTTGAGAGATGAGTCATACCTCTCAGTAGAAGAGAATCTCTCAGATGAGGCACCGATTCTTTCCTGCGTTACAACACTACGTGTCTCAGTTAGCTTTGACTTGCTTTCTTCGACTTCCAGATAGGTTTGGGAAGTGTAGCCGGCTTTGAAGTGAGTGGAGTGATAGTGATCAATACGCGTGACTTCAGGCACAAATGCTTTAGGAGCTTCTTCATCCTTGCGACGGGAAGAAAATGTGGTGTATCCGCCTCCTGACACTTCCAGGATGGCGTAGTCTGATGCTTCGCCCTTTGAGTTTGTGCACACGCAGCGGTATGTGCCACTATCTTCTTCCTGGCAGTCCAGAATAGTAATGGACAAAACACCACTCATGTTTGTGAAGATGTATTTCTCCGTCCTTTCAGAGATTTCTGCACCATTGTGGAACCATGTTACTTCAGCTTCTGGTTTTGCCTGGATGTTTAGGGTGAATTTTGTATCCTGACCAATTGGTATGCGATGAGACCGCATCCTGACAGTTACACGAGGAGCATGATCCAAGCTAAAAGGTGTTTGACTGACTACCTGGTATTTCCTCTCAGACTTAAGAGCAGCTTTCCTGGCTTCATAACGGGACATGATGTCAAAACGTGCGGACCGCTCAAATCTGGACGAAGAGCGTGAAGACCTCTCAACTGATCTGATAGGACTGGGAGAACGAGGACGGGTCCTCTCTGGAGTTGGTGACCTTCTCTCGACAATCTCTCCCTGAGTATCCACAGCTCTGGCTCGGGGTGGTCGGATGAGCTCTGAGACTGGACGCATCAGCTCAATGTAGGTAGGAGATAGAGACCTTCTCCTTCTCATGTACTGAGAAATGGTTCGTTTCTTCTTGGTCTCTGTAACTTCAGCAGCCTCATGCATGACGTCCTGTCTCCTCTCTTCACGTTCAGTAATTCGTCGCTGAACTCGAATAGGACTTCCAGGAGGAGAGGCTGAGAAGCCGAGCTCAAGCTCATCTTCCAGCATCATCGTCTCCTCCTCTGATCTCCTTCTTGTCAGGTAGTCATCCACAGGCATCAGCAGCTCTTCATCACTGAGATCTCCCAGAGACCTCCTCCTGGATCTGAAGGAGGCTTCCGACTCAGGGGATGGAGATCGGCGGGCAGGTCTAACAGTCTCCAAATCGTCCATTGTCAGTTTGGGAATGCGCCATCTGGGTCTGTATTGGTCAGTGATCCTGGGGAGGGGCACCACATAGAACTGCTCCCACCTGGACAGGCGGATACGTTTCTGCCTCTTCTGAACAATCCTCTCTGTTCTCTCTGAGACCTCATACTGATCTCGTAGTTTGCGATACCATTTCATGTCAGAGAGAGGCACAAACTGCTTAATAGCTTTGTCCTCATCGAGAGCTTTTCGATCATGAACCACAGGATCAGGAATCTCATATGGCATGAAAAGCCGCCTCTCCTCCTCCAGCTTCTTTGTCTCTGTCTTCTCCTCTGTGATGTCAAATTCGCCCTCAATGTTCTTTGTGCTTACTGCAGGTTTGTACACTTCTGCAGCAAATTTCAGGGCCTCCTGTGCAGTGGGATTCAGAGGTACAAGTTCCTCAGTAGCTGCAATTTGCTGAGCCATTTTGTTGGTCTTCTCTATCTGTTTCTGGACATGTCTGTGTTTCTCCTCCTCGCTCTTGTACTCTCTTCTGGTGTATGTGATGCGGTCCACTTTCAAAGTAGTCTGGCAGCTTGCAGACCCAGCAGAGTTTGTCGCAGTGACTTTGTACACACCAGCATCCTCAAGCAGAGTTTCCCTGATGTGAAGGACATGATAATCAATGTCTTGTTCAATAACAACAACTTTGGGACCAAACTGTAGTGGAAGTCCATCTTTTTCCCATTTAAGAGTGGGAGTGGGAACTCCTGACACCCTGAGTTCAAAGCGGACACTCTCTCCTTCTGTGCACTCAATGTTAGCCAGCAAACGCTTAAACATGGGCCTCAGAGTTTCCTCTAGCACAGGATGAGGTATGACAGTCAGACGAGCCTTGCAGCTGTCTTCTCCAAACTTGTTGTATGCCATGACTGTGTATTCGGCATCATCACTACTATCCAGATTATGAATCATCAGTTGATATAAGCCCTTATCACTTGTAAATGTGTACTTGCCAACCTCCTCCTTTATTTGCTCTCCATTCTTCAGCCAGGTCACATGAGGCTCTGGATGCACAGTGATAGTGACACCAAAGCGCACATCCTCACCAATGTAGGCGGTGCGGTTGTAGAGAGGCAAGGTAAACTCCGGTGGTCTCTGCAGAAGTTTAGTTCTGTCAACCCTCCTCCTCAGCTTCTTGATGGTACGGCTAACGTAATGCTCCCTGAGACTCCTCACAGTCTCGACGAAGAGTTCTCCATAGGCACTGTCCTCTCCATCATCACTCACCACTTTGCATCTATAGACGCCATCATCAGACTCTTCAATGTCCTTCACATAAATGCTGGCAAAGCCATTGTTGTAAGAAATCTCATACTTGGGGCTCGGATGCAATTGACGGTTACCAAAGTACCAAGACACCTGAGTGCTCTTGTCATAGTTAACAATGCTACAAGTAAATCTGACGTGGCCACCTTCCTCAGCTGAGGCATGCATGACAGGTCCAGCACGCAAGCCACAGTATTCGGTTCCAACCTTAACTTTACCAACAGCCAGTCCACGCTGGTTTCTGAAGGCACCTCCGAATGCCACACGGGCTGATGATACTATCGTATCTGTCTTCTTTACTAGTGATTGATAGTATCTTCTGTGTCTCAGTGTCCTGATGACCTTGTTGCTGACATGCTCAATCTTCATTTTGAGCCATGGGTGCTCTAGAGCTTCATGAGCAGTCATACGGAGCTTCCTGTCCTTAACGAGAAGTCTGTCTATAAAGTCCATGGCCTCCGAGCTTATGTCTTTAAATGCTTCCCTATCAAATATGTACTCACAGTTGGAGATGTTTTCAATCATTTTTGTTGTAGACTCTGCGGCAAATGGATTAAGACCACTGAGTAAAACATATGCCAAAACACCAACAGACCACATATCAGTGGCTGTTGTGACCAGATCATGGCGGTGAACCTCTGGCGCAAAATACTCTGGAGCTGAAAACAGCATTCTGATGTTTTCTCCTGGGATCAACAGCCTGGCCTGGCCCATCTCAATAATCTTTATATTGGGACTTCTCCTTGTGGTGTAGATGATGTTATCTGGGCGGATATCAAAGTGGCCAACGTTATGGCTGTGTAAGAACTGGAGAGCGGAGCAAACCTGCCTCAGGTAGCGGACAATCTCCTGTTCTGTAAGCTCAAAGTTGCTGGTGCCAAGCCGCTCAAAGATATCAACTCCAGAGAGGAATTCAAAGATCAGGATAATCTCTTCCATGCTTTCAAAATATTCATGCAAGTAGATAATGTTCTTGTGTCTTGCAATGTTAAGGGCCTCTATCTCCCTCAGAACTAACTCACGATCAGTTCCTCTGACTTTTATGAACTTGGCCATGAAAGTCTTCTTTGTGGCAATCTCCACGCAGCGGTGGACCACTCCGAACTGGCACCGGGCAAGTTCCTCTGAGATGATGTATTTGGAAGAAAGCTCCTTCACCTTGTAGAACAAAGCTTCTTCCTTGGTAATCTCTCTGGTTTCATCCACTTCCTCGTCATAGTTCCTGATCACAGACTTGTCTTCCTTGGTGGTGATGGGTTCGGTTGGAACAGATGGAAGGCTGAGGCCAAACTGGTTCTCTGCGATAACACGGAACTGATATTTGGTCTTTCCAAATACACTGACAATGGTGATACTGCAGTCAGCGGTCTGACCAGCACGGATCCATCTGTCAGCAGTGGTCGGGCACTTCTCTACAATGTAGCTAATAATGTCACTGCCACCATCGTTGGCAGGTGGTTCCCAGGTGAGGGTAATAGAATCCCGTGAAATGTCGCTGACCACAAGTCCCTTTGGAGCATCAGGAATGTCAGCCACATTCACCTCAATTGTTTGCTTGTCTGCTCCAAATCTGTTTTTAGCAGTGATGATGTAGTAGCCAGTGTCCTTCCTTTGTACTCCCTTTAGGAACACAAGGGAGGTGAAGGACCTTGTGGTGATAACTTGGTGATAGGCAGAGTTGGAGAGGATCTCCTGACCCTTCTGCCAAGTAACCGCTGGCTCTGGCTTTCCTGAGATGGGAATCTTGATCGTGATGTGATCGCCGCGTGCAGCATGAACGGCTCCCATTCCCTGCAGTTCTTTAGGGAGGTGTATCTTTGCAGGGACTGAAATGACAGAATTGGGGAGATAAATTTCACTAAAATGTCTTAACAAATTGAGAATACTTAGCACATAACCTTAAGGTTGTTTCCTGCAAGAATTATTCAATCACTTTAAAGTGGCTTAAATACCTTCCACCTCCAGGTTGGCTGTTGTAGAGATAGATCCAGAGGGATTGGTTGCTCTAACTTGGTATACTGAGGCATCATTCTCATCAGCGGCATTGATGACCAGCTGGTAGTAGCCACCCTTAAACTCAAGCACTTTTATTTTCGTTCCATCTGCCAGGATCTCCTTTCCACTGCGATACCATTTAACCACAGGCTTTGGATGACCCACGACCTTGTTATAAAAAAAAATCATTAAGTATCATGCTTAATGAGTTTCAAAAATACAAATCATTACATTTTTTTGCTTTTCTAAATACCTTGGTGACAAAGGTGGCATTGCTGTGGTATTTCACAGTCATGTCTCTGATCTCCTCCCTGAATGCAGGAGCACGAGGAGCCTGTTCTGACTTGGGTATAACGGGCAGAGAGATCTCAGACCAGTCGCTCTCGCCACCGATGTTCTGGCACTTCACACGGAACTCATACTCAAAGCCCTCAATCAAGCCTGTGACTTCATAGCTGGTTTCTGTAAATACTTTGGTTGTTACGGACATCCATTTGTTCTGCTTCTTCTCGCGTTTTTCAAGGAAGTAGCTGGTGATTTTCGCTCCTCCATCACTACTTGGAGGCTTCCAGCAAACGACGCAGGAGTCTTTGGTGGCACTGATGATGAACGGCTGCTGTGGGATTCCAGGTTTATCTGAGGAACAAACAGTAGAGAGCTCTTATATTTTATTTCGGTTACTTAGTGACAGGATTTAAAGAGGAAAATAAATATTCTTGTGTTTACCGTATGGGCTCTTAATGATGACTACAGATGGAATCTCCAGAGGCTCACTCACACCATACTGGTTCTGTGCAGAGACTCTGAAGTAGTATCCAGAGCTCTCACTCAGGTTGGGAACACGGCAGGTGGTACCCGGAACAGAAGAGGACACCAGGCACCATTGTTCACCCTCTTTGGCTTCACATTTCTCCACAATGTAGTTGGTAATCACGGACCCTCCATCGTCCTTTGGAACCTTCCAGCTGATTACGACTGAGTTTCTCAGAAGGGAATCGACAACTATGGGACCCTCAGGGATAGAAGGTTTGTCTGAGGAAAAAATTAAAAGGAAATCACTAACACTGAATGATGTGAGAAATCAATAATGCATGCAGACTTTAAGGACATGTTAAGTTAACTTTTAATGGTCTATGCTTTTACCTTGGATTTCAACACGCAGCGAGGTGTCAACAGTTCCAAACACATTGCTAAGCTGCACCTTGTAGCGACCAGCGTTGGTTTTTCGTTGGACATTCCTCACAACCAGGTGGGTGTAGCTTTCAGTGTTTTCAATTATTACATTCTCAGATGGATTCAGAGGTTTCTTGCCATAGAACCACATGATCTGGGGGATCGGACGGCCGATGTAGACTACATGGAGGCGGAGGCTGGTACCAGCCCCAGCGTAGTACTTGTCTTTTAGCGGGAAGCCGGGGTGGAATTGGGGCGCTGCCTGCAAGCGTAGTTTTCCGCTTGTCTCTATTTCTCCAGCCTCGTTGATGGCCCTGCAGGTGTATACTCCTTCGTCTTCCTGTTCCTCTGTCAGAATGGTGAGGGAGTGGTTACGGCCATCTGAGCTCATCTTGTACTTGCGGCTCTGGATCAGTTCTTTGCCATATCGATACCACTTGATCTCAGGCAAAGGTCTGCCGATGATTCCACATGTTAGAGTGCCAGACTCGCCAAGCTTAGTGGTTACATCTTGGACCTCTTCCTTCAAAGCTGGAGCTTCCCCAACTGCAGAAAATATGAAAATAACTCAATCTAGTTAAACCTTAAATCTATCATTCAGTTTAAGTAAAGTCTAGTACAATCAGCTTACCGCTCAATTTGGTTTTAATGCCCATGGGTGTGCGACGAGGTCGGCTGAGTCCAGCCTCATTTTCAGCAAAGATTCGGAACTCGTACTCTGTGGCCTCCATCAATCCACCCATGGTGAACTGACGATCCTTGGAGAGCTCCTTGTTGCACTTCTTCCAAGCGCTCTCTCCAGCCTCCCTAAACTCAATCCAGTAACCTAGGATCTCCTTTCCGCCATCATGTTCTGGCCGGAGCCAGTGGATGGTGATGCTGTCTTTCGTAATAGAGATGATGTCAATTTCTCCCGGTTGGCTGGGTTTGTCTACAGGAAAAGAGGCAGCATAATTTAACAATTAAAGAAACTTCACTTTAATGGAAAATCTTGAATCAGTTCTACATAATCAAAATTTCAATACTTCATGACAGGATTTTAATTGCAAATTTTAAGTAACAATACATACCAAATGGATCTTTGCAGACCACTGGCTCTGAGGCAGGACCAGGTTCACTCTGCCCAATGTCATTTTGAGCCACCACTCTGAATATGTACTCGGCATTGGGTATAAGACCGGTGACATTGAACATGGTGGTAGTGATGTGAGTCTTGTTGTGACGGACCCACTTCTCTGTGGAAATCTCTCTTCTTTCAACGTAGTATCCTGTGATGCGAGAGCCGCCATCATCCCGGGGTCTGGCCCAGGATAAAGACACAGTGGTCTTGGTAACGTCCATTATCTCTGGTGGGTTACTGGGAGGTTCAGGTGGACCTGTAGTAAAAACAATGTATTTATAAAAAAGCATTTGTTTTTAAATCACAACATAGCAGCTTAGATGTGGAATTTAAAGATAATTTTTGAATTATTACTCACATAGAGGTGTCTTTGGCAGAACAGCGCCATCTGATTTCAGGGATCTGCTTACACCAAACTGGTTCTCAGCAAATACCCTAAAGTGGTACCCCACGTTCTCCTTCAAGCCCTTTACCACCAGAGAGGTCTCAGTTACTCGGGCATCCACTGTGTACCAGGCGGCCTTTGGTACCTCCCGCCTTTCTACTATGTAGCCCAGGATGTCAGATCCACCGTCGTCAGAAGGTGGTCTCCAGCTGACGCGTACTGACCTAGCTTGGATGTCATCAAATTCAAGAGGACCTTCTGGAGCATCAGGTCGACCAATCACTTTCACCTGATGGTGAAAAGCAGAAAGGTGATTAAATGATTGAACTTTGTTATATCCAGATGTTTCCTGGTTCTGGTGTTTCTCACCTTGATGTACACAGCTTTCCTACCACATTTGTTCTCCAGCACCAAGTCATAGGTACCAGTGTCATCTTTATGCGCCTCTTTGATTACCAGCTCAGTGATGTCATCATGGGTTGCAATCATGGCACGATGAGAGATGTCACGACCGTCCTTTGTCCACTTAGCTGTAGGTATAGGTTTGCCTTTGATGGGCACAGACAGTAGGATGACACCACCTTGGCGGACCACATATTCTTCCTCATATTTACGATCAAGCTCAAAGTCAGGATAATCTGAGAAATAAACAAAATCAAACTTTGTTAAACAAACCCTTGAAGGAAAAACTACATATTTTGCTTCCTGTAAATTCATGGAGCTTCTTCTCTCACCAAGCATCTCTTGGACTTTAACCACTCCAGAAATCTCTGCAGGCTCTCCAGCACCGCCCGCATTGCATGCAATGACCCTGAACCTGTACTCCGCTCCCTGAGGCATGTGGGTTAGCGTGTACTCGCACATCTTGGTCGGTGTGGTGTTGCACAGTGTCCATTCAACCTGGTCCACCTTTTGCATCTCAATAAGATAGCCTGTGACAACAGAACCACCCTCTTCTTCAGGGGGCAGCCATGCCAGGGAGACAGATGTCCGTGTGCTATCAGTGACTCTGGGTTGAACTGGAGGACCTGGGGGTTCTGTTTAGCAGCATAGAGAGATTTAGTTAGTACACCACCTCCCCTTTTATATATTTCAACTAAAACTATCCGTTGTAATTATATAATATTAATGAGTTTTGCACCACTTACCGATGGGATCCATAGCAACAACAATGGCAGAACTTTCACTTGGTTTGCCAGTTCCTCTGGAGTTGATTGCTGTGATACGGAACTCATATTCAAGGCCCTCAATCAGTCCAGATGAACGGTATCTGGTCATAGTGACTGGATTCTTATTGATTCTCATCCATCTGTCAGAACGGGCCTCCTTGCGTTCTATGATGTAGCCCGCTATGGTGGAGCCACCGTTGTCCACAGGAGGTTGCCAGGTCAGAGTCATGCCTTCATGGGTCACGTCAATAACCTCTGGCCTGCTTGGAGGTCCAGGTATGGCTAGACAGGAACAAAAGGTTGGAGTTTTACTGGACTGTTGGACACAAACTTCTAAAGCATTAATCAAATAAATGAAATGGCCAAACATGTCTCTAGATCTTAATATCTGTTTAAATGCCATGCAAACATTCTTCAATGCTCAAACTGGTGTATGACTTGGAAGATAATGAGAACAGAACATATTTCTATGTCTCTGAGAACTCACTCTTGGCGCTCTTGCACTCCACCACCTCAGACTGCAGGAAGCCACCAACGCCGAAGCGATTCATGGCAGCTGCACGGAACACATACTCTGTTCCCTCGTTAAGCCTGGTGAACTTGAAACACGGTCTGGTCACTGATTCAGAGACGGTGGACCAGCCTGGGTGGTGTGCTTCCCTCTGCTCTACCACGTAACCACTAACGTTGGCACCACCATCTTTCTCTGGGGGCTCCCAGCTAACAGTTACTGAGACACCATCAACCTCCTCAATCTTCATGGGACCCACAGGAATACCGGGTTTGTCTGTGCAGAAACGACACTCATGTTCACAAATGTGTCTATCGTCAAAGTAAGGAATACACCCAATGTGATATTTGTTTGTATGACGTTTTCCTACCGAGAATGATGACTTTGATAACCTCAGTGGCGATGCCGACAGCATTCTTCACCTCCAAAGTGTAATCTCCCGTATCATTGATGGTTGTGTCACGGATGATGAGGTGGGTAAATTTGCCGTTGCTGTCTATCTTAATGCGGTCCAAGCTGTCCTTCAGCTTAATTCCACCAAAATGCCAGGAGCACACCGGCTGTGGTTTGGCTTTGATTGGGATGTTCAGGTCAATAGGTCTGCCACGATGCACATGAACGATCTTCTGAGGGATACTGGTCATGTCAATCTTGGGCACCACTGAAATTCATGAAACATTAGTTATCAGGGGAAAATCCTCCTTTTAGGGAGGAGAAATTATGTGTATTAAGTGTTGTGAGATGTTGATAGTGTGGTGACTCACTTGTAATCTCCTGGATTGTAATGGGTGTCATAAGGTCCATGGGTTCACTGGCTCCCCTGCTGTTGGTGGCACGGATCCTGAACAGGTACTGGTCGTTCTCTGTCAGGGACTGGATGGTGTGCTGGGAGACCGAGGCCCTAACTGTAGCCACGGCGCTCCACCTGTCTGAACCCACCTTGCAAGCCTCTATGATGTAACCGGTCAGCCTGCTGCCACCTTCATGCAGTGGTTTTTCCCAGTGCAAGGTCACAGTGGACTTGGTGACATCCACAATACTGAGGTCCATAGGCACTGAAGGCACTTCACACACCAGCACAGGTTCAGCTGTCTCGCAGGGTTCACCAACGCCATAGATATTTTCAGGGAGGACTCTGAAGAAGTAGTGCACGCCTTCCTCCAAGCCGGTGATCCTGTACAGAGTTTTTCTGCACTCTGTGGTTACGGTCTTGTATGACTTCATGCTGGCTTCTCTCTTTTCAATTATGTAATTGCTGACATGAGCACCACCGTCAAGGCTTGGGACATCCCATGTGATCACAACAGATTCCTTGGTGTAGTCCTTTACCCTGACTGAACCAGGAGGACCAGGAGTGTCTGAAGTCAAGAACAGAAAAACAAAAACAAATGAAATATAGATTTGTATGTGTATGTCTTTGAAGAAGTTTAGAGTCATTGAGAAATAACGTACCGTAGACCTTAACCAGAATGATAGAAGTCTTCTTTCCAGATGGATTCTCTGCCTCAACAACATATTTTCCAGAATCGTAGCGATTCACCTTCTCAACAATCAGACAGGTGTAGCTGTCTGTAGTCTCAATGTAGCCTCGGCTCTGTAGTTCCACGCCAGTCTTTCTCCAGGTAACAACTGGTGTCGGTCTGCCAGCGACTGACACAAACAGACGGAGGGTACCACCAGCACGCAGAACCACGGTTTTCTTCAGGTCATCTGCCAGTTCCAGGTCAGGCATTTCTGAAAGGACCACAGTAGGAGATGAGTTAAACAAAAACTTCTAACCAGCTTTGTGTCTGTTATCTAGGAATGAATTGGAAAGAATGGTATTGGTTTTTAATGTATCCAAAAATTATTAAATTGATTTGGAATTATTTGATTATAGCATATTTCCTTATTAGAAGTTTTAAACAAACTTGTACAGTATTTTAAAATGATCCAGAACTGATTCTATAAATAACAACTAATATAGTAAAATTTTCTTGCCAAGCTGAATTAAGAAACATCATGTTACAAATCATGAAAGGTATATATTTTGTGAATTTGAATTGTTTTAAACATAAATTCAACTTTGACTTTTAATAATAAAAGATCTTGTGAAAATAAAAGCATGATTAAGAACCGGTCAGTGATTTGGAAAAGTTATTTTTTTCTACATCAAAGCATGTGGGCGTGGCCAAGTGCAAATGTGGTCTGTTTGCCATAAAACAAAAGGTATAGATCTGAGAAATGGCTTTATCTCTTATAAATTTTGTAGATTCAAAGCAAGAAAGAAACAACAAAGGTGAACATTGATCAAGCTTTAGAGCTTTGGTACCAACTTAAGACAGCAAAGGGGCTCTGAAGAAAAATGTGGCAAGGTACATTTAGTGTTTGCTGATTTCAATGGTAAGCAATAGCACTGGCTGCTGGTAAACAGTACAGAATGAGAGGGGGTAAGTGCAACACTAATTTGCCACGAGGAGTTACACTTGCTTTCACCTTTAATTGGATATTTGGTCTTGTTAGGATAATTTTCATTGAAGAAGTGTGAGTTTACCACACCCTGGTATTGGCTGCCTGTTGTACGTCAGAACTGATGTTTTAATCTAATTAGGACAGTTCCTTTGTCTGGACAGTTATAATCTTCATTTTGTACGTGGCAAAGATTTAGAAATGGAATGAGAGCGGCGTCCTTCAGCTAAGAACAAAGTTTAATATTTTGATAAGGCTGAAGCCATTAATGTATAATCATCTGCTAATGTGTATGATGTAAAATAAGATGATGTGGCAGACTGGAGATGTATAAAATGCCTCTTTAACTATTAATCGGGGCCACTTCCTGAGAGGTGAGCAGCTGCCTTCTGTATATTCTAAGCAATTTCTCTGATCTGAGTAAGATTACATTTTCTATCAGAATCCGTTGTCATGTCTCCTGGTTATTTAATAAATATAAAATATGAAGTGTTATTCAAAGAGTTTGTCCCGAGTGATCTCTTTTCAGGGAAAAGAACCGGAAAGATAGAGCATCAGGGTGCGTACACAGAGCCTATCTTTAACAAATGGTGTTTCTGCCCAAAACTGAACAAGTTGTATCACTCAAGGAGAGCCACTGGTGAAGCAGCCACACAGCTGCAGCCGCACAGTGGCGAGGAAATTCGCTTTTAAATATCTCCAGTTTTTAGGGGGATCTTTCCCGGTTTTGTTATTACCAATTGGCTTTTTTAAAAGTATTGTTCTTAAGCTGTCTGTTTTCAACCAGTAAAAAATAAAATTTATTTTGCTTTTATTAAATATATGATTTTTAATTACTCTTCAGCTGCTTTAGAAACTGTTTCAGTTTTCAGTTTCTTTTGCTAAGAAACATGACTGGGAAAAAAGTTATAAGGCTATATCAAAGAAAACCTCCATAAAGTGTCCAGAAGAAGGTATTTCAGAGTTTAAAACTTGCACAGTATGTCTTTGTTGAGTAGCTTTCTTTAAATATTGCTTAAAGTCAGTTAGGTTGATTCTGTCTAATATGGCTATATTGAATATAAGCTAACGATAAAATATTATGATAATGAAACTGCCTAAAGTTCTTCGTGAAAAAGTACTCACCAACTTTCTCCAGAGGCTCGACTACGCTGCTGGGTTCACTGAACTCCCCAGTGCCGTTGCTGTTAATGGCTGCCACCCTGAACCTGTACTTCTTATTGGCTGCCAGGCCAGCGGCCACATACTCGTTGGTCTTGATTGGCTTAGCGGTGGCTCGGTACCACTGCTCAGACCCTTCCTCTAGGATCTCTATGACGTAGCCGGTGACATCACAGCCTCCGTCATACATAGGCCTGGTCCAGGTCATGTTGATGCTGTGCTTAGTTGTATCAGTGATACGAGGTGTTGAAGGAGCAGCTGGGGTGTCTGAAGGAAATTATTGTAAACATACATTTATTTTAGATGCGCGATATATATGGGTAAATTGAAAAGACCGTTAGGAAATTAGTAAAATAATGTACATGTTGGATCTCTGCAGAGGATGTATGGTGAGGCATCGCTTGGCTGGCTCTCTCCAGCATTGTTGACAGCTGTGACTCTGAACTGGTACTCTCCTCCCTCCAATAGGCCGGTGATCTTCAGACGTATGTCATAAATGGTGTAGGTTCTGTTAACCCGAGTCCATCTGATTCAGAACAGATTGTGGATCATTACCTTGTTTTGAAATCAACAAAACTTGTATCTTTACTTATTATCCAGAACTTATTTTAACCTGGTGCTGCTCTTTTCTCGTTTTTCCACAATGTAGTTCTTGATCTCGCTGCCTCCGTCACTCTCTGGCTTGAGCCACTCGATGATGATGTGCTCCTTAGCCACTGCTGTGGCCTCTGGGGCGCCGGGCGGGGATGGGACAGCTGGAAATGACAGCCACACATATATCAGATTGGCGAATAACTTTTTCCTTTCACTTAAAAAAGGCATAACACCTAATGTCACAGTACTAGTAAACTTCCACCAAGCTACTAAAACAATCAGTGTTCAACTAAACCTAAAATTTGACAAAGAAGGGTAGTATCGTACTGTAGGCGTTCCTGGCGATGACAGGTTCAGACTCCAGAGGAACTCCAGGTCCAAACTTGTTGACTCCTCTGACTCTGAAGATATACTCATTGTTCTTGATCAACCTGGAGCTGACACACGACAGTGACTTGCACTCTGTCTCCATTATGACCCAGTTGAGTCGGCTGGTTTCACGCCTCTCTACGATGTAATGGGAGACAATGTCTCCGCCATCCTCCAGTGGAATCTTCCAGGAAACCGTACATTTCTCCTCCGTCACTCTGCTGATTATAATCTTGTCAGCTGGTGGTCCAGGAGTGTCTGAGAGGAAAAAAAACAGAGTTAGAGATTTCCTAGATATGTTTAAGTACTAGCTTCAGTCATAGTGTTGCTACATTGTAACTCACCCAGAACCTTCACATTTACTGACGCTGTCTTGATACCATTGGCATTCTTGACAGTGAGGATGTATCTGCCAGAATCGTATCTGTCACAGTTCTTGATCACAACCATGGCTTTTGTCGATGTATATGTCAGGGAGTATTTCTCTCCCAGCTCCAAAATCTTGTCACCCTTGGACCAGTAGACGGTTGGTTCTGGTTTGCCTCCTACAACACCATCCAGGACGAGGTCGGAGCCGGCCATAACAGTGATGGTCTCGCGTGTAAACTTGCTGTCGAGTTCAGCTTTTGGAGGAGCTACAGCAGAAAACACATTAAATTCTTAATTTGTGCAGAAAAACGAAATGCAGGATAATTTGCAATTAAGATTTTTAGTGTGAAGGGATGGGGCAAAGACATTTGCCTGAAGATACTATGTTTTAGCAACATTTAGGAAAGGTTACAAACCTCAGCATTTTCTGTTGTCAAAAATAGAGTAAAACTTTAATGAGTCATTAACCGGGTTACCCATGTTCATTCAGCCACCGTTGCTGTAGGATTGATTGTCTGCAACTTTTGGTAAAGAGCTTAACATTGGCTTTTAAAAGTGTTGGTTGGAAACAAAGAAAAATAAATATGATATCTTTGAGTGGCAGTTATCAAGAAAAATGTGGCTGACAAAGCTTAATGAAAACACTCATATGTTCAGCTCTTTAAGTTTGCAGGAATAGAAAGCACAGACGCACATGCAAGCTTGATAGGGGTGGTTAGCGATGTGAAATATTCCTCCTGCTCTTACAAAACACGTCTGTTTCTTTTCTCAATAACGTATCATCACTCACGCATTTTGATGAGGTTAAAGTGACAAAAGACTTATTGACGGTTTATATATTGAAATTATGTGAATCAACATGATAGCCTCTTTAGATAGAGAGATATATAGTTCATCCCAAGCTGGGAAATTGCAGCATTTGTTAATGGACTCTGGAGACTGGAGATGTATAAAATGCTTCTTTAACTGTGAATCATTGCCAATTTATGAGATGTAAGCCCAGTTGGTAAGCGCTGCTTTCGGTAACCCTAAGGCCCCTGTCACACCTTGCCGATTTAGCAAGGGTATAACGGACATCCCAGAATCTTTTAAAACAATGGCATACGCTGAACTTTCTATGTATCTACAATTTCTATCAAAATCTGTTTTTATGTCTAATGGTTATTTAAAATATATACATTATGAAGTGTTATTTAAAGAGTTTGTCCCAAGTGATTTCTTCTCAGGAAAAAAGAACTGGAGAGAGAAAGCTTCAAGATGTAAACACAGAACTTTCCTTAACAAAATAAAGAAACATGGCGAATGAAAATGTAAAGAAAAGGGAAGCAAGGAGAAGCAGGTAGACTTACAGTATTCGTCCTTGCATGTAACTGGTCCGGTAGACTGAGAAGGTACGCTGTGGACTCCAGCTGCATTCTTGGCGATTACACGGTACTCGTAGGTTTCTCCCTCTCCCAAGTTTGTGACTGTGAAGTAGTTCTCAGTGATTGTGGTGTAGTTGCACTTAAGCCAACGGTTGTCATCCCACTCGTCAGTGCTGTAGACCTTCCTCTCCACAATGTAACCGACAATCTTACTGCCACCATCATTGAAGGGCACAGTCCAGCACAGCGACACAGAGGAGCGGCTGATGTCTGTAACCTCAGGATTACCAGGTGGATCTAAACAGGGTATGTGAGAAATGTAACAAATACTGCAGCAAATATTTCACAATAACTATCATTAGTAGTACTTGTTAACTATATTGGACATAAACATTCTCCTTACCAACAGGATTGAGTGCCACCACTGGTCTGGAAGCTTCACTGGCTTTGCTGAGTCCAGCGATGTTCATGGCGTAGACCCTGAACTGATACTCCAGACCCTCTATCAGGTTGGATACCTTGTAATGGCACTCCAGACAGGGCAGTTTGTTTTCCCTAACCCACAGGATTGTGTTCCTCTCTTTCTTCTCAATCCAGTATCCGGTCACCTGGCTGCCACCATCAGAATATGGCACATCCCACTTAATGGCAATAGCATTGGCCGAAACAGACACCACATCGGGACGAGTTGGAGGACTTGGAGGAACTGCAAATGAAAAGGAGATGAAATGATTTCCAACTTCATCCACATCAAATTAGTTTTAAAATGCTTTGCTAAAAATAAACTTACTAAATGGATGTTCGATCACAACAGCCGCAGACTCGATAGACTTGCTGACTCCGAACTTATTCTCAGCACTGACCCTGAATGTGTACTCCATGTATTTGGTCAAATGAGTTACTTTGATTGTGGTTCTCTGCACACTGGAGTTTACCACCTGCCATGAAGCGTGGCCAGACTCACGTTTTTCAACAATGTAGTTGGTTATTTCAGTCCCACCATCATCAGCAGGCTCAGACCACGACAGTGTGCAGGACTCTGAGGAGATTCCAGAAACCTCTACAGGGCCAGTGGGGGGACTCGGCCTGCCTACGATCACTACAGTCACTGTGAAAGTCATCACACCAGCAGCGTTCTCTAGGATCAGATAATACTTCCCACTGTCACTTCTCTTGCTGTCCCTCACAATCAGTGTGGTTATCTCCTTTGTGGTCCTGATCAAGACTCTGTCAGTTTCTTTTAGCTTCATTTCCTCCAGCTTCCATGTGACCTTGGGTGCAGGTCTGCCGCTGATGGGAATATCAATTGTGAAAGTGTTGGAAATCTTACAGGTAATGAGCTGGTTAGTGATACTGCTTAGATCAGCAGTTGGTTCGATGAGAGGTTCCTTAATGACCACAGAGCTGAAGGTACCCTGGGGCTCACTGATTCCAGCATCATTCTTGGCTTTCACCCTGAAGTCATACTCAGTGTTTTCAATCAGACCTTCAATCAGCATCTTCTGTAACTTACTCTCTCCATAAACAACCCAACGGTCAGTGCCCTTAGCTCTGAATTCAACAATGTAACCTCGGATGCGGCTTCCTCCATCATGCTCCGGTTTAAGCCACACCAGGGAAGCTGTGGAGTTAGTGGTGTCAACAACATCTAATCTTTTGGGTGGTGCAGGCTCTTCAGTAGCAACAATGGGCTCAGTCATCTCTTTAGGTTCTCCTTGGCCATATTGGTTGACAGCAGTCACTCTAAACAAATATGGCACACCAATATCTAGACCAGTTATCCTTATCATTTGGCGAGAGCTCTTGCTGCTAACCTCCTGCCAAGCAAGGCGGCTTGCCTCACGCTTGTCCACAATGTAGTGGTGGATTCGGGATCCACCATCATTGGATGGAGCATCCCACATCATTGTCAAAGCACCACGAGTAACATCTTTGAATGAGATTGCTCCTGGAGGTCCTGGTGTGTCTAAGACTTTAACCGTGAATGTGATGGACTTGCGCCCACTGTTGTTCTCCAGGGACAGAGTGTATTTTCCTGCCTCATACCTTGTGCAACTTTCTATAGTCAAGGTAGAGGAGTTGTCAGTGGTGACCACATCAGCCATGACAGGGAGCTCACCGTCTGCTCGTGACCAGGTGGCAAGGGGAGCAGGCTTTCCTCTGAAAGCGATACTGAGAGTGACTGTTCCTCCGTTCTTTACAATATGAGTTTGCTTGAAGTTTGCATCAATGTCAATTTCCGGAGATGTAAGCCTATCAAGAGCCTGAACAGGGTGTGGCATAACTGAAGCTTCACCCTCTCCCGATCCATTTACAGCACTGACTCTGAATTTGTAAAGCTCTCCAGGTACCAGGCCCTTTGCAGTGTACCTGTTGTGAATACAAATCTGACTGTTGACTCTGTGCCACTCCTCCAGACTGGCCTTACACATGTCAATATTGTAGCCAATAATTTCCAAGCCACCATCAAAGACTGGTTTCATCCATTCTAGGGTGACAGAGGACTTGGTGGAGTCAATGACCTGTTAGGAAAGAAAGAAAATGCTTTTTTTCTGTTTCTATATATTTTCGTGTGAGTCATTTGTTTTAGCACTTTTTCTTAATATTTCTTTAAAAAACTTTTTATTCTTTATAATAATGGTCTCCATATTCAACTAATTGGCATCATAATAATTTTAAACCTAAACGTTAATGAGCACCATCTTTGTCTGTGCTCCGTGATATTAATAAAGTGTTAATGCAAGGTCCTACCTTGATCACACTGGGAGCACTAGGAGCACTCGTTGGCTCTCTGCATTTGAAGAGCCTGGAGGTGCTGCTGGTTGGTCCAATACCAGCCCCATTTTCTGCCATTACGCGGAATTCGTACTCATTGCCCTCAGTCAGGTTAGTGACACGATGTCTAAGCTCAGTTATAGGCCTCTTGGAGGAGACTCTAACCCAGCGAAGGCTCTTTTTCTCACGTCTTTCTAGAATGTAATGCTTGATCTCATTTCCTCCATCTGATCTTGGCCTGGCCCAGCACAAAGTGATGCTGCTTCCAGTCACATGAGTTGCATCTGGTGTACCAGGTGCATCCGGTACAGCTGAGGAGTAGAGGAGAAAAAAAAAAGTGTGTTGCAAAATCCTTCTTTGTACCCTGCAGGCAGTTTAGAATATATTTGATGTAACATAACTTACTGTATTGCATGCGTGCAATGACTGGGTCAGAATCCAGTTGTTTCCCAACACCAAATTTATTGACTGCAGAGATTCTGAACTGGTACTCATTGCCCTTGATGAGGTTGGTAACGTTGTATGAACAAGCTTCACATTTAGATGTAACCAAGGCCCAGGAAAGTCGGGATGTTTCTCTTTTCTCCACTACGTAGTGGGAGATCGCAGCACAGCCGTCATTTTCTGGTGGGTTCCACCATACAGTGCACTTTTCAGCTGTGATGCCGGTGAAGCGTATGGGACCCTCAACAGGTCCAGGAGTATCTGTGCAAATACAGCAGATCATAGGTCAGCATCAAAGGGTAACAGACTCTCTTTTAAATGTAATTTAATGGCCTCTTATACCAGTTTTATGGTAAAATATAAGTACTAATTTACCAACCTTGAACTCTGACGTTAACATCTGCTTTCCTTGTACCAGAGCTGTTTTTGGCTTCAACTGTATAAATTCCACGGTGGTTCCTGTCTGCATCACGGATAAACAGACTGCTGGTACCAATTCCAGTGGTGATTTCAATGTCAATCATTGTTCTCTTATCAATCTCTTTTCCATCCTTGTACCACACAACCTGGGGAACTGGGCGCCCAGTGATGGTACAGCTAAGCTTAACATTTTCCCCGGCCCTCAGAGTGACCACCTGGTCTGGGGACCACTCAATTTCAGGAGCAACTGATAGCAAAAAAATCAAGAGATGAATTAAAGTCAGATTATTTGTGACAAACAGTTTCAAGTGTTCATTTTTCTAAAAAAAAAATATATATATATATATATAAAAACATACTGCTTTCATCTTTGGTCATGATGTATCCAGAGGAGTTAGATGGAGGACTGACTGTGCCAACGGCATTCCTTGCAATTACTCTGAACTCAAATCTGTCTCCAGGAGACAGACCGGTCACAGTGAACTGTGTCTCACTTATATCAATGAAGTTGCATCTCAGCCATTTTCCCCTTCCTTGGCGCCTCTCTACATTGTAAGCAACAATTTTGCTTCCACCGTCTCTCTTGGGGATTTCCCATTGCAAGGTGACTGAATCTCTGGTTGTGTCAATGCAGACAGGAGTGCCAGGTGGATCTAGACAAGAATAGAGCATCTTTGATTAAATATGTTTTTTCTAATAGAGCAACATTCACAGCCTACTGGCAAAACATTTGGATATATAGCCATTTGTAAACTTACCAACAGGGGATATAGCCAGAGCGTGTTTGCTCTGCTCACTGACAGGGCTGAGTCCAGCATTGTTCTCGGCATAAACTCTAAAAGAGTACTCCAGACCTTCCAGGAGACCGATAATCCTGTACTCTTTATTGGAAATAATAGTGGAATTCACCTTCTGCCACAAGAGGCTGTTCCTATCCTTCTTTTCAACATGATAACCCAAGATAGGGGAACCTCCATCAAAGCCTGGGGCATCCCACTTGATTGTCATGCCATCACTGGTGACATTGAAGGCAACTGGCTTTCCTGGCGGACCTGGAGGTTTATACTGGTGCTGGGCAATAACATCTGAAGAGCAGAGAGGCTCGCTGACTCCATATTTGTTCTCTGCACGGACTCTGAACTGGTACTGCGTTCCCTTGACAAGGTTAGGGATCTTGAAGGTGGTCCTAACAACACTTGAGCAGACCATTTTCCAGTTAGCATGAGAAGTTTCACGCTTCTCCACACTGTAGCATGTAATCTCACCACCTCCATCCTCCTTTGGCTCATCCCAGGAAATTATGATACTCTGAGCCTTTATCTCATCAAAGCGAATGGGACCAACAGGAGCTGTGGGGGGTCCCAGAGTAATGACTTTGATGTCAAAGTAGTTTTTGATGACTCTGTTGTCCAAAACTAAGGTGTACTGTCCAGCATTCTCCTTCTTGGCTCCCCTGACTGTGACTGAGGTCTTGTTGTCAGTGGTCCTAAAGCGAATCTTATCACTCTCCTTTAGTGGTAGGTTATCCTTTAGCCAGCTGATTGCAGGCCTTGGTTTGCCCTTGAAGGGTAGCTCAATATGGATGTTTTGACCAACACGGACAGCCAGCTCTCCATTAGGATAATCACTAAGATTAGCTTCTGGGGGGATGATAAAGTCCATCACTATGATTGGACCAATCTGAGAGAAGTCACTTCTTCCTTTTTCATTCTTGGCAAATACTCTGAAATCCATTATAGCATTCTCCCTGAGTCCAGTCACTTCACAAGTGCAGCGTTTGCATGTGGCACCTAAACTCCAGTTTACTTCATCCTGGCTTCTCTTTTCAATGATATACTCTGTGATATGGCTGCCTCCATCATGGTCAGGTCGGGTCCACTGCAAGGTAACGGAGACCTTTGTAGAGTCCAACATTACAAGGTTTTTAACAGCTGCAGGAGTCTCTGTCGCTCTGACAGCTTCACTGGACTCACAAGGGTCACCCATACCAAACTCATTTTCAGCTGACACACGGAAAAAGTAGGCAATGTCCTCTTCCAGGCCAGTAACTTTGTAAGATGTGTTAAGGCATTCTGAGCTGATCACCTGGTAGGCCTTCATGGTCGAGGCTTTCTTCTCAACGATATAATTTGTGACGGGAGAGCCACCATCAACAAGAGGAGCCTCCCAGCTGAGAGTCAGCTTACCCCTTGTTACATTCTTGATTATAAGCTTCTGGCAGGAGGATGGACTATCTAGAACCCTCAGGGAAACTGTAATTACTTTGGGTTCACCTACACCATTCTCTATCTCTAACACATACTTTCCACAATCATCACGAGTGACCTTGGGAATGAGCAATGTGGTAGATCTCTCAGTGCTAGTGATGGTATAGCGGTTATCACCCGCCATGTTACGATCACTACGTCGCCAGGTCACATTTGGAGCTGGGCGTCCCTTCAATGGAATAAACACTTCCACATCACGGCCAGCTCTAGCTGTGTATTGTGTTGTCATGGGAACATCTAAGTCCAAATCAGCCTCCTCTGTTGAACACAAAAAAAACAAAAACGATTAGTATTAAAGCAAAAAAAATGCAATTATAAACCAAAATAAGGAAGATAATAACATTTGGTTATTTTTTTCTATAATGAGTTTTTTACATATTTGATGTAAGATGTTTTGATCACAAATAAAATCCAAACCTAATATGTCTTTGGCTTGCACAGGCTGGTACATCTTGATGTCCTCCCCTTTACCCTTGCAGTTCACGGCAGAAACCCTGAAATAATAGTAGGTGCTAGGTTTGAGGTGGGATACCACATACTCGCAAGCCTTAACCTCTGGGTTTGTGATGATCCATTCTTTCTCTTCCGTATTCATCTGTTCTAGTAAATAGTGTGTGATTTCACTGCCACCATCATAGACAGGCTTCTCCCATCCAAGAGTGATGGAGGTCTTAGTTGAGTCAACTACACGCAACTTTAAGGGTTCACCAGGAAGATCTGAAGTAAAAAAAACGAAACCAAAAAAAGCAAACATTTTTAGTAGCTACTTACAAACCCATTTTAAATATAAACACTACAATTTTGAAGCAAATTGAAATGTTGTGGCTTACCAATGGGGTCATAGGCCTTGTAAAGGTCAGAGGCCTCAGAGTAGTTTCCGGCACCGGCTTTGTTTACAGCACAAACTCTGAACTGGTACTCATTGTTCTCAGTTAGGTTACTGACTTTCTGTCTGGTGTCTCTGATTGTTCCCTTCACCACCTAGAGCAAAACAAGTGATATTTGTATTTAACCATTGATAAACCATTTTTGAACTGAATAGAATGTCCACGATTTGTTTGGCAATCAACAAGCAAGAAGCCAATAAATATGAAAGATAAACCAACCTTGAACCACTGAAGACTCTTCTTCTCCCTTTTCTCAAGGTAATAGCCATCAATATCACTGCCTCCATCAAGTGCAGGTCTTTCCCAAATCACCGTCATTGTGGACTTGGTGATCATAGTGACCTTGGGCTTGGATGGTTCACTTGGGGGAACTGTAGAATATTAAAATATACAGTTCGGATAAGTCTGTTTAGTCTATTCTACTGTATTGAACTAGTAACACTGCTTTGTGTTTTTTGTTACCGAACGGATTCTTTGCAATAATGGGCTCAGACTCCAGTGGGTCTCCAATGCCATATTTGTTGACTCCACGAACTCTAAAGATGTACTCGTTGCCCTTGATGAGTCTGGGTACATTCACTATGCAGTCAACGAGTTTCTCAGACACAATAGACCACATGACTCTGCTGGTTTCTCTTTTCTCTACAATATAGTGCGTAACCATGGCACCTCCCTCATCCGCAGGCGGGGACCACATGATGGTGATGTTGTCAGCCATAACCTTCTTGAATTGAATTTCTCCAGCAGGGGGTCCTGGCTTGTCTGATGGAATAAATATATTCAAATTATGTATATATCATCTTGTTTATGTCCAAATTAAAATATTTTAGATTATTATCTAAATACCTTGAATAAGCAGCCTAACAATGGCGCATGCAGATCCCAGGGAGTTCTTCACCTTGACCTCATAGGTCCCTGAGTTTAGACGAGTGGTGTCCCTCAAGAATATACTGGTTGATTCAAACAGGTGTTTGAAAGATAGCTGAGCAGAAGGTTTTAGCTCTCTGCCATCTTTAAACCACTCAATTGTGGGGGCAGGTTTAGCTGTGATATTAAATTTGAGTTGTACGTCTGAGCCAGCCTTGTATTTGACCTCGTTAAGGTACTCCTGTGGAATTTCAATCTCTGGGGCACCTGATGAAAACAAACACAATTTTATTTTTAATTTCTCATACATATAGGTATCCCAAATAACAGGAGCACAATGTCAATGTGTGAAACAGATATGCCTCAACATACAAGGGGTAAAAACTAGGGCTGCAACAACGAATCGATAAAATCGATAAAAATCGACTTTTAAAAGCGTTGGCAACGAATTTAATCATCGATTAGTTGTGTCGCGCGATTAATGCGTCATCCGCCGCCGCCGTCATCCCGGGGAAGAAAAAAAAAATATGGCGGAGCGAGTCAGCGCCGCAGTTGCAGTGTTGCCAACTCAGCGACTTTTCAGACCCCTCCAGCGACTATTTTTTTAAAAAGCGACTAGCGACAAATCTGGCGACTTTTTACAGTGTCACTGGCGGCTTTTGGAGATTCTTACGTGAAAGCATGTATCGTTCCTACTCTTGTCCTCCAGTGGCAGCTGCTGCCGTGGGGCGCCTCCCCCATCCCAACGCCTTTCTCCCTCTCCCACAAGAATCCCTCTCAGCGCTGCAGTCCGAGCCGCAGGATTTTAGTGAGGAGTTTATCCTCAGCTTCCAGACTGCAAATGAAGCGCGCATGCCCCGGGATTGACGGCGCAAATTGATCACAATAATTAAAATAGCCTGCGCTTTGTAAAGTGAAAAAAGTCGTAACATGCAACTTTTGTAAAAACAAATAAACATGGCACGGAAGCACCACTGTTATGACGCAGCACCTGAAAAGAAAACATGTTGGAGCCTTCAATGGCAGTGAAGATAGCTCATCAGCAGGATGAGTAACCATGTTTTTTTCATTTTAAAGTGGGGAAACGTAAGTTAGTTTCTCAGGTAGCTCATCTGATGCTTTCCTTACCGTGTTAGTAGGTTACAGACAGTGATAAGGTTGGCTACTTATTTTACTTTTAATTTCATTTGAATTAGCTTAAGCAGCGTTTATATTTACTTTATAAATAAATTAATTTGCAAATTATGAGGGCAAGGCTTTTAAAGTTTAAATCTTCTCGCAAAGATAAAGTAAAGAAGATCCTGCAATTTATGGAAGTAAAGCAGAATAAAATCCAGCAAGATCAGTAATATGTCAATTAATTATATGCCACATTCCCATGGAAATAGTATCTGTCTTTGGAGGATGTGTTTTTTTTACCACCCCTAGTTCTCTCATTGTATTTTCCAAATACAATTTATAATTTGAATCACAGGGCTATTTTTATCTCTATGGTTCAGTATTTTCTCAAGTAGCAACTTTAACTGCTATACTTTCCTGTCTTAAAAGGCAGAACTCTATTAGTCTAAAAAAAACCTCATTTGTTGAAATGGGGGGGCCTATTGTTTGAACCCCTTAGGGGCTTTAACAAACAAAAATGTCTGTCTCTTTTTGCGCTTTATGAAACAAAGTACTCTATATTTTGTGGATGTACAGCTACATTTCTCATGTAAGTTTGCGTAGTTTTAAAACAAACATTTATTTTTCATATTGCACCAGGACAGTTAATGAGCAACCTGTACTTGTGTGCTTGTTTGTTCTGAATAAAATGTTTATTTTGGAATAAAGAGGTTAATATAAAAAAAATATTTTGTGTCCGATTCATCGATTAATCGAAAAAATAATCGGCCGATTCATTGATTTTTAAAATAATCGTTAGTTGCAGCCCTAGTAAAAACAAAATTGTGTAAAACAAAAAGGCAGCAGATTATTTGGGATCTCTCTGAAATAATTTACATAAATTCAAATACAAAAGATATTCATACCATAGGTGTCCACACAGGTAACTGGTCCAGCTGTCATAGATGGGTTGCTGACTGAACCAACAGCATTTTTGGCCATCACCCTGAACTCGTACGTTTCATTCTGGGTAAGTCCAGTCACAGTGAAATGTGTGTCTGTGATATTGGTGAGGTGAGCTTTGAACCACTTCGGACTAACACCCTCTCTTTTCTCAATCATGTAAGCAGTAATAGGGGATCCACCATCATAGTTGGGCTTCTCCCAGGCAAGGCTGATAGTGGTTTTGGTGATGTCACTGATTCTGAGGTTAATCGGTGGTTCTACAGAAATAAACAGGAATTAAATTAACATGGTTTTTTTCATAGAAGTTGAAAAGATTTGATTTCTGTAAACCTTTGCAATTACTTCTTTAGTACTACTCACCACAGGCATCTATTGCCAGCACAGCATCTGAAGACTTGCTGAAAGCACTAAGACCAGCCGCATTTTCTGCTGCCACCTTAAACTCATAAATGAGTCCAGCATTAACATTAGTGACCTTATAATGTGTGGCACGGATTACAGTTTTGTTAACTCTCTGCCACATGATGCTGTTTCTATCTTTCATCTGGAGATGGTAACCAAACACATGGCTTCCTCCATCTGACTTGGGCTCCTTCCAGGCTAATGCAATGCTCTCCCTGGTTACCGCAGTAATCTCGGGAGTTGATGGCACATCTGGAACAGCTGAAAGATAAACAGCAGTGTTAAAAGTTTTTATATTTTATTATCAAAACGGAGATTTAAAGTCACACATTAGAAAATGGAAAATAAATAAAACCCTTACTGTATGGAAGGTTCACTGTGACTACTGGAGAGTCAATATGTTCGCTTATTCCATATTTGTTTTCAGCCCTGATTCTGAACTGGTACTCCAGGCCAGTGGTAAGTTTCAGAATCTTTATAGTGCAACGGGCCACAGCAGAAGACACATCAATCCAGTTTGCTGTAGTTGTTTCTCTCTTCTGGATGATATAGTTTGTGATTGGGCTACCACCATCATATGCTGGTGGGAACCACCTGAGGCCTACACTGTCTTCTGTGACATCAAACAGTTCCACAGGTCCAAGTGGGACACTAGGGCGATCTAGAACCACAATATTGACAAAGGACTTGGTGGTTCCACTCGAGTTGGAGGCAGTTATATCATAGCGTCCTGTGTCTCCTGCAACGCTTTCACGCAGGATGATTTTGATGCTGTCAGGAGTGACTTCAGAGTTGAACCTCATTGTTGACTTGAGCACTACATTATCCTTGGAAAGAGTGACTTTGGGCAGGGGTTGGCCAGTCAGAGGAATTTCACACTTGAGAGTGGAGCCAGCTCGGACGTACACTGTGTTGTGGGGGAAGTCCTTCATAATGACTTCGGGAGATTCTACAGAAACACAAAGATCAAAGTTTTATCACATCATTAGGTTTTTGACCCAATTGTCAATAGAAGACAAGTCAACCAAAAAAAAACAAAAATTTTTCTTGGTTGAAATAGTGACTTGAAAAATGTTCATAATTTCAAACGTACCAAGCTGATCTTTGACCATGACAGGGGTGAACATTTCCTTAACATCGCTAAATCCGGCATGGTTCTCAGCTTTGACTCTGAAGAAGTACTCTGATTTCTCCCTTAGGCCAGACACTGTAAAGTGGGTAAACTTGGTTACACCACATTTAACCCACTTCTCCTGACCCTTTTCCAGTGCTTCAACCAGATATCCAGTAATTCTGCTGCCTCCATCATGTTCAGGTTTAGCCCACGCCAATGACACGCTCTCCTTAGAGACATCAGTTACTCCAAGCTTTGGTGGGGGGCTTGGCTTTTCTGGAAAAAGATGACAATATATGCTTCATTGACAAATCTGTTTTTTTTTTCATTTGTATAACTATACAAATATAACTTAGAATGTATCTGTGTAAATGTAAATACCTGTAATCTTGGTTCCCTCTTTGGTCTCAGCAGAAACACCAACACCATAGTCATTCTCCCCTGTCACTCTAAAGTAGTAAACTTCTCCCTCCTTTAGGTTTGACACCTTGTATGTCAGCCTGTGGCATGTGTCAGTCAACCTAGTCCAGCCTTTCTTGCTTGCCTCTCGGAAATCAACAAGATAGTTCTTAACTGGACCTCCTCCTTCATTCTCTGGGGTGTCCCAAGTCACAACAGCAGATGTTTTAGTCACTTCTTTGACTCCCACAAATGCAGGAGGTCCAGGTGAGTCAAGCACTCTAACGTTGAGTGTAAGTGAGGAGGTTCCAGCAATGCTAGACAAGGTAACAGTGTATTTTCCAGAGTCATCACGTGTTGCCTTCTCCAAAGTAATTGAGGTGAAGGTGTCTGTGGTGTCGATAACAGCACGTACTCTAAGGTCAACATCAGGCTTTGTCCAGGTAACAGCAGGAATGGGCTTGCCTCTGAAGGGTACTGTCATGGTAAATGAGCTTCCATCTTTCACAACAAGAGTCTTCCTCATCTCATTACTTATTTCAAAGACTGGCTCTTCTTCTTTTTCTTTAGCAGTCTGTTTATCTGACTCCGGACTAGGCTCACTTGCTCCAATTTTGTTGATGGATCTAACAACAAATACATATTCAGCCCCAGGAGTCAGCCCTACAACTGTAAACTCTGTATTTTTGGTGTTCTGAACTCCAATGAACCATTCATCATCTAATGACTTTCTGTATTCCACTCTGTAACCAGTCACAGGTGCTCCACCATCAAATAGCGGCTTATTCCATGCCAATGTAATTGTTGTCTTTGTTGAGTCGATGATCTTGGGCTTAGCTGGAGGTGAGGGCAGAAATTGTGGGTCTTCAGCCTTGGTGAGCGGGCATGGGGTGCTTGGAGCACTAAGTCCTGCGGCATTTTCTGCAAACACCCTGTACTCATATTCACTTCCTTCACGAAGGTTGGAGGCTTTGACTCTGAGGTCGTAGACAGGTTTCTTGTTGACACCGCACCAGCGGAGGCCAGTCTTCTCACGCTTTTCAATTACATAGCCAGAGATACTGCTGCCACCATCAGAAACTGGTCTTTCCCAACAGATTGTCATGGCCTCACTAGTAACTGAGGTGACCTGGACATTAGTGGGGGCTGCAGGTACAGTAAACGGATCTATAGCTCTAACTGGCTCACTCTCTAGGGCCTCACCATCTCCATATTTGTTAACTCCTCTGACCCTGAGAATGTACTCATTTCCTTTGAGCAGCTTGGTAACCTTGCAGGTAGTTGCCTTCATGTCACCATAAACAAGGGTCCAAGCAAGGCGACTTGTCTCACGTTTCTCCACAATATAGTGCATTATTTCAGCTCCACCATTCTCCTGAGGTGGACCCCATGTTATGGTGCATTTCTCTGCTGTAACATTTGAAACTGCCAAAGGTCCAGAAGCTGGTCCAGGCCTATCCAGAACCTTACAGTTGACAGCTACAGATCTGGTTCCAGCTACATTGTGCAAAGTCAAAACATACTGTCCAGAGTCCCTCCTGATAGCATCCCTGACAATCAGAGTGGTTGTGAAGTTGGTGGAGCTTACTTCACACCTGGCCTTGGCCTCAATGTCTTTTCCATCCTTGGACCATGAGACCACTGGGATTGGACGTCCTGTAATTTCAGCATCAATTCTGATTATTTCTCCAGCCTTAATGACAACTAACTGCCTGAATTTATCCGCCAAGTCAATGGCTGGGGCCTCTACATCATCTTTGATGGTGACAGGACCAGTGCATTCTGAAGGCGAACTCAGCATATCTGCGGAATTCTTTGCAATAACATGGAAATCATACTGTGAATCTTCTGTAAGACCTGTGACATCAAAGTAAGTCTCCTGTAGATTGGCGAAGTTACACTTAAGCCAGCGACCATTGGGAAGCTCTTTGCGCTCTACAATGTATCCAACAATTTTCACTCCACCGTCATATTCAGGTGGATCCCAGAACAGAGAAACCGAGTTCCTGGTAATATTTGTGACTTTAAGGTTATGTGGTGATTCACATGGGTCCCTGGCTGCAACTGGTTCACTAGGTTTAGTACATGGACCAATACCAGCAATATTCTCAGCATATACTCTATACTGATAAAACAGACCTTCCTCAGTGCCAGTCATCTTAAATTGGTTTTCAGTCAGCAGACCTCTATTGACTTTGGCCCACAAAATGCTGCTTTGGTCTTTGCATTCAATATGATAACCAATGACAGGGCTTCCACCATCACTGGCTGGTCTGCCCCATACCACAAGCATGCCAGTCTTGGTGGCATGGGCCACATGAAGATTGGTTGGAGGACCAGGAGGCTCAAATGGATATTGTGCAACAACAGGAGCAGAATCAATTGCGTGACTCTTGCCATAACGGTTCTCAGCTGCAATGCGGAACTGGTACTCTGTGCCCTGATTGAGACGGGAAACTTTAATTGATGTCCTGGCTACTGTAGCTGAAACAATTTGCCATGTTGTTGAGGTAGTGTCTCTCTTCTCCACAACATAGTTATTAATCTGGCAGCCACCATCATAGGTTGGAGCATCCCAGGACAGAGAGATGAAGTCAGCACTCACTTCATCTACCCTAATGTTACTGGGGGGGCCAGGCTTATCCAAAATTATTACTGAAATTTCAGCTGTTTTTGTACCGATTGAATTAGTCAGAGTGATCTCATATTTTCCAGTATCCTCTTTGGTGGAATCTTTGATGATGATCTTGGATGAGGTCTTTGAATTGAGAACATTTACCCTAGTAGTCTGCTTGAGCACATGGCCATCTTTCTTCCAGGACACCTCAGGCTGAGGTCTGCCTTTCAAAGGAACATCAATCTTTAAATCATCTCCTGCTTTCACACTGTATGTATGGAAAAGCAAATTGATGGTTGGCTCCATTGTTATGTCTTTAACCACCACAGGGGCAGCCAAAGGCTTGGGATCACTCCTACCCTTGTCATTCACAGCAATTACTCTGAAGGAATATTCCTCTCCAGTAGAGAGTCCATCAATTGTAGCTTCTAGTGCTTTGGCTTCACTGCACACTGTCCATTTTTCATCTCCTTTGGGCTGCATTTCAACAATATAGCTTGTGATTTTGCTGCCTCCATCATTATCAGGTTTCTCCCATGAAAGTGTGACAGTATGGCGAGTTACATCAAACACAGCAATTTTTCCAGGGGGTAAAGGTGCTTCTGAAACCTTGACTTGATCTGTGGTAGCTGGCAGCCCAACTCCCAGTTCATTAACAGCCAACACACGGAAGAAGTATCTACCTCCCTCCTGCAGGTCAGAAATAATGTAAGAGTTCCGAACACAGTTGGTGCTAACACTGGTGAAAGCCATTCGCTTCTGCTCTCTCTTCTCCACAATATAGTGAGATATCTTAGCACCACCATCAATAAGAGGAGGCTCCCAGGAAAGAGAGACAGAATGTCTCTTTACATCCTTAACCTGTAGGTTTGTTGGGGCGCTGGGAGAGTCCAGGACTCTAACATTGATAAAGGCTGACTTAGAGCCACTAAGGTTCTCAAGCGTTAGCACATATTTGCCAGTGTCAAACCTGTCAACATTCTCAATCACAAGCATTGTATAAGAACTTGTGACTTCAATTTGGGCACGCTCATTTAGAGTGCCATCAGCCTTTGACCATTTGACTTCAGGCTCAGGCTTTCCTCTGATAGTCACAAAGAGGCGCAGGGTTGCGCTGGCACGGACATTGACCATCTTTCTCAGATCAGCATCTAATTCAATTTCAGGGGCCTGTAGCTTCTCAGCAGCAATCACAGACCCTGGCAGGTCCACATGATCGCCTACTCCCTCACAGTTTATTGCGCATAGGCGGAAATTATATTCTCCATTTTCCTTCAATTTCTTTACAGTGTAGTGAGTGTCTTGCACACCAGTAGGAGGTGTGCAAACAATCCATTCATCGTCTAATGCCTCCTTCATTTCAACTACATAACCTGTAACCTGTGCTCCACCATCATAGATGGGTCTAGACCACGAAAGGGAGACTGTAGTGCTAGAATGGTCAGTGACCTTGGGGTTATTTGGAGGTCCTGGTGGATAAATGGCATCGCATGCTTTGATATATTCTGTTGGTGCACTAGGCTTTCCAACACCAGCAGCATTTTCAGCTGAGACCCTGAATTCATAGGAATGACCCTCTGTAAGACCAGTGCACCTAAATCTTAAGTCAGTCAGTCTCTTCTTGTTACACTTGGTCCATCTGATCCCATCCTTATCACGTTTTTCAAGTACATATCCTTCAATCTCAGCTCCCCCATTGTTCTCTGGCCGCTCCCAAGTAAGCACAATGGAATCCCTTGTAATAGCACTGGGTTCAGGAGTAGAGGGCGCACTGGGAGTGGTGAATGGATTACGAGCAACCACAGGCTCAGATTCTAAAGGTTCGCCAACTCCATATTTATTCACAGCAGTAACTCTGAAGATGTATTCATTTCCAGGTAGCAGTTTTGTTATTTTGTAGCTGATCGCCTGAATCTTTGGCTCAACCATGGTCCATGACAAACGACTTGTCTCTCTCTTTTCAATAATATAGTGAGAAATGCTAGCTCCACCATCATGTAAGGGATGGTTCCAGTGCAGATAACATTTTTCAGCTGTCACTCCTTTGACCTCCAATGGTCCATCTGGAGGGCCAGGTCTGTCCAAAACCTTTACGTTGACTGGGATCATTTTGACGCCACCTACATTAACAAGCTTAAGAACAAAGTGCCCCCCATCAACTCTTATGCAGTCTTTAACTGTCAGGATAGTGCGGGTAAGTGTGGTCTTGATTTCCATTCTGGGAGTGGTCTTATCAATTTCCTTCCCTTCCTTTAACCATGTGACCTCAGGTAGAGGCTTACCAGTGTAGTCGGCATCAATGATAAATGTCTCACTGGCATGGACAACAGTCAGATCTTTGAATTTGGAATCCATTGTGGCATCTGGAGCCTCTATTTCATCTTTGGCTGTTATTTCCCCTGTGCTTTCAGATGGGGAACTAGAAATTCCGGCAGCATTCCTTGCAATGACTCTAAATTCATAAACACAGTCTTCTGTAAGACCAGTCAGAGTGTACTGGGTGTCAATAATGTTGGTGAAGCTTGCCTTCATCCAGCGCATATCTGGGTGCTTCCTTCTCTCAATTAAATACCCAGTGATTGCACTGCCTCCATCATACTGGGGTCTGGTCCACTGAAGTGTGACACGATTTCTGGTGATTTCAATTGCCTCAGGCGTGCCTGGTGGGTCACATGGGTCCCTGGCTACTGTGCTGTCTGAGACCTTGCTAGCTGGGCTGAGACCAGCAATGTTTTCAGCATAAACTCTAAATTCATACTCTATACCTTCTTCCAATTCTGTAGTTTTAAATCGTGTATCTGGTATTAGAAGCTTGTTAAGTTTAGCCCATAAAAGGCTGTTCTTCTCTTTTCTCTCCAGGTGATACCCTAAAATTGGGCTACCCCCATCACTGGTGGGTGGTTTCCATTCAACGACCATACTATCCTTAGTTGCATGTGTAATATCTGGTTTTCCAGGGGCAGCAGGCTCACTGAATGGATATTTGGCAACTACAGCGGGAGAGACAATAGCTGAACTCTTTCCATATCTATTCTCGGCAGAGACTCTAAATTGATATTCAGTTCCAGTCTTTAAATTTGTGACTTTGATAGTTGTCCTGGCAATTGTAGCAGACACAATCTGCCACGCTGTAGTAGTGGTGTCTCTCTTCTCTACAATGTAGTTGTTGATCTGACAGCCTCCAGTATAGACTGGGGGTTCCCAAGACAGCATTACAAAATTAGAGCTGACTTCCTCTATCTTTATTGGGCCTGTAGGAGGTCCTGGTTTGTCAAGAATTATAACAGTAATCTCCTCTGTAGCTGTTCCAATGCTACTGGTGGCTGTAACAGCATATTTCCCAGCATCCTCTCTATTAGCATCTTTGATGACCAACTTAGTAGATGATGGTGTGTTTGACACATTTATTCTGGTTGTCTCCTTTAGAGTTTGCCCTTCCTTCTTCCATTCAACCTTTGGAATGGGGCGTCCAAGCACTGAGATCTCAATTTTCAGATCCTCGCCTTGTTGCAAACTGTAAGTATTGAATCTCATTTTGAATCTGGGCTCAGCGGTAACATCCTTAGCAGTTACTGGTGCAGCCAGAGGCCGGGGGTCACTCTTGCCCTTGTCATTGAATGCTGATACTCTAAAAAGGTACTCATGTCCTGCACTGAGGCCTGTGACCGTTCCCTCACAAGTTTTGGTTGTGGCAGCCACAACCCATTCTTCTGAGCCTACAGGCATCATCTCAATGTAGTATCCAATGATCCTGCTGCCTCCATCATGGACTGGCTTTTCCCAGGAGAGTGAGGCTGAGGTTTTTGTGACTTCAGTCAAATTAACTTTTCCCACTGATAAAGGTGGCTCAGATGCTTTAACAGGTTCTGTTGTTTCAATTGCCTGTCCAACACCAAATTCATTCTCTGCTAAGACTCTAAAGTAATAAATTGTTCCTTCAGTTAGGCCTGTGATACGATAACTTGTCTTTGTACATTTATTGTCCACATTTGAGTACACTTTTCTGGTTGACTCACGCTTTTCAACCAAGTAATTCTTTATTCTTGCACCACCATCAATAATTGGGGGTTCCCAGGTCAAAGTGACACTCTCCCTCTTTATGTCTTTTACAATTAGATTTAATGGAGCCCCTGGTGTGTCCAAAACTTTGACAGAAACAAAAGCTGATTTGCTTCCAGCACTGTTTTCTACATTAAGGATGTATTTTCCAGCATCATATTTATCGCAAATGTCAATGGAGAGCTGTGTGTAATCGTCACCGGTCTCAATCTGTACTTTACTTGGCAGTTCCCCATCCTCTTTGGCCCAACTTATTTCAGGAGAGGGACGACCCTTAAAAGGAATGCAGATTCTCATTGAGCCTCCAGCGCGAACAACTATTCCCTTCCTGAGCTCTGAATCTAAACTCATTTCTGGAGGATCGATTTTATCCACAGGGATAACGACTCCTTGAATTTCTGTGGGCTCACCAACACCAATTTTATTTATCGCACAGACACGCACTTTGTATTCTTGGTGCTCTATCAAACTTTTGATGGTAAATTTAGTAGCATGTACTCCTGTAGGTGGTGTGCATATAGTCCACTCCTCCTCCTCTGCCTTGGTAATTTCAACGGCATATCCTTGGATTTCACAACCACCATCATATATAGGTCTGTGCCAAGCTAAGCTGATGGAGTCTTTTGTTGTGTCAACAACATGGGCATTGGTGGGAATGCCTGGTTCGAAAGTAGGGTCACAGGCTTTAAGGTAGGGTGTAGGTGGACTTGACTGGCCCACTCCAGCTGCATTCTCAGCAGATACCTTGAACTCATATTCATGGTCCTCAGTGAGTCCTGTTACTCTAAAACGCAAGTCTGTCACTCTGCGTTTGTTGCACTTGGTCCACCTTACTCCAGCTCTGTCTCTCTTTTCAATAATATAACCAACAATTTCACTTCCTCCTGTAGACTCTGGACGGTTCCAACAGACAGTCATTGAATCCCTTGTAATGTTAGTGATCTCTAGTTCACAAGGTGCACCAGGAGGAACAAATGGATTTCTCATGACAACTGGCTCTGATTCCAGAGGCTCACCTACCCCGTACTTGTTGACAGCCATGACTCTAAAGATGTACTCATTGCCTTTCAGTAGTTTTGTTACCTTGAACATTGTAGCTCCACAATCACTAGAGACCACAGTCCATGCCAAGCGACTAGTTTCTCGCTTTTGAATGACATAGTGAGAAATGCTGGCTCCTCCGTCATGCCTGGGTGGCAGCCATGATAGTGAGCATTTCTCCTCAGTAACATTACTGACTGTGAGGGGACCCTCTGATGGGCCTGGTCTATCCAGTACCTTCACAGTGAACGGAACTGTCTGAGTTCCAGCAACATTTGTTAGAACCAACGTGTACTGTCCACCATCCACTCTAATAGCATCCTTTACTACAAGTAATGCGTTAAAATCGGAGTTCTTTATTTCAGCTCTTGCAGAGTTTTCAACTTCAACACTTCCCTTGAACCACTGAGCTGTTGGAATGGGTTTTCCTTCCACACTAGCCTCCAGAGTGAAAGTCTCTCCAGCATTGATGACAATAGTTTGATTGTACTTAGAATCAGTCTCACACTTTGGTGGCTCAACTTCATCCTTAGCTGTTATGGATCCTGTCGTCTCAGAGGGCTTGCTAACAGCACCAGCGGCATTCCTTGCAATCACTCTAAAGTCATATTTACTGCCCTCTGTCAGGCCAGTAACTATGAATTCATTTTCAATAATGTTTGCAAAGCTTGCCTTCATCCATTTTCCCTCTGGAAGGTCTCGCTTCTCTACTGCATAGCCAGTTACAAGGCTTCCACCATCATACTGTGGGGGTGTCCATCTGAGCTTCACTGAATGTCGGGTTACAATAACAGCTTGAGGACGGCCAGGAGGATCACATGGATCACGAGCTACATAAACCTCAGAAACTTTGCTGCACTTGCCAATGCCAACTATATTCTCAGCATATACTCTGTACTCATACTCGATGCCTTCCTCAAGAGGGGTAGACTTGAATTTACAATCTTGAATGAGCATTTTGTTGATCTTTGTCCACAAGATACTATTCTTCTCTTTCCTCTCCAAATGATAGCCCAAAATAGCACTGCCTCCATCAGATGGTGGTTTATGCCACTCAACCACCATATAATCTCTAGTGTATGAAGAAACATATGGTGTTCCTGGTGGCCCAGGCTCCTGGAAGGGATACTGTGCTAAAACAGGCTCGGAATCAATTGCATAACTCTTTCCATATCTGTTTTCAGCAAAAATTCTAAACTGGTATTCAGCACCTGTCTTTAGATTTGCTACCTTTAAAGTTGTTCTAGCCACAGTGGCAGAAACAACAACCCAATTAGTTGTAGTTGTATCTCTTTTTTCCACAATATAGTTGGACACTGGACAGCCACCTGTGTAGGTAGGGGGTTCCCAATTAAGAGTGACACTCTCGGCACTGATATCCTCAATCTTGACCGGACCTGTTGGTGGTCCAGGTTTGTCAAGGGTGATAACCTCAATCGTGGCATCCTTGGAACCCAAGGCATTGGTAATATTGATACTGTACATACCACCATCATCTCTGGTGGCATCCTTAATGGTTAGAGTAGTATGATGTGCTGAGTCACTTACATTTACTCTGGTAGTCTGCTTAAGTGCTACTCCATCCTTGGTCCAAGTGATAGTTGGTTTTGGATGACCAGCAAATGGAACCTCTATCTTGAGATCATTCCCCACCTGAACGCTGTAGGAACTTGATTTAGGTCTTACAGAGGGCTCTATGATAAGGTCCTTTGCTACAACTGTATGAGCCAGTTGTCGTGGGTCACTTTTACCTTTTTCATTTACAGCAACAACTCTGAACTGATATTCCTCTCCCTTCATAAGGTTGCTTACTACTGTCTCCAGGCCTTTCACACTGGCACACACAGTCCAGTCCTCACTATCTTTGGGAGCCATTTCAATGTCATAATGGCTGATTCTACTACCACCGTCATATTCAGATTTCTCCCACTTTAGAGTAACTGTGCTGCGAGTCACATCAAGAACACTAACCTTACCAGGTGGTTGAGGCTTCTCAGATATTTTGATTGGATCCATAGTTTTAGCTTGGAGACCAACACCATATTCATTCTCAGCTAAGACTCTAAAGAAGAAGATTCCACCCTCTGGAAGAGGCTCAACTTTCCATGACATCTTGTTACACGTTGTGATAGTAGTGTAAACTTTCCTTGTGCTTTCACGCTTCTCAACAATGTAATGCTTAATCTTTGAGCCACCATCCAGAAGTGGAGGCTCCCATGAGAGTGTGACAGAGTTCCTAGTAATCTCTTTAACAGTTAAGTTAGTTGGTGGACTAGGAGAGTCCAAGACTCTGACACTGATGAACACTGACTTGACTCCACTAGCATTTTCTGCAGTCAGTGTGTACTTGCCACTATCAAATCGGTCAACATTTTCAATGGTCAGAGAGGCATAGCTTCCCGTGTTGTCAATTTGGGCTGTCTCTTTAATCTCCCCATCAACCTTGCCCCATTTCAACTCAGGAGCAGGCCGTCCTCTCACAGGAACAAACAATCTCAGAGTGCAAGCTGATCTGATGTTGATCATTTTTCTCATTTCAGCATCTAATTCAAGATCAGGAGCCTCAAGTTTCTCTTCAAGTAGGATTTTACCCGGCACGTCAGCATGTTCTCCAACACCAATTTTGTTGATTGCACAAACCCGGAACTGATATTCATGTTTCTCCAGAAGCTTTTTCACTGTAAATTTTGTCTCTGTTATTCCAGAGGGAGGAGTACAAATAAACCACTCATCAGCTGCTACATTGTATGCTTCAACAATATAAGCCTTAATCTCGCTTCCACCGTCATATATGGGCTTGCCCCATGTAAGAGACACAGTTGACCTAGAGGTATCTACTACCTTAGGGTTGTTGGGTGGCCCTGGTTTAAAGACAGGATCCAGTGCTTTATAGTAGATTGTTGGTGAGCTAGGTGTGCCAACTCCAGCAGCATTCTCAGCAGCTACTCTGAATTCATAGCTATGGTTTTCTATGAGTCCTGTTACTCTAAACCGTAATTCGGTCACATTTCGCTTGTTGCATCTAGTCCATCTAACACCATCCTTATCACGTTTCTCAATTACATACCCCTGAATGGAACTGCCACCATCATTACTTGGCCTCTCCCAGGTAACAACCATTGAGTCCTTAGTAATTGAAGAAACATCTACCTCAGTTGGTGGGCTTGGTGTGACAAATGGATTTTTTGCAATCATTGCCTCAGATTCCAAAGGCTCACCAACACCGTACTTATTGACAGGAATAACTCTGAAGACGTATTCATTACCAGGAAGAAGTTTGGTGATTTTTAGATTTAGAGTCTGAACTTTTTGTTCAACTACAGTCCATACCAGTCTGCTGGTTTCCCTTCTCTCAACAATGTAATGGGAGACATCACTACCCCCATCATGCAAGGGAGGTTTCCAAGAAATTGAGCATTTCTCATTGGTGACACCATAGATAGAAATAGGGCCCTCAGGAGGACCTGGCCTATCCAAGACCTTGACCATAATGGTAATAGTTTTTTCTCCACCAACATTCTTCACAAGCAATGTGTACTGACCGCTATCAACACGAATAGCTTCCTTAACAATTAAACAAGCTGAAAAATTTGTATTGCGGATTTCTAAACGAGCTGCTTCTGCAATCTCACTGCCCTCTTTCAGCCAATGTACATTTGGTACAGGTTTACCATAAATAGCAGCTTCAAGTGTAAATGTCTCTCCAGCATTTACAACCACAACCTGGGAGTACTTTGCTTCCAAGTCAATTTTGGGTGGTTCAATCTCATCCTTGGCAGTGATGGATCCAGTAGAATCTGATGGCTGGCTAAAGACACCGGCTGCATTTTTAGCAATAACGCGGAACTCATAAGTCTGATCCTCAGTAAGTCCTGTGACAACAAATTCAGTCTCAATTACGTTTGCAAAACTGGCCTTCATCCAACGACCATTTGCCTCCTTTTTCTCAACAACATAACCAGTGATTTTGATGCCTCCATCAAATTCAGGTTTGGTCCATCTCAGTGTCACTTGGTTTCTAGTTACAATGACAGCCTCTGGTTTTCCAGGTCTGTCACAAGGATCCCTGGCCACTTGCATCTCGCTCACCTTACTAGGTTTGCTAAGGCCAACAATATTCTCAGCATATACTCTAAACTCATATTCAATGCCTTCTTCAAGACCAACCACTTTAAATCTTGTGTCTGGGATTAGCTGCTTGTTCTGTTTCACCCAGAGAATGCTGTTTCGCTCTTTAAGTTCCAAGTGGTATCCCAGTATTTTGCTTCCACCGTCTTTGCTGGGTTTCTCCCAGACAACAGTCATGGTCTCCTTGGTGGCTGACTGGACAACAACAGAATGCGGTGCACTGGGTATTTCAAACGGATACTGTGCAACAATGCTTTCAGAAAGGAGGAATGATGACTTTCCATATCTATTTTCTGCAGCAATTCTAAACTGATACTCTGAACCAGTCTTCAGACGAGCTGCCTTGATAGTTGTTCTAGCTACTGTAGCAGACACAATTTGCCAGTTTGTTGTTGATGTGTCTCTCTTCTCTACAATATAATTATTTATTGAGCAACCCCCATCATATTGTGGTGGATTCCAAGACAAGACTACACTGTCTGATGTGACCTCATCCAGCTTGATCGGACCAATTGGAGGACCGGGCTTATCTAAGACGACAACACTTATATCTGTTGCAGCCTCCCCAGCGGTGTTGTTTAGTTTTATGGTATACATACCAACATCATCTCTACAAGCATCTTTAATGATGAGAAGAAGGTTTTTGTCTGTGGCTTCAGTATTAACTCGTGTTGTTTCTTTGAGAATCACACCATCCTTAAGCCAAGTTATTGTAGCCTTAGGACAGGCTACATAAGGTACATCTATCTTCAGGTCATCTCCTGCGAGCGCACTAAAAGTGCTAAAAAGCAGTTTAAAGGCTGGTGGGATAACTAGATCTTTAGCCACCACGGGCACATTGAGAGGTCGGGGATCACTAACGCCCTTTTCGTTGAAAGCTGATATTCTGAACATGTACTCCTCTCCATGTGTAAGTCCAGTCACCTGAGCCTCATTGGTTTTTACTACCATCACTTGGGTCCATTTCTCACTTCCTTTAGTTTGCATCTCAACATTATAGCCTGTTATTCTGCTACCACCATCATGATCTGGTTTTTCCCAAGTCAGTGTGATACTGGTTCCAGTAACTTCACGGAGAGATACTTTGCCTGGTGGTAAAGGCTTTTCTGATGCCTTAATTGGTTCTAGAGTTTCAACTGGTAGACCAATACCAAACTCATTTTCAGCCAGTATTCTGAAGAAATACAATTTTCCTTCTTCCAGGTCTCCCACTTTCCAACTAGACTTATGACAGCTGGCACATACAGTCGAGTAGGCTTTCCTATGAGACTCCCGCTTTTCCACAATGTAGCTGCGGATTCTAGAGCCTCCATCAATGATTGGTGCATCCCAGACGAGGGAAACGGAGTCTCTTGTAACTTCCTTAACAATGAGATTTTGAGGTGGTCCAGGAGTGTCTAGTACTCTTACATTGACAAATGCTGTTTTACTTCCAGAGGCGTTCTCCACTGTCACCAAGTATTTACCCCCATCAAACCTGTCAACGTTTTCTATCTGAAGGGTTGTGAATGATGGGGTGATTTCAATATTTGCCTTATCTAGGGATTCACCATGCTCTCTTGACCATTTAACTTCAGGGGCTGGTCTTCCCTTAATAGGGACAAAAAGTCTGAGTGTGCTACATGCTCTTATGGAAACTACTTTACGTAGCTCTGCTCCAAGTTCAATTTCAGGAGGAATTAATCTGTCTTCTGCCTTAGGGACCCCAGGAACAGCAGCAGGCTCTCCTACTCCTTCACTATTTGTAGCACAGATATTAATTTTATAGTCCTGGTTTTCTTTCAGATTAGTGATAGTAAAGGATGTGGCTGTCCATCCCTTCTTGGGAGTGTGGATTGTCCATTCATCCTCCTCAGGCAGGCAGGTCTCCACGATATAACCAGTAATTTCAGAACCACCATCATACACAGGTTTATTCCAGGTGACTGTAATGGAAGACTTTGAGGTGTCTAGTACTCGTGGGTTTCCGGGAGGCCCAGGCTGGAAGATGGTATCAACAGCTTTGTAGAATGGACTGGAAGGGCTAGGCTGGCTGAGGCCAGCATTATTTTCAGCAAAAACTCTAAATTCATATTCATGACCTGGTGTGAGACCGGAGACTTTGAATCGTAAGTCAGTTACAGTCCTCTTGTTACATTTGACCCAGCGTAGGCCTGTCTTATCCCTTCTTTCAATTACATAGGTATTAATTCGACTGCCTCCGTCATGTTCAGGACGCTCCCAGCAGACAACCATGGAGTCTTTGGTAATAGTTGTGACCTCAGGCTGTGTTGGTGGGTCACTGGGGCCGTATGGGTTGACACAATTAACAGGTTCTGTTTCAAGGGGTTCACCTACACCATACTTGTTGACAGCCATGACTCTGAAAATGTACTCATTACCTTTAAGAAGCTTTGTGACCTTAAACCTGTTTGCTTGAAGATCTGTTGCGACATTAGTCCAAGCCAACCTGCTGGTCTCACGCCTCTGTATGATAAAATACTCAATCTTAGCACCGCCATCATGTGTTGGATGCAGCCAGTTAAGCACACATTTCTCTGCAGCAATATCTGTAACTGTAAGGGAATCTGGAGGTCCAGGTCTGTCTAGTACTTTCACATTGAAAGTGAACTTAGCAAAACCACCAGGATTGCTTGCAGTCAGGGTAAAAGCACCACCATCTCTTCTTAGGGAATCTTTGTTGATTAGAGTTGTGTGGAAGTCAGATGTCTTTATCTCTATTTTGGCTGTGTCCTCCAGCTCTTTTCCTTCCTTTGTCCATACTAAAGAAGGAATTGGTCTGCCAGTGACATTGGCTTCAAGTCTAAATGGCTCTCCTGCCATTACAACAACATTACTGCTGTATGATGCATCAACATCAAGCCTGGGCTCTTCAATGTCATCTCTGCATGTAATGGCTTCTGATGGTTGAGAAGGAGCACTGATAGCACCAGCTGAGTTTCGAGCAAACACACGGAATTCATATGTTGCATCTTCAGTCAAACCACTGACTGTAAACATGGTTTCCAGAATGTTGTTGAAATTTGCTTTGAGCCAGCGGCCATTAGGCAACTCTTTCCTCTCCACTGTGTATCCTGTGATGGAAAATCCTCCATCACCTTCTGGTTTGGTCCAAGATAATGTCACCTCATGTCTAGTAATATTTAATGCCACAGGTCTGCCTGGTGGATCAACTGGGTCCAAAGCATACATAGGTTCACAGGCCTTGCTAGGTTTGCTCAGACCAGCCATGTTTTCAGCAATAACACGATATTCATATGCAATGCCATCAACAAGGCCTGTTGATTTAAATATGTTTCCAACAACAAGAGCTTTGTTGATCCTCTGCCACAGAATGCTGTTTTTCTCTTTTCTATCAATGTGATAGCCAAGAATAGGACTGCCCCCATCAGAGGATGGCTCGTTCCAACTAACAGTCATTGAATCCTTGTTGAATGATGTGACCACAGGAATACCGGGCTGGCTGGGCACATCAAATGGATAAGCAGCCAACACTGGTTCAGAGAGAAGACATGGTCCAATGCCATATCTGTTCTGAGCCTTGATGCGGAACTGATACTGGGTTCCAGTATTAAGTCGTGCTGCTTTGAATGTGGTGCGAATAACAGTAGCTGCCAACTCCACCCATGAGGTGCCTGTAGTCTCCCGCATTTCAACAATGTAATTATTGATAGGAACACCGCCATCATTCTCAGGGGGTTCCCAGGACATGATGACATAATCACATGAGACCTCATCCAGCTTGACAGGACCAGTGGGTGGACCTGGAATATCGTGGACCAGGACTGTGATAGTTTCTGTCAATGTTCCAAGCATATTCTTCCCAGTCATTGAATACTGGCCTTGATCAGTTCTTTTGATCTCACTGATGTTAAGGATGGTTGATGTTGCTGTGGTTTCAATGTTGATTCTTTGGGTTTCTTTGAGCACTATGTCTCCCTTCTTCCATGAGACAACTGGCCTGGGTTTTCCCAACACGGGAATCTCCACCTTAACACGATCCCCTGCTTTGGCAATTACAGTTTTCTGGTAGACTCCTCTCAGGTCAAAAGATGGAGCAGATGTTTGCTCTTTAATCAGAGCTGGTCGGCTCTCGCGAGGATCACTCCTGCCTGATGCATTGACAGCCATTACGCGGAAGGTGTATTCAGCACCCTCAACAAGATCGGTCACAGTATAATCAAGAGCTTTGATGGTGGTTATGTGGACCCATTGATCAGTGTCTTTCTTTTGAGCCTCAATTACATATCCAGTAATCAAGCTGCCGCCATCATGAAGAGGCTTGGTCCATGCAAGGCTAGCACTGTCAGCGGTCATATCAGTAACATACAAGTTATCCGGTGGAGAGGGGGCCTGTGACACCCTTATAGGCTCAGCTGTTTCAGCGGGCTCACCTACACCAAGGTCATTTTCAGCAGAGACACGGAAGTAGTAATAAGCACCCTCAACAAGGTCTTCAAATTTAAAGGAACACTTTTGCCATGTGGTGCTAAGGACTGTGTAAGCCTTTTTCGTGGCATCTCTCTTTTCAATGATGTAGTTATGAATCTTGGACCCTCCATCAATAATGGGAATTTCCCATTGGAGAGTTATGCTGTTTTTAGTGATCTCTCTTGGTTTTAGGTTGACTGGGGGTCCAGGAGTGTCAAGAACTCTCACGTTGATAAAGCCTGTCTTCTTGCCAGCGACGTTCTCTAAAGAAAGATGATATTTCCCAGCATCGTATCTAGTGCAGTCAGGAATAACAAGTAGTGTGTAGGACTCTGTGGTATCAATGTGTGCACGTGCTTTCAGGTTGGTGTTTTCTTTGCTCCAAGTGACTTCAGGAACAGGGCGGCCCTTGATGGGAACAAATAGACGGATGGAAGCACGGCATCTAACGACAAGAGTTTTCCTAAGTTCAGCATCCAGCTCAAAGTCTGGTACGGTTTCCTGATCAACCAGTTCAGTTACTTTTTCAACCTCTGCAGGTTCACCTACTCCCTCAGAGTTTACAGCACAAACTCTGAAGTGGTATTTTCCTCCTTTTTGAAGTTTACCAATAATATATTCAGTAGTTTTAACTGGGTACTGTGTCTCTGTCTCCCAATCATCATGACCCTCTTTTTTATATTCAACGATGTACCCATCAACTTCAAGACCACCATCATAATGAGGGCGACCCCATGCGAAGTATGCTGTCGTTTTTGTAGTGTCTGTAATCCTAGGGTTTGATGGAGGACCGGGTGGATCTAAAAAAAAAATCCCATAACAACACCACAGTAAATCAGTATCATTTACAAAATTACACATTAGTAAAAGATTTCACATATGCTTTAAGCTAATTCTTTGAATACATGAAAAGCCTTCTTTACTTACATACAATGTCCTTGGTCATTACTGGGCGTGATGGCTCACTCGGCTGCCCAAATCCAGCTTTATTCTCAGCAGTGACTCTAAACTCATACTCTACTCCCTCACTCAGGCCTTGTACCTTGAAGCGAAGGTCAGGAACCGTCCTCTTACAGGCTCTAACCCATCTCATTCCTTTCTTTTCTTTCCTTTCTACACAATATCCTCTAATGTCACTTCCTCCGTCCTGTACAGGTCTCTTCCATGAAATAGTAACAGCATTTCGACTAACGTTATCAACCTCTGGGGCTGATGGTGGACCTGGTGGACCTGAAGATAACAAAAATGTATAGTCATAAAGAAAAAATATATTTCCAAGATTTGAGTGTAAATATTTTGACTGAATGTGGAAACAAGCAAACTTACCAAAGCTGTCAACCATTTTCACAGGACCAGACAAGCTAGAGTCTCCTGTACCATACAGGTTTACAGCAGTCACTTTAAAGATATACTCGTTGCCCTTTATCAGTTTGCTGGCTACAAATCTGCAGTCCATGATATTTTCAGCTACTTTGGTCCACTGTAGGCGGCTAGTTTCTCTCTTCTCAAGGATGTAGGACTTGATAGAAGCACCTCCATCCTCCTCAGGTGGAAGCCAGGTCAGGGTACACTTTTCAGCTGAAATGTTACTGACTTCAATGGGGCCTGGTGGTCCAGGAACATCAAGAACCTTCACTTTAATGTGTTCTTCTTTTATACCGAATGGGTTGGCTGCAGTGATTGTGTAGTCTCCTGTGTTCTTCCGGCTTGCATATTTAATAGCAAGAGTCGAGGAAGTTGGAGTGGTAGTCACAGTGACAATGTCCGAGTTCTTGAACTCACGACCTCCCTTGGACCAGAAAGAAGTTGGTGGAGGTTTGCCCAAAATCTTAGCAGCTGATATAACAATTGTGTCCCCTGCCTTGACAGATACAACATCTTTCATCTCTTGGTCAAGGGTGATAGATGGGGGCTCTGTTAAGAACAAGAAGAATTTGAAACATATATGGACATTTAAACCTTTTGATTTTGAGTGCACATAGTTTAATTATTTTGAACTTTCACACTACATACCAAACTCATCCCTGCAGGTCAGGGATTCAGTAGGCTCGGAGGGAACACTGATAGCACCAGCAGCATTCTTGGCCCTGATTCTAAACTGATACTGAGCTCCTTCTGTCAGGTCCGGGACAGTGAAAGCACAACTCAGGATGTTCACATGATTGGCCTTCATCCATGCCTTTCCACCAGCCTCTAGTTTCTCCACCATGTAGCCAGTCAGCTTGTAGCCACCATCGTATTTAGGAGCAGTCCACATTAGAGTGACTGAGTTCCTGGTTACATTGATCACGTCCGGGTTGCCAGGTGGATCTGATAAAATCAGAGAAAAGAAATGTAATCATACAAAGCCAGTTGTAATTCAGTCTAATTTATATGTGACAAAAAAAGGCTTGAAACTGACCAATAGGATCAAGTGCGACGACAGCCTCTGTGACTTTGCTTGCCTTTCCCAGGCCAGCCATATTCATGGCCATCACTCTGAACTCGTACTCTAGTCCTTCTATTAGACCTGTAACTCTACACTCCTTGACTCTCAAAGGAGTTTTACAGGCTCGTTTCCACATCAGGCTGTTCCTCTCCTTAAACTCAAGGTAATATCCTTGAAAAGAAAAAGACTCCAAATAATAAAATAAATGGCAACAGTTGACACTTGATTACTTGCTGACAGAGATTAATTTCAGTATCCTACCAGTAATGGGGGAGCCACCATTGTCTTTAGGATCAGACCAAGTCAGAATGGCCGACTCATGTCGAATGCTCAAAATCTCAGGAGGAGCTGGTGCCTCGGGCACATCTTTCGAAAAAAGGAGTGAGAATCAGTTAATTTGATTTAAATCTCTATACCCAAATATCCTACAAAAAATACGTCTACAGGAACACTTTGGAACATTAAAATGTGATCCAAGTAGAATCAGAATAAAAAGGGTTCCCAGCTGAACTAGATTGTCTCTGCCCTGAGAAAATCTGATCTACCAACAAACTTGCTGTTAAGTATAAACTTAACAATAAGTTTGATGGTAGAGAAAGGGGACTTCAGAGTAAGTTTGACTATAAGAGCAGAGTTGTACTCACTGAAAGGATGCTGGGCGATGACAGGGTCAGACCTCAGATATTCTCCAATCCCGTACTTATTCTCGGCACACACTCTGAAGATATATTCTATTCCATCATGGAGTCTGATCACCCTCATGGTTGTCTTCTGAATGGCTGATGCAACCGTAGCCCATTTGTTGTCTGTTGTCCTCCTCTTCTCAAGGATGTAATTGGACACCTCTGCGCCGCCATCGTCTTTGGGCGGTGCCCACTCCAGGGTGATGCCATCAGCTGTTATTTCATCAAACTTGATGGGCCCAGTGCATATACCCGGCTTCCCAACTACTTTTAGCTGGAACTTGCAGTCCTTTGAGCCGGCACTGTTTCTGACATTGATGGTGTAGGTATCAGCATCTCCTCTCTGGCAGTCTCTGATTAGTAGGGTGGTGAGGCCCTGGGAGGCCTCAATGCATAGACGTCCAGTGTCACCAACTCCCACATCACCCTTCTTCCAGGTGGCAGTGGGGTAGGGCACACCAATGACAGGAATGTTAATGCGCATGGTGGCGCCCTCCTTGACCACACAGCAACCATCCTGAAGACTGCTCAGGTTGCAGTCAGGCAGCACTGAAATGTTATAATTTAGTTATTGTCACTTTTCTGTTAAAAAATTTTTTTTTTCAGCTTAGACGATCAAGTAAGACCAAATGTGTCATAAACAGTAATTACATGATTTCCTTACCAAACTGGTCCTTTGCTACAGCAGTTAGCTCAGTTGGTGGTCCCTCCCCAGTCTCGTTGAGGGCCTTGACCCTGAATAAGTACTCTTTGCCCTCTGCCAGCTCGCTGATGGTGTGAGTGGTGTTCTTGCCCTTCATGATCTCCTTCCACTTCTCCTCACCTTCGCTCTGCTCCAGGATGTAAGAGGTGATGTAGCTCCCTCCATCACTTATGGGCTTCTTCCAGCCCAGTGTGATTGAGTTTTTGGTGGTCTTTTGGGCTTTGAAATCTGTAACTGGACCGGGTTGCTCTGCAAAGGTGAAGGTGGTACTGATCATTACCTGATGCGTTTTATATAACTAGACACTTTCTGATGAGGAAAGATGGTTATTTATTCCAGTGCGTAACTGAAATGTTTCACAGAGAACTTCCAAGTGTGAAAATTTACTCTGGTTTAGACAAACTATTCAAAAATATTGAATTAATAAATCTCTGAACGAATGACTCATTGCATACATTTCTCAGAAGTATAAAACATTATTACCTGAGGCCCGCACACTGCCCTCAGTCTCACAGCCTTCTCCAATGCCATAGGAGTTTTCAGCCAGAACTCTAAAGCAGTAGGCTTGACCTGGCTCCAGGTTTGTGATCCTAAAGGAGGTCTTGTGACACTCTGCTGAGACACAGGTCCATGCCTTCCTCTCAGCCAGACGTTTCTCTACAATGTAGCTCTTCACTGGACTTCCACCATCGATCATTGGTGGTTCCCAGTTTATCCAGGCATGGGTCCTGGAGGTCTCCTTAACAACCAGGTTGACAGGTGGTCCAGGGGAATCTGGATATGCAGAAACAGAAAGATATTTTATTGTATTAAATAATAAGTTAGGAGCCAAATGCCCATCTTCATTTACACCATGAACATTAATCAGGCATAAGGTAGTCAGTAGGAACTCTAAATGGTGAAGTGAATTAGGAAAGGTTATGTGTAGGAAACAGGAACTAATGATTATTTGGCCAAATTCTTAGGGCTTGACATTTTACTAAGAACTTTTTCCAAGTGGGGGTTTTGTTGGTGTTCCCCGTAAGTGACAGTCCCCATTCTGCTCAAAAGTGATTAAAGGAACAAAAAGCAATGAAATGGGATCAAAGTCATCCGCTGCCAAGATCAATGGATGCCCAATGGGAACAAAGGTTAGCCCCATGTGGTCCAATTCAAAAGTCAAGTGGCTTAAAACTGAGGAATAGTTTATTGCTGTTTTTTTTTTAGATTTTTTATTGCTGTTTCTGATGGGCAGGGTAAGAATATATTGTAGATTGAGGCAGCATTAAGTTAAGAAAGTATTTTCTACGAGCATTGTCTTTTTCAGCAGGGGAATGAGTCCTACCACTAGGGAAAAGCTGCAGGAAGGGTTTAGGAACAGAAAATGAATCTGAGGTGGCGACTTAACCTCCAAACTTCCAGAATTTTGTCTATTTGTGACATAAGCTGGACCAACAAGTTTAATATGTGTAGGTTGCAGTTATGAACTTCTGACTTGATGATGTCAGATACAACAGCTAATGCAAGTAGTGGGGAAGTACTGTGTTTCATCAACTGCTCAGAAAACAATTAGGTTAACATTGATTCCCTTTGACGTAATTCCTCTGTTCTCCTTCAGTGGTAGAATACCAAGCCAAAACAAGTTCTCAGATATATCCTTACCGAGGACCTTTACAATGATAGTGTAGCTCTTGGATCCACTGCTGTTCTCCAGAGACAGCACATATTTGCCTGCATCATATCTGTTGATGTCCTCAATCATCAGGAAAGTGTCCCATTCAGACGTCTTGATCAAGAGGCCTTGCCTCTCCTTAAGGTTGGCGTCCACCTTTGACCATGTCACCTTGGGGGCTGGGCGTCCTCTCAGCGGGACATAGAGCCTCATGGTGATGCCGGCTCGCAGAACTAAAGCCTTTCTCAGGTCAGCATCCAGCTCAGCTTCAGGGGCAACTGAAGAATAACAGAGATGTGCAATAGATGTAAGTGATGCAGTCCTTTCGTCTGAATTTAAATCCTGAGAAAATAATTAATTGCAGAGCTATTATTGCAGAAAAGTGGATTTTATAAACTGATGATAAACATACTCAGGATGTCCTTTGCCATGTGGTTCCCAGGAACCTCGCTGGGCTCACTGTAGCCAATCTTGTTGACAGCAGTGACTCTGAACTGGTACTCTGTGTTTTCCATTAGTCTAGTCACCACAAACTTGGTGGCCTGGAGTTTCTTTGGGACATTGCACTTGGTCCACTGCTCTGCATCGGCTCGCTTGCACTCCACCAGATATCCTGTGATTTCACAGCCGCCATCGTAAGCCGGTTTGGTCCAGCTGAGGCTGACTGAGCTCTTGGTAGAATCCACCACCTTGGGGAATGCAGGTGGGCCAGGTGGATCTTAAAAGAAATCATAGGGAAAAAAGTGTTACTCTAACAACATCAGGGGCAATTTCACCTTGTTTTTTTTGTATGTCATGTACTCACAGACAGGGTCGACAGCTAGAGCAGCGTTCGAAGCATCGCTGGGTTTGCCTAGACCGGCCTTGTTCAAAGCGATCACTCTGAACTCGTACTCTGAGCCCTCAGTCAGTTGAGTTGCCCTGATTGTTCTGTCAATAACCGGCCGACGGTTGACTTTAGCCCAGGTCAGCTCTGTGGCCTCACGTTTCTCCAATAAGTAACCCAGGATGGGAGCTTTGCCGTCGTTGGCGGGGGCTTTCCAACTGACAGTCATTGCGTCCTTGGTGATGTTTGTAATAACCGGTGGCTCACATGGCCCAGGAACATCTAGAGAGAGATAAGGTCATGGCAATCACACCACTATTTAAAACATGGGATATTTCTAAAATTAAACCAATATTTAACAGTTATATCATCTTTGTAGGACAAAGACAGTTTATTGATGATGAAAAATTAAGCTAAGCTTTAGCGTGAATGAGACTTCTGAGTAACCATCATGCTTTCTTTTAAGTGGTCCTATTATTCTAACTACTCAAATTCTTCCACCTATTAACGCATCTTTCTTACCATATGGGTTCTTCACCATGACAGCATCCGTCATGATGGCATCTCCCACACCATACTGGTTCTCGGCGCTCACTCTAAACTGATACTCATGACCCTCAATGAGCTTCTCCACTGAGCAGTCAGTGAGGTGGCCATGGAGGTTAGCGGTTACTAGCGCCCAGTTAGCCCTGCTCGTCTCGCGCTTCTCAATGATGTAGTTGGTGATTTCAGATCCTCCGTCTGCAATTGGAGGCTCCCATCGAAGCTTCACATGATCAGCAAACACCTTGGCTATTTTTATTGAGGCTGGAGGGCCGGGTTTGTCTGCAGAGAGCGTGCAGTATAGAGGTTGGATTAAAAATCTAGATGCATTTAAGGATTATTGGGCCTTTTAGATGAAATTATTTATGATGTTCAACTTACCCAACACCTTAAGCTTTATAGTGGCATGCTTGCTACCACTCAGATTTTCAGCAACGATGGTATAGTCCCCAGACTCCTTTCTGGTGACCGAGAAGAGCTCCAGCATATGGACGTGTTTCTTCTGAGACGCCTTCATTCCCTCTGCTATCGCCAGAGGTGCGCCGTCCTTCTTCCAGCTCACCTTAGGTAGGGGTTTCCCGTGAATCTCAGCATCCATGAAGACATTCTCCCCTGCTTTTACCACAATAAGGTTTTTCATGTTGGCACCCAGTTCAAGACGAGGAGGAACTGTACAGGACATAAATGAAGAGTTATTATCGCCTGTTTTTATCCGATTTAATACAGTTTTCCATGTTTAGCAGGACCATACCATTCTCATCAATGACAGGGATGGGATCCGACAGCTCAGAGGGGAGGCTGATGTTCACGGCAGTCTTGGCGATAATTCTAAACTGGTACCTCTGACCCTCCTCCAAGCCTTGAACCACATAGCTCTCTGTCTGAATATTCATGCAGTTGGCATTGCATCGGGTCCACTTCTCCTCTGGTAGTTTGGTGTATTCAACATAGTAGCCAATCAGTTTGCTGCCACCATCATGTTTAGGACGGCTCCAAATCAGCGACACTGAGCTTTTAGACACGTCCATTGCCTCTGGTTTACCAGGTGGATCTGGAAGACAAGTAAAAGGGTTTCAGGACAGGAATACTTTCTAGTTTAATCCTCTGAAACATGGCTTTTGGCTGATTAATTCCAAAGCTGAAACATGTTTTTTTTATAAGGATAATATGAGTAAAGTAAAAAAAAAAGTTTTTTACTTTTTTGACATGTTAGTATACAAAAAACTGGGTTAGGGTTAGGCTTTAAACTACAGTAGGTTTGTGTTTTTTTGATGTTTGAAAAGACTATATTAAACAAAAACCATGTTTTGGCATCAAGCAGCCAAATATGTGATTGTGAAGCATAAATTGAACCTCTGTAAGTTTACATTTAAAAATGATTAAGAATATATAAGAAAATGCAAAGGAACGCACTAAAGCATTCATCCAAGTGAATAATTTAGATGCCCTGCTGCAAAGAAACATACAGTCGGGGCTAATGAGAAGGGCTAACAGGGTTCAGGTACAACACATGTAAACTTGGGATTTAAACAAATAATTAACTTGCATCTGATTGTAGATTATCTGTTTATTGGACTGAAATATGTTCGATTTGATTAATTGATAAGGTCCACCTATAGGGAATTTCTTTCAACGATGTAATGTTACAGCCCTCATTAAAGGGCGCTGTGGTTTCTTTAAAACTCAAGCCTCACTGTTATTTGCAAGAGAAGCTGTGCCACAGAGCAGAGCAGAGGCCTGCTGTCACTACCTGATCTGTACCTGAAGCACAAGCTCATTTCCACAGATATACATCCAGGTCACCATAAATAATGTAATTTAGTACTAAAAGTCCTTATTTCAATCCTTAAATCACTAGAAAATGCTACACTACATCTTAATTTTTTTTATGACACTTACTGTGTTTTTTTTATCATTGCTTTTTATTTTTTACTACTTTTATACACAACCCGGGGTCTTTCTGCATGAAGTTTGCATGTTCTCCCTGAGCATGCATGGGTTCTCTACGGGTACTCCGGCTTCCTCCCATAGTCCAAACTGTTAGGTTAACTGTCTTCTCTAAATTCTCCTCAGGTGTGAGTGTGTGTGTGAATGGTTGTTTGTCCTGTTTGTCTCTGTGTTGCCCTGCGATGGACTGGAGACCTGTCCAGGGTGGACCCCACCTGTCACCCTTAGACAGCTGGAGATGGACACTAGCACCCCTTGCAACACCGCTTGGAATAAGCGTGATGGAAAATGGATTGATGGATGGTATTATATGTATTAATAACTCTAATAATATGTCAGAAATTTTTGTTTTTATTTTTTTATGTTTTAATTTTTGTTTTTATTTTTTTGTGTTATTTATTATTACAATTGTACTTTCTTCAAACCCAGAATATGGTAAAAAAAAATATTTAGCTCTCCGTGTTATGGAAAGATCTTTTTGATACAAGGTTTTTTAAAATTATCGCTCATTTATCATTAGTCAATGGATCAATCAACTTTAGTTGAATTCACTAATTAGTAATTAGCATCCCTAATGTAAACATTGCCGTTTGTCCACATTAAGTCTTATTAACAGAGCAAATAGCTGGTAGTTAAAAAAAAACAACCTAAAACAAAAGAAGTAAAATCGTTTCCTCACCAACAGCTGTTCTGGCTGTGATGAAGTCTGTCTGTTTGCAGGGTTTGCCTTGACCAGCCATGTTATAAGCTGACACCCTGAAGGTGTACTCCAGGCCCTCCATGAGGCCTGTGCAGGTGTACTGGGTGGCTTTAACCGCAGACTCGTTAGCCTTTACCCACAGCAGGCTGTTCCTCTCCTTCTTCTCTATGCAGTAACCAGTGATTGGGCTTCCGCCATCACTGCTGGGACGCTCCCAAGAGAGAATAACAAAGTCCTTGTTGATCTTGTTGATTTGCAGGTTTCTGGGTTCACTGGGAGGATCTAAAAGAAGAAAACAAAAAAGCCCATTAACATCTGTAAAGCTATAAAGCACAAAACGTTCTTATAACACAAGAACCTCACCGAATGGATATCTGGCAATCATCTTGTCAGAGTAGAGAGGCTCAGAAATGCCTGATTTGTTCTCAGCACGGACCCTAAACCAGTACTCTTTTCCAGTCGTCAGTTTGGTCATTCGGTAGCTGGTCTTGGTGCAGGAAGTTGAGACAGTGATCCAGTCACCCTGACTGATGTCACACTTCTCCACAATGTAGTTGGTGATGTGGCTGCCGCCATCTTCTTCCGGAGTGTTCCACAGCAGCGTGCAAGAATCGATATCCAACTCAGAGATTTCCAAAGGACCTCCTGGAGGTCCAGGGATGTCTGAGAAAAGGAGAAGTGATTATTATTCATGAAATAATGACAATACAGTGAAGAAGTTTTAAATATGTCACTACTTCTGTGTCCAAAGCAGTGAAGTTCTTTGACTGACCCTGAACAATGACTCTGAGGATCTGGTTGACCTTGCCGGTACTGTTCTCAGCCGACAGGCTGTAATAGCCGCTGTCCTTTCTGTTCACGTTCTTTATGATGAGAGTGCAGGTTGTCTGTGTCTTTATGACGGACAGGCGGTCAGAGGTCAGCACGTCCTCATTGCTCTGTTTCCACTTGCAGAAAGGAGCGGGCTTTCCAGCCACAATGCCCTCGATCAACATTTTGGATCCGGCCCTCACCGTCACTGTGTCAGGTAGAATGATCTTTGGAGCCACTGAAATAAAAGAAAACATTTACAGTCAAGTTTAGTTTAGTCTGTCTAAGTTTAGTTCAATCTGTTTAAGTCTGTCATCTCACAGACAGGCTGATCTACTTACTGAGTTGTTCCTTGACCTCAAACATTCCCTCTGCCTCACGAGCCAAGCTGACTCCCACAGAGTTCCTTGCTGCCACTCGGAACCTGTATTTCGTCCCTTCCTTCAGGCCGACAACCACAATGCTGAGATCTTTCACCACAGAATAAGGTGTCCATTTGTCCTCGGGTGAACCCTCTTCCTGGTACTCAACCACATAGCCGTTGATCTTAGCTCCTCCGTCTCTGAGAGGCTTCAGCCAGCCCAGGGTGGCGCTGTTCTTTGTGATGTCCAACACGTCCATCTTCTTAGGAGGGTCTGGCTCACCTGTTGTAAAGATAGGGCAGTTATTAGAAATTGTAGCATAATTAAATCCACCTCCATGCTGTTTTGTAGACAGTCTGTGAAAATACTTACTTATAGGATCTACAGCCAGATAGGACCTGGGAGAATCCTGAGGAACTCCGATTCCGTATTTGTTGCACGCCGTAACTCTAAAGTAGTACTCGATACCTGGCGTCATGTTGGTTACCTTGAAGCTAGTTTTCTTCAGGTCCTCTATGCATTTGGTCCAGGTCTTCCTGTCCACTTCACGTTTCTCAACAATGTAATTCAGAATGGGGCTGCCACCATCGTTTTCTGGTGGCAACCAGGACAGCTGAGCGGTGGTCTTGGTTATATCGGTGGCATCCAGTCCACCAACGGGGCCAGGTGTGTCTGTACAGAGGTTGATATTTATTTATTGGGTGGAACCAAGGTGAGAGAAAAAAACAGCTTTGAGCCTATTTCTTGGCTTTCTGTGCTTACCGAGGACTTTGACGCGAACAAACACTGCCTTCTCTCCAGCTGAGTTGGACAGAGTGAGTGAATATTTTCCAGAATCATCTCTTGTGCTCTCAGGGATTACCAGGAAACACATGGTGTCCACCTGGTCCACATGACCTCGGCGGACGACATTGTCCACGCCAATGCGCTTCCAGGTCACCTTGGGGGCCGGCCTTCCTCTGATCACAGCAAACAACCGAATCGGACACCCAGCCCTAACAGCAAGACCTTTCCTTAGACTGGCATCCAGCTCGATTTCTGGAGCCTCTGTGGTGACATGAGCACAAAGGAGTCTGTGAGATCATGTTATGTCCTTAAAAAGACTTACTCTACCAGACTTAAGTTAATAAACTCACCAATGATCTCCTTGGGAGACACGGCCTCCTTCAGATAGGCATGGCGTCCCCAGCCCACCTGGTTTTGGGCGGACACCTTAAACTCGTACTCCTGCTTCTCGTCCAGCTGGCCGATAGTGAACTCTGTGATCACCAGAGGGCCGCGTGTATCGATTCTCTTCCAGCCCTCAGAGGGTTTCTCTGGGTCGGCTTCGCTCTTAAGCCTCAAGTCCAGGCTGTAACCGATGATGGGGGCGCCACCGTCATACACAGGTTTAGACCAGGAAAGGGTAATAGAGGTCTTTGTGCTGTCAGAGACCTTCAGGTATGCTGGTGGTCCAGGTGGTTCTGAAAGTAGAAACAGAAAAATTAGGCAATAATAAATGGAGAAGAATTGGAGCTGTAATGTTTTTCCTCTTTAGAATAAATAAGGTCAATGTAATGAGCTCACCGATAGGATCTTTGGCTGCAACAGGTCTACACGGTTTGCTTGGCTCTCCAAGACCAACTTCATTTTCTGCTTTTACTCTGAACTGGTACTCATGGTTCGGAATCAGGTTTGTCACTTTCATGCGTCTCTCAGAGATGGGGCTCTTAGTGCACGCCACCCAGCGCACTGCCCGCTTCTCTTTTCTCTCCAGGATGTAGCCGGTAATGGACTTTCCACCATCATTCTCTGGTGGAGCCCAAACCACAGTCATCTCATCCTTACTGACCTGAATCGCAAACACGGCAGCAGATTAGCAACCTGTGAACATATTTCTACACTAAATTCCAAATCAAGACATTATCTTTACCTTTGTAACTTCAGGGGCTTCAGGGGGTCCAGGTTTGTTGAACTGAGTCTTGACGGTTACAGGCTTGCTCTCCATGGCCGGCCCGGTACCCATTTTATTTTCTGCCCTTACTCTAAAGATGTACTCGTTAGCCTCCACCAAACGAGTGACGTTGCAGTAAGGTGTGACCACAGAGGCAGAGTAAGTGGACCAGACCATTCTCCTGGTCTCGCATTTTTCCACAATGTAGCTGTCCACCTCACAGCCTCCATCATCGTCCGGACTGTCCCATATCACTCTGCACTTGTCAGCTCCAATGCCAGTGATCCTCAGGTTCCTCACGGGTCCCGGGACATCCAAGACATTGACATTGGCGTAGGCCGTGAATGTGCCAGCTGGATTGGTGGCAGTGACAATGTATTTTCCAGTGTCTGTGCGTCTAGACTTGGTCAAGAGGAATTTGGAGTAATCTGGACCAGTTTCGTAGCTCATCCTTGGATTGTCTCCCACAGCCTTGTCTTTGGCCCATTTGACTTCAGGCGGGGGTTTTCCTCTCAGCGCTGCTTCCATCCTGACGGACTCTCCAGCCTTTACTGTCATGGTTCCAGTTACCTTCAGATCAATAACTGGCTTCTGGAGCTCCTCCCTCACCACGATGTCAGGAATCTTCACCCAGGCACTTTCTCCTCCCTCATTCACAGTTTGCACCCTGAACAGCATAAAAACAGCATTATCATTTATAAAAAACAAAACAACAGATAATGTACACATTTTATAAAACAAAACCTGCTAAAGTAAAGAAGCTTTAATCTACCTGAATGTGTATGTTTGGTTCTCAACCAGCTTGTTCGCCAAGAAAAAGGTATCCGTTAGTATGCCGGCGTTGAGCTTCTCCCACTCTTCTGCATCTTTATGTTTGCACTCCAAGTTGTAAGAGAGGTTGGGGCTGCCACCATCATAATCGGGTTTCCTCCACCTTAGATAGACGTGGTTTTTACCAATGTCGGTGGCTCTAAAGTTCTCAGGCTCACCGGGTTTCTCTATGGGGTCTATGGCCAGCAGAGGGGTCTTGGTTTCCACACAGGGACCAGGTCCCAACTTGTTCACAGCACAGACGCGGAACAGGTACTCATGGCCCTCCATCATTTTGGCTTTGATTTTGCGATTAGTGCAGTTGGAGGAGATCATGGACCACATGCTGATGCTGGGCTCACGGCACTCCACAATGTAATTGGTGATCTCTGAACCTCCGTTGTCGATGGGTGCCTCCCAGTTGACCATACAGGAGCTCTTGGTGGCATAAGTGATGTGCAGATTCTGGCAGTGACTGGGTCTGTCCAGCACATTGACTGTGATGGTGCAGGAAGCCTCACCACCCTCATTTGAAGCCTTCACCGTGTACTGGCCGTGATCATTCCTTGTTGCCTCCTTTACCTTGAGGTGAACAACAGGGAAGTTCTGGACGATGGTCAAGCGCTTGCTGTTCTCCAGAACCGCCTCCCCCTTCGACCAAATGACTTCGGGATCAGGACGGGCTTTGACGTAGCCAATGATGTTGAGGTTGTGACCGACACGTACTGTCAGTCTCTCGCGACAGGTGAGGTCCATTTCAATCTCAGGTGGGATGAGGATATCCTGAGCAGTGATAGAATCTGGCATTTCCTTGGGCTCTCCATCTCCAATCATATTGGAAGCACGGACTCTGAAGTTGTAGCTCACACCTTCTTCAAGACCCTTCACTGTGTAGGCACACTGCTTGATAAAATCATCCAGGTTAACTTTCTTCCACTCCTCAGTGTCCGCCTTCTTCATTTCCACAGTGTAGCCCAGGATCGGGCTGCCGCCATCCCTGGAGGGTTTTGTCCAAACCAGGTCTGCTGTGTTCTTACTGTAATCCTTTACTTTGGGGTTAATGGGTGAGCTTGGGACTGTGATGGGTCTGCAGGGCTTGCAGAGGTCAGAGGTGGGAGAAGGACCGCTATAACCAGCAATATTCTCAGCAAACACCCGGAATTCATATTCACTTCCTTCAAAGAGACCCTGGACTCTGTATCGTAGGTCCTTGCATGGGGTCCTATTGACGCGGATCCACTTTCCTCCCTTGTGTCTGCGCTCAATGAGGTAGCCAGTGATCTGGCTGCCACCATCAGCAAGAGGCATGGTCCATCCAATCGTGACGGCATCTTCAGACAGATCGTAATGGTGGGGTTTACCAGGTGGACTAGGTGGCATAAAGGTGTGTTCAGCCACAGTGGGCTTGCTCTCCAAAGGAGCACCCACTCCCATCTTGTTTGCAGCACGGATACGGACCACATACTCCGCTCCCTTCTGCAGGCGAGTGATTCTGAGCTGAGTGTCGAGGCTGCCGGAGCTAATTCCCCCCCAGGTTTCCTTGCTGGACTCTCTTTTTTCCACAATGTAGCTGGTGACAGGGCTGCCTCCGTCATCCTTTGGTGGGCGCCACTCAATTGTCATGGAGTCTGGAGTAACTTCCAGGATGTTGACGGGTCCGATAGGAGCAGCCGGGACGTCTAGAACTGTTACATTGAGGGCCACGGTTTTAGTCCCTGCTGGGTTTGAGACGGTGAGCAGGTAGGTGCCTGTGTGGTTCCTGGTGCACTCATTAATGTTGAGCACCGTGGAGAAATTGTCAGTGTCGATTTTAATGTTGCCCTGGCTTGTGATTTCCTCCCCTTCAATGGACCACTTGGCAGTGGGCACAGGGATTCCTCTCATGATAGCCGGTAACCTGATGGTGGTGCCGGCCTTCACAATGATTCCTTCAATGAGCTTAACATCCACCTCGACAATTGGAGGGACTACAAGTATACAGAAAAACACAAGTTACTATATGCATTACAAAGATATATCGACATACAGGACATACAGATAATACCAGAAAATCTAATACTGTGTCTGAGTTTTGCATCACCTAGTTTCTCCTGGCAAAGGATGGGCAGGGTGGTATCAGGTCTGCTGAGTCCGATGGCGTTCTCAGCCCTTACTCTGAAGCGGTAGGTCTTTCCCTCCTCCAGGCCGGTGACATGACTCTCTGGGATGCTCACAGTCTTCCATTCTTCCCAATCCCTCACTCCCTCTTCCTGATACTCCACAAAGAAGCCAGTGATCTCACTTCCCCCATTGCGATCAGGCCAGTTCCAGACCAACCAGACCTCGGTTTTGTCAACATCTACATGATGCAGGTCTTTGGGAGGACCCGGAGGGACTAAAAGGACAGAATGTAGAGATCCTAAATTGATTAATACAGGAAAAAATGTATCTCCTGAACTAATATTTACTGTGCTGATACTTACAGAGGGGATTCATAGCCTTGATGGCCTTTGGTGTCTCCACATATTCACTGCGACCGTAGTGGTTTTCCGCAGCAACTCTGAACATGTAGGATGTTCCCTCCATCAGGTGCTTCAGCATCATGCTGCGCTTCTTGGAGGTGGAGCAGACAGGGACCCACTGAGTGGCGGCAGTGTCTTTCTTCTCTACCACAAAGTTAGTGATGCGAGAGCCGCCATTGTCTTCTGGATCCTTCCACGACAGGTAGGCGGAATCGCTCCGGATGTCAGACACCCTGAGGTGCTGAATAGGGCCAGGTTTGTCTAAAGATAACACAAGCAATGTGAGGGAGGTTGACAGCAGGAGCTTCTTCTACTTCACCAGTTTTACATTAATGCTGAGCTTACCAAACACCAGCACAGTGCAGGTAGCCGTCTTTGACCCGGCCGGGTTTTCCACTGTCAGGGTGTAGTCTCCACAGTCTCCACGGTTGCAGAATCTCATCTCCAGTTTGGTACCCATCTGGTTTGTCTCAATGTCCGCCCTTGTGGGAACCTCTGCGTCATTCTTCTTCCAGGTGACAGTGGGGAATGGGCAGCCTTTGATGGTGGCCATCAGGGTGATATGAGTGCCAGCCATAGCCTTCACCTCTCGTGTCATTCCAGCATCTAGAATCAGCTCTGGAGGCTCTGGAATCATAGAAATCAAGTCAAGTCAATTCTGATCATCAGTAAGTTAGATTGGTGGGGAGTTAGCTGGATTAAATGGTTGTTACTAACCAAGCCTCTCCTGTACTCTGATTGGCTCCCTCAGGTTTGCTGGGTCAGACTCTCCCGCAGCATTCACAGCAATGACTCTGAACCGGTACAGAGAACCATCTTCAAGGTTGATCACCTTAAACTTGGTCTCTTGGCAGGAGTCTGGAGTCTGGTTCACCTAAGGACCAAAGATGTGCGAAGGTTCATACTTTCATTGCATGCATAAGAAGGTCCAACATTTTGTCCTTCAAATGAAAACCTAAATTTCACCTTGTGCCACTCGTCTTCACCAGCCTTCTGGAACTCCAGCAGGTATCCAAAGATCTTTCCCCGTCCAGTGTCGGTGGGTGGCTCCCAGGACAGAGTGACAGATTCCTTGGTGAAGTCGATGGCACGAAGATTCACGGGTGGACTGGGTTTGACTGTGGAAGACGAGTTCTTCAGTCACCATGCACATTAATACTGACTAATCTAACATTTTCAAAACACAAATCTTAAAAAGGGGGACCTACCAATAGGATCCTTGGCAAAAACTGGTTTGGAGGGTGGACTGGGGTCCCCAGCTCCCACCTCGTTCTCAGCGCTGACTCTGAACTCGTACTCGCAGCCTTTCAGCAGCTCTGTTACCCAGTATTCCACTTTAGGGCAGATTCTTTCTGTGTTGCAACGAACCCACCTAGAAAATAACCATTTCCATTTTTATCAATGCAAAACATGATAATAATGAGTCTAAAACCCGAAATCTGTGATTCCAACAAATATTCTTGGATAAAGTATGACTACATTTTCTCTTATCAGTATTGCTGTATTGTGTACCTGTTGGCCTTGGTCTCCTTTCTCTCTACTATGTAGCCGGTAATTGGCTTTCCGCCATCAGCAGGTGGCTCCCAGCTGATCAGGGCCGAGTCGTGGTAAACCTCCTTTACCACAGGCTGCTTTGGTGCATCAGGCACCTCTGTGGTGGAAACAGAAACGGATGTGATGGTCAGACACCAGTTTGACTTGGATCAAACTTGGAGAAGGCCTTCACTTCATCGCCAACTCACTGAAGATATCCTTAGCTTTGGTCTCCGCAGACAGAAGTGGGTCACTGATGCCATACATGTTCTGAGCCATGATCCGGATGATGTAATCACGGCCCTCAATCAGCTTTGGCACCTGTGGGGGAAGACAGCGTCAGAGGGGTTAAAGGTATCTTTAATGGTCGAAATTTCTACTATATTTGAAACCATTAGAAGAACAATTCCTAAACATTGAGGCCAATAGAAAGTCTTTAAGTCCACAGTCTCTCTATTGGACAGCAGACTGTTACTAACAAAACGTACTATTCTTCTCTATCTTCTTTGTATTTCCAATTTCCTAAACAATCTTTTATTTTTATATTTTCACATTTATCTGGTTTATTTAGAGTAAAAATGACAATATTTGCCCCTAGAATTTTCTGACTGGATAAAACTAACTGAATTTTGTAATTGTGTTAATAGTACAAGTTAGTGTTTTTCACTGTACTGTGTGGTCATTTTGTTGTATTTCTGGCCTTCATATATTATTATAATTTTGTTGCTCGTCTGTTTGGTGATTATTGTGCTTCTGACCTTGCAGGTGGTCCTGGTGGAGGACGAGGTGACGGGCATCCACAGGTCTCTGTTGGTGTCTCTCTTCTCGATGATATAGTTGGAGATGGCGCAGCCCCCGTCATCCAGAGGTGGATTCCAGGAGATGACCATGTAGTTTCTGTAGACTTCGTTGAATACCACGGGGCCCTCTGGTGGCTGTGGGCGGTCTGATCGGACAAAAACAAGGTTACCTTCATTTTACACAAGCTGAAGGAGTCTAACATCCACCCACTATCTCCCCCAATGCTGAAGGACTAATAATTTCCAGAGAAGTAAACCCAAAGTGCAGCAACGGCACACCCAGGTCTGATTCCCAACCATTATGTTTTCTCTGAATCTCTCCTTTAACAATAAAGTATATTTGATGTTCTGATGCTCACAGTTTAGGATTATTTCAGATTAAATAAGATATTACAGATATTGACAGTTTTTAGGCTTAAATAATTGTCTTTCTCTTAATTTGTCCACGAAAAAGGGTTCTTAAGGAAACAGGAGTCACCATAGTTTTTGCCATTTTTTTTGGTCAAACGAGCAACAGATGAAAGCTGATAGCTGGGCACACATCCATTCAATCTACTTAAGTCAGCTATTGGAGTATGTGGATTTCTGTCGATCTGAGATTGTGTTTCAAACTTTGTTAACCTAAAGATGGACATAAGCTCGTTGTGACTCACCGACTACAGTTAGGGCACATACTCCGGTACGTGTTCCAGCAGCATTGTCGACGCTGACGCAGTAGCGGCCGCTGTGATCTCTCTTAGCCTTGGGGATGTTCAGGCTAAGGTGGTGCACAGTGCTGTGGAGGCTGATCTCTTCATCTGCTTTAACCTCCTCCTCATTCTTTGTCCAGCTGATGGTTGGTGCTGGTTTGCCGCTGTAGCGTCCTGACAATAAGCACGAGTCTCCTACCTTCACCATCATCTTTTCTCTGAAGTCTAGGTCCAGAGTTGGTGGTTCTGAAGGGGAAAAGCAGCAGTTTGTTATCTTCTATAACTTAGCATCTACCCGTGTCAGAATAGATAAATAATATTTGCCTGTTGACAAACTGCAGGCCTAGAATCTGTCATAGGTACTCAGGTACTCACCAAGCTCGTCCTTGCACTGCACGGGTTTGGTTGGGAAGGAATGCTTGCCCTGTCCCACCTGGTTGACGGCTGAGACTCTGAACTCGTGACTCGAGCCTTCCTTCAGTCCGGTCAGCGTAAACTTCCTGTCCATCAGCTTGTCCTCACCACCTATACGAGCAAAAGTGTCCCGGCCCACCATCCTTGACTCAAGGACGTAGGAGGTCACTTCCGCTCCGCCGTCGTATTTAGGGGGTCTCCAAGCAACAGAGATGGAGTCCTTGGTGACTGCGGTTATAATCAGGTCCTCTGGACGCTCTGGGACGGCTGCAGGAGACAGTGTTAATGAACATATAAAACCTAAATGGTTCCTTGGTGTTTATAATTTTGTTGTCTTGGACTTACAGATGGGGTCCTTAATGAGGACCATCTTATCGATCTCGATGAAAGGTCCCATTCCAATTATGTTCTCGGCTGCGATCCTAAAGAAGTAACCCTTGCCCTCGATCAGACCCTGTACCACCGCGTTGTTCCTAGTCACTGTGTAGGACACCGAGGTCCAGCCCATGCGGTCAGATTCTCGCTTCTCGATTATGTAGTTGGTGATGGCCGAGCCTCCATCATCTTCGGGGGAGTACCAGGTCAGTTTGCAGGAGTCAGTGGTCAGATTCTCACCGGCAAAAGGAAGACCAACAGGTCCAGGAACATCTTTTGGGAAGAGTAGAGACAAAGTTAAAAGGTGGTTTAAGAAATATTAACCTGCCTTCCATCCTCCTAAACTTTTCACTTACCAAGAACTTCAACGATGACGGCCTTCCTCCTCTCACCACCCTCGTTCTTGGCAGTGAGCGTGTACATGCCCTGATGTTGGCGCCTGCAGTTCTTGATGACCAGTGAGTTGGAGATGCCTGTTGTCTCCACTAGAGCCTCTTTGGGCACTTCACCGTCGTCGCGGCACCAGGTGATCTGTGGAGCAGGTTTACCAGAAACGTATGCAATGATGCGGATGGTAGCTCCTGCATGGACGACAATCTTTTCCTTCACCGAAGCATCCAGGTCCATCTCAGGAGGAACTAGGAAGGGAGTTGGGTTTTAATTAAAGCTGATTAGTCTATACTGCGATGTTTAGGAATACAGCATTAGGATCCAGGTCTTACTTGTTCTGTCTTTGACCTCAATCAATTCGGACACGAGACCAGGCTCTCCAACTCCAGCTGAGTTCACGGCTCGGACTCTAAACTGGTAGAGGCCTCCTTCTTTAAGTTCGGCCACCACGTACTTGGTTCCTCTAACCTCAGTGTCCTTTGCCTGCAGGAAAGCACAAACGCATCAGGAGCTGAACATCAGAAGGAACTCTACTTGGGGCAAGAGCCTGAGTTCTTACTACCTTCTGCCAGCTCTCATCACTCTCAGGCTCCTTCTCCTCCTCAGCTTCGCTCAGCAGCATCCTTCTCTGGGCTTTCCTTTGCTCCTCCTCCTTGTCCACCTCCTTGAACTCAACAACATAACCGGTCACCTTGGACCCTCCATCCGACGAAGGAGGGAGCCACTCAAGCTCCACGGTTGATTTAGTCCAGTCTGACACCTTCGGGTAAGGTGGCCCTGGAGGTTCTATACACAGAAAATTTAAAATCTCAGTTTGGATCCAAAATCATTTGGAAAGGAAAATCTGCTTACTCTTCAACAATTACTTCCATCAATCATTAAAGGTTTTCTGTGAAAAACTTTTCAGTTTGTTAACAAACGACCTCTGGAACATTTCCTAGGGTGCACAAATATCAGCTTCTAAAAGATTTGAGACATGGTGGACTTACTGATGGGGTCTCTGCAGAGTACGGGGTCTGAAGGCAGGCTGGGCAGGCCACAGCCAGCTGCGTTGATGGCGATCACCCTGAACTGGTACAGTGCACCCTCCATTAGGCCTGTAACGTCCCAGTTGTTGCCCAGTGGGAGAGCACGGATCGGTTCCCGAGTGACTCGGGTCCAGCGTTTGGAAGTAGTCTCCTTCTTTTCAATGAAGTAGCCGGTAATGGAGGACCCGCCGTCATACTTAGGCTCATCCCAGTTCACGGTCATAGACTCAAGACAGACTTCAGTTACTGTTGGTTTCTCACATTGACCAGGAACGGCTGTGGTAGGACAGGACGGCAATCAACAATCAGGACTATTTACCGGAGCGCTGAATCACCTGATAAACTGAACAAAACTTCTTTAACTTACTGAAAAGGTTTCTGGCCTTCTCTGGCTCACTGACCAGTGGTGGTCCAACTCCAAACTTGTTCTGGGCCATGACCCTGAACTCATATTCATGGTTCTCTGTTAGCCTTGTCACAATATAGGTGCACTCCTTGGGGTCATTGGAGACATGGACCCAGGATTTTCGGTTTTCCTCACGCTTCTCCACCACATAATTGGTGATCTTGGATCCACCATCATCTGTGGGAGGGTTCCAGGCCAGGCCAATCCTCTCTGCAAAGACCTCTGTGAACTTAATCGGTCCAATTGGTGGGCCAGGAGGTCCTGAAAGTCAGAGTTTGGAAAATGTATCATCCTTCCTTACATCCTAATATTCTGTTATGTCCAGAAGTTGTTTTTTTTTTTAACTGCTTATGTTTCTCACCCAGCACAGACAGTTTGATGTCCTTGGAGACTGTACCCAGACTGTTACTGGCAGTCAGGCTGTAGAGGGCGCTGTCATCCCGGCTGGCCTGCTGAATCAGCAGTGTGCACTTGACTGGGGTCACCAGTTTGGTGATGTGCTGGTCATACTGGACAGCAGTCTTCTCCTCGGGTTTGGCCTGGTTGGCCTTATGCCAGGTTAGCGTTGGGAAGGGACAACCGCTGATCTTTGCCACAATGCTGACGTCGCAGCCTTCCTCTCCCTCCATGGCTTCCCGTAACTCAATGGTAGGAGGACCTGCAGAAAAAAACAGACATTCAGCAACATCAGAAATAATCCCTTTGGTTGGAGTCAATACTGAGGCTTGCAACGAAGGAATGACTTAAATGGATGTCACTCACATGTCTGGTCCTTTATGACCAAGGGTCCCACGGTGGCAGAAGGTCGGCTTGGTCCTGCCTCATTCACAGCTTTTACTCTGAATTCATATTCTCCACCCTGCAGGTTAAAAGAACAAAACTATAACTTAACACAAATGTATTACAATAACCAGGGTTTGTGATTCACAGCTTAGGGCCTCCTCTGATTTACTAACACTACTGGGTGCTATAGATGAACCAAGGGATAGACAGACCTCCTTCAGATCCTCCACAACAAAGCTCAGTTCCTCCACGTCTCTCTTGTTGCACTGTTTCCAGGTCTCCTTCTCCTTTCCGCTGGTGTCCCAGCTCAGACGCTCGATGATGTAATGCTTTATCGGAGAGCCGCCGTTGTTCTTTGGAGGCTCCCAGCTCAGAGTGACGGTGTTCTTGGTAACCAGGTTAACCTTCAGCTTGGTTGGGGGGTCCGGTGGGTCTGAGGAGTTTAGAAAACAAAAAAGTTCTTTGTAGACACAATTCCAGAGAGAACTTTGTGTTGTATGTGTGTGGCAGAAAGAGCCGGCCGGGCCTTACAGATGGGATCTCTAGCTCGGACAGGTTCCTTTGTTTCAGTGAAGGGACCAAATCCAAGTCTGTTTTCGGCACGAACCCTGAACAGGTACTCCTGACCCTCCAATAGGCCAGGAACCACAAAGGCTTGACTAGCACAAGCAGCATTCACCTAGGAAGGAGAAATGTAAACCAATTTGTCACTCAAGCAAAAGGAATATCTAAAACCCATGAGAATAGATAGATGAACCGCCTTTTACCTTAGTCCAGGCCTTGTCAATGACAGACTTCTTCTCAATGAAGTAGCTCTTGATCCTCTCTCCTCCATCGGTGTCAGGGAGCTTCCAGATCAGCCTCATGGTTGAACGGGTTACATCAGTGACCCTCAGGTCCTTTGGAGGTCCAGGAACATCTGTGCACAAAGCAAAGTCGGAAATTAAATCAACAATTCATAAAATAAAACTCTCTCAAAGCATCAACTAATGAAGTCAGACAGAAAATTTCAGCTGCCTGAAGATACATACCGAGGACAATCACTCTGACGTTGACATGTTTTTGTCCAGACTTGTTCTTGGCAGTGATGGTATAACGTCCAGAGTGACTCCTCAGGCTCACAGGGATGTTCAACACGGAGGTGGTCTCTGTGGACTCAACCTGGGTGAAATGCATTAATACATAAGTTGTGACATGTTGGAGTTGTAATGTCATCATGACTTTATTTTGTTTATTGGAACTGTAGTCTAAGACATGGGTAACCAATTAAAAATCAGTGGGGTCCGAATATTGATCAGCTTCCAGCTTTCAGTTAAAATAACATTTCCTTTCCATTGAGCTCAGATGAGAGCCTACCTGCCAACATACACATAGGCAAATGTAACTTTTTAAATCGGGAATTGATTGTGAACATTGCATAAGTACCAAGTTTTAAGAGTTTTAGTATAGAGGAGTTGAAATCTTTTTCATAGAAAACTATTCTCTGTCTGCTTAACATTATTCGCACAGTAAAAGACATTTGGATCAAAGGTCCTGTGTAATTCTTGAATGACTACAGTAGTTTTACTTTTGCTTAAGTATTATTTTGATGTAAAGCTCCTCTCACTTCAGTATCTAATTCAATGTTGATTTTGCAAGTCCCACCCAAAGATTGTCTATCTGCTAAAAATGACAGACCTTTCCACTCTGGAAGTGGAACCACTTATCACATAGACCTTTTCCCGCCTGTAGATGGACTTCTCTTACATATTGTGCTAACACATTTAAATGGTGCTAGTATGGCTTTGATGAAACAGTTTCTAAATATAGATTTATATGATTTTCCCATAGAAAATCGACAAATACAAATTATGTATTTTGGGGATGATAGTTGTGTGGGTAAAGAGGAGATGACGCAGATTAAAAATTTGTCTGATGAACCAAGCATATTAAAAGATTTGTTGAGGTCATGTGATGCAACCAAACCTCTACATGGTTGATCAGACTGGACATGCTGGAACCACAGCAGAAACATTGGTGGTCCTTACCTCAGCCTCCACAGGAACTGTATGCAGTTTGTTCTTTTTCTGGCTCTTGGCTTTGCCCTCATAGTCCCAGGTAACCTTGGGAACAGGCCGGCCCTTGATGGTGGCGGGAATCCTGATTGGATCTCCAGCACGGATGTTCACCAATTCTTCAGCCAGGACATCGATTGTGATGGAAGGAGGAACTGTGGTGAAAAAAAGACATCAAAGGAAGAGATGAAGGACAAAGACAAGAGCAGTGATGCCTTTTTAGGCTGTTTTGGCGTTTTAAGGTCTGACATACGTTGGATGTCCTCAATCAGAACTTCACTGGTGCGAGGGCTGGGGTCGGACTCGCCAATGTCGTTGACGGCGATGATCCTGAAGCGGTAGCGTTTCAGCTCACGGAGACTGGGCACTGTGAATTCTGTGGTAGGGATCAGGCTGTCGATGTCGTTGATCTTGTGCCACTCTGATGATCCCTCATCCTGAATCTGGATGATGTAGCCCTTGATGGGGCTACCTCCGTCACTCTCAGGTGGCTTCCAAGACAAAGTGACGCTGTGCTTGGTCTTATCCGCGATCTCAGGGGCGGCAGGCATGCTTGGAGGAGCTTGGAGAGAAAGGAAACCATTAGCTATTTGAAAACTGCTGTTTTTTTTTTTTTTTTTTTTTTTATCACCTTCAGAAAATATTCCTGTTATGACAAACTTACTGATGGGATCAACGGCAAAGGCGGAGTCAGATGGTGCACTGAATGGTCCGGTTCCAGCTGAATTGCTGGCAGCAACCCTGAACTCGTACTCAGTTCCTTCAAACAGTCGAGTGACCTAACAGAAGCAGGAGGTGATGACTCCATTGTTTTTGGTTGTTTCATGTATTACAAAATAGACTTGAAAAAGCTCCCGAGGCTCACCTGATACTCCCAACCTTTCGTGCCCCTTTTAGTGACTGGCATCTTGTTCACCTTGGCCCAATAGTCGGTGCCTTTCTCCCTTTTCTCCAACCAGTAGCCAGTGATCATTGAGCCTCCAGTCTCTCTAGGAGGCTGCCAGGTGAGTGTCATAGACACCTTGGAGTATTCTGTAATAGTTGGTTTCTCTGGTGGTCCAGGAAGACCAAACGGGTCTGTAATGAGGACTTCTTCTGTTGTACAGGGGTCAGATTTACCATAGCGGTTCTCAGCTCTGACTTGGAATAAGTAGGTCTTGTTAGTTTCCAAGTTCCATACCTGGAAAAGAAGCAGAGTTAACCCTCTAGGCACTTAATGTTCACTGTTTACTCTTTTATTATTACTTACCCCAAATTTCCTCTCAATGATGGTGCTGCTGACCTCCTCCCACTGTGGCTCAGGTGGAGCCTCTTCACCTTCCTCTGGCTCAGGCTCATCTTTACGCACTTCCTTTCTCTCAATAATGTAGTTAGTCAGCTCGCTGCCACCATTATCAATTGGTGGGTCCCAGTTCAGGTAGCAGGACTCTGCTCTGATGTTAGATACAGTCAGATTCCTCGGTGGAGTTGGTCGATCTGAGGAGAGAACAAACATCCAGTTTAGAGGTAGACACTCTGATCCTTATTTAAGTTTCTTTTGCGGCATCTTTATCACTCACCCAGCACCATGACGGAGACGGTGTGTTTAGCAGAGCCCATGTTGTTAGATGCTGACACGGTGTAGCTACCACGGTCCCTCCTGTTGGCAGCTGGGATGGACAGCGTGGTCTTGGCATTCATCCTTCCAGTGACCTGTGTCTCGATCAGCAGCGTCTCTGTCGGCTTATCGATCACCACATCGTCCTTGGACCACTCGATATTCGGGACGGGGAGCCCAATGATATCGGCAGGGATTTCGATAGGCTCACCTTTCCTCACAGTAATACAGTCGGCCTTGAAGTGCTTCAACATGTGGATCTCAGGACCAACTGGCAAAATGGAACAGAAGCATTTACATAATGTAGTGCATAGGGCAAAAAAACTACCAGCATCCACAGAGGTTTGAGGTTTCTCTTAAGGAAAGAAAGACAAAGCAGTGTTACCTTCATCATCTTGGATCACCACTGTAAGTGGGATGGATGGCTCGCTCTCACCAATAAGATTGGCACATTTGATTCTGAACTCATACATCCAGGCCTCCTCCAGGCCTTCCACAGTAAGAGTCATGTTGGGGCAGATCTCTGTGTTACATGGCTCAAAGGCCTGCTTGTCCTGCCTCTTCTTCTCTACAAAGTACCCGATAACAGGGCTGCCGCCATCACTACGTGGAGGCTTCCAAGCCAGAGTGATGGAGTTTTTGGTCCGCTCCGTGTAGTGGAACTTCTCAGGGTATGATGGAGGACCTGCACAAACAATAATCCCCATTATGTTTTAGTTAAAAAAAAAATGTACCGAGTTATTAATATGCTAATGATAAGATGATTCTAAACTTACCCTGAGGATCCACAGCCTTGATAGGCCCCAGCTCAACAGGTACACCCAAACCGTATTTGTTCTTGGCAGTGACACGGAAAAAGTACTCCTGCCCTTCCATGATGCCCACACACTCGCACTTGGATGAAGCGGTTTCAATGGGCTGCCTCCAAGTGTGCATCTTGGCGTCCCTTCGTTCCACAATAAAGCCCGTCAGATCGCTGCCTCCATCGTCTTCTGGGTCATCCCAGTTCAGGAAAATCATCTTGCGCGTAACGACAACTGGCTTCAGATCGGTGATAGGGCCAGGGACGTCTAAAACATAAAGCAGGGCATTAGTCAAAAGGTTTTGGTGATGTGAGCAGCTTCTGTCAGGTTTCATGGGCTTTAGTTACCCATAACTTCCACTCTGGTCGATGCAGACTTGGAGCCACTGGGGTTGCAGGCAGAGATCTGGTATTTTCCACAATCTTTTCTTTGGACGTTCTTGATCAAGACGATACTGTCGTCTCCCTCGCTGAGGATCTCCACACGGTCTTTATCCGGTTTCCCATCATCCTTCGTCCAGGTGATGGATGGGTAGGGTTTACCTGTGACTGTAGCAGGAACACGCAGCGTTTCTCCAGCTCTGATGATAACACCATTCTTGACAGAGAGGTCCATTTCAATAACTGGAATTTCTGTGGAGCACATTTAGAACCAAGAGAAGTTAGCAAATACAATGAAAATGTCTGTCTAGAATGGCTTAATGTTCTGGTTCAAGGCAGACCTGCTGGGTTCCGGACAAAAACAGCCTCTGTGAATCCAGGAGCTCCCTCTCCAGCAGCGTTGCACGCAATGACTCTGACGGTGTACTTTGCCCCTTCACGAACTCCATAGACAGTGAAGTTACGGGTCTTCCAGGGGCGTTCTGTTGATCTAGACCAGTCTTTGGTTCCAGCCATTGCCTGAGAAACCACAGAAACACCATCAACATTCAGTTTGTCTCAATTGAGGATTTCCATACGGATTAACCAGGAAACCAGGCATAGTTAGACTCCGTCTTCTGACCTTATCCACATGGTATCCCAGAATCTCTCCACCACCATTGTCTGCAGGCGGGTCCCACTCAACCTCAATGGAGTGGTCAGTGGAAGCCACCACTCTGGCAGTGGGAGGTCCAGGTGGCACTGCAAGGTAGAGACAACACCATGAAATAACAAAAATGTTAGCTGACCAGGATATCTTCCCTGGGCAAAGTTTGAAACCCTTTACGTACGGATTGGAGCCTGGGCCGTTTTAGGTTCAGAGGGAGGACTGAACTTTCCAGGGCCGGCCTGGTTTTCAGCCGCCACCCTGAAGATGTAAGTCAGTCCCTCGAGGAGACCTTCCACTTTCAGCTGGGTGTCTGGGGCGATGTTCCTGAAGGTCAGCATAGAAGGAAGCCGTATTTTAATGAGACTGTAGACATGCTCTGTCTGAATGGAAACCAATTAGAGGCTATGATGTTCCCTCACCTGTTTACACGTGCCCAGTGGGAGCTGTTGATCTCCCTGCGCTCCACCCAGTATCCCAGGATGGGGTTGCCATTGTCTTTTGGTTCATTCCAGATGACCAGCATGCTGTTGGCTGTGATGTCATCAACCTGTGGCTTATCAGGAGCCTCGGGAGGTTCTGAGGAAATTGAAAGAGAGCAGCAAAACCAATGAGTGACACTTTCTCATAGCTTCAGCAACTTCTGATAATATTTCCATATCTGTGTCATACCGAAGGGGTTCTTGGCAACTAGAGGCTTGGAGACGCAAGGCGGACCAGGACCAAACTTGTTTTCTGCCACCACCCTGAAGATGTACTCCTTCTTCTCAATGAGTTTGGGCACCAGGTAACGGCACCCTCTGAGAGTGGAAGTAACACAACTCCAGCCAAACTCCAGCTTGGAGTTGTCCTTCTTCTCCAGAGTGTAGTTGAGGATCTCGCTGCCGCCATCATCCAGAGGAGGATCCCACTTGCAAATGACCGAGTTCTTCCTCACTTCCTCAAATGTAAAGTTCACAGGAGGGCCAGGGGTATCTGCCGATATGAAAGACCAGTAGTTAGTGATAACTCACCTCCAGCCCTCGTCTGTGGGATGTTTAACTGTAAAGATTAGTGTTGACTCACCGAGCACGTTGACCTCGCAGGTTGCTGAGGCAATGCCGTGATCGTTCTCCACCTTCACCATGTAGACGCCATGATCCGGGCGGACTGACTCCCTGATGGCGATGGAGGAAACACCCCTGTGGCTGTTATTGATAGTAAGACGTTCGTTGATGGTGGGATAGTCAGGCTCCTCCACCTCTGGCTCTGCAGCCTCTTCCTCTGGCTTCTTCTCCTCCTCAGGCTTCTTCTCCTCCTCTGGCTTCTTCTCCTCTGCTTCTTTCTTTTCCTCTACTTCCATCGTCTCTTCTTTCTTCTCAGCCTCCCCCTCAGCCTTTTTCTCCTCCTCCTTCTTCTCCTCCTCCTTCTTCTCAGGCTTCTTCTTCAGGGGTTTTTCGGGTCTCTTGCGGAGTGGTTCAGGCTGGATTGGCTGGTTGTTCCAGTACCATGTAATCTGAGGGTACGGCGAGCCAGAAATATTGGCGTCCAGGCAGATCTCACAGCCCCGTCTAACACTGAGACCAGACTGCAGGCTACCACTCAGGAACACTTTGGGAGGATCTGGAACACAAAGTCCAATTAAATTAAACTTGAATCTGAAATCTTACATAGAAAAGCTCTGCAGAACAGTGTTGGAAATGCTCTTTTACTTACCGATAGCATCTGAGGCCTTAACGAACAGCGTGCTGCGTGATGGCTCACTGATTCCGGCAGCATTTTCTGCTTTGACTCTGAACATGTATTCCTTTCCCTCTGTTAGTCCTCTGACTGTGTAGGACAGGACCGGCACCAGGAAGTCGTTGCACCTCTCCCATTTGTCCTCGCCCTTCTGCTGCCTCTCCAGAATGTATCCCATGATCTTGGCACCGCCATCATACATGGGAGGCTTCCAGGTCAAGGTTATTGTACTGGAGGTGGGATTGTGGGTCTCTACATCCACTGGTGGGTCAGGAGCATCTGGAAAAATACAAGCAGAATTCAATTATTTTAAATTTTACAACTAATAAAAAGCTATGATGGGGAAACTTTCCGGGTGTCTGTCACTGCCAACCATTTTGGATGACAAAACAACAGTATAGAGGTGGAATTGCAACAAATCAATAGGATAACATTGGACCTCACCTTTAAAAAACAAACATGGTACCCCCATAGAGATCAATATTTGCAAGGAAAGAACTCTTTAAAAGGTGCCTGGTTTTATATACGAATACACACAAAAAAACTTGGAAGAAACTTGCCTGAATTTAATTTGGTCACACTGAATCTGTTTCCATGTAAATTTAAATTAAAGGTATTGATTTGAAAATTATTTTTAATGAATTAAAACAAAATTATTTTGCTTTGAAATATATTTGGCTGTATTAAAGATTAAATTTAATTTTTACTTTCAGTTCTATAACTCAATTTCCGGTTTAAATTTAGTCTCTTAGAATGAGACATCTGTGTCCTTTAGCCACCAATTAATGAAACACAAAGTCAATAACTTTATGTTTTTCAAATTTTTTTAAAGGCATTCTGGGCTGAAGCAGTGGAGCACATATGAAGTGTCACAAATCGTGTCATTCACCAAACGTATCGATTAGGAAACAGAATGATGTAACAACAGTGGTACTGTGCTAAGTTAACATCTTTTTTAAATTGCACCATGTTTCTTATACATGTCAGTTTGGCCTCATCAATGACATCTTCCAAGCTCGTATACGGAGAGCTCCATTGCTTCAGCTCAAAATATGGTCAATTACGTTTATCTTGATGTAAAACATAAATAATTGAATGATAATGATGTGATAAGGATGTGATAAGAATGATAAGGATAGTGAAATCCATATTCCAACCAAAGCATTTAATATCAAATTACATGGTACACATTCAGCATAAGCAATCTAAATTCAGTTCCTAAAGTTTCTACCCAGATTATAAATAAATGAAATCATAATTTGAATACAGCAGATATACTTTTTTTTATTTGAGTGGAGCCAGACATGACTGGACATAAGTCTGACCTCTAAATGGTAGCAAAGTGCCTCCAATATTACAGGCCTGATTGAAATAATCCTCTGCAGGGCTGATGTTAGTGGGATGTAATGTCACCTCTGGACCATGTTGAGTCTAGATAAACGTTCATGCTTGGTGTCAAAGAGGAAATGGTTTTCCATACGTTTCTGGTCCTGAGCGATGACGGGGTTCCGCAGTTCGATAAACTCTCCTCCTCCGATCTTGTTGACGGCCTGGACTCTGAAGTAGTACTCTCCGTTGGGGATGAGGTCTTTCACCATCCAGCTCACCTTGTTCTCTCCTGACATCATGTTGACGTACGTCCTCCTGCCGGCCTCACGCCGCTGCCCCCCAACATACAGAGAAACCGTCAGCTTGGTGATACTCAAACTCTCTCTTATGTTTTAAAAAGAAAATAAAAAAGACCTGTAGGACGTAGTGAAGAACCGGGGTGCCACCATCGTAGTCTGGAGGATCCCAGGACACTTTACAGGAGCTCTTTGTGATTTCAGATGCCACAATCTCTTTACAGGGACCAGGAAGACCTAAGGACACAGGCAGAATGGCATGTTGGAGAGTCTGTAAGCATAACTGAGTGTTTCTATGGCAGGTCAATGGGATGTGTGATTACCGATGACTTTAACGTTAATGGTTGCACTGGCACTTCCCAGATTGTTCTCCAAAGTCACTTTGTACACCCCAGCATCGGGGTGAAGGCTGCTGTCGATCTCCAAGTGACAGGAAGTGTACTCCTTCCTGCTCAAAACGAACGTTGGAAATGAGAGGTCATCATTTGTTTTTTATTTAATGTCTGTTACTGTTTGGACTTTAAACGAGATCCTGACCTGAACATGAGACGCTCATCTGCCTTCATCTCTTTGCCATCTTTGTGCCACGTGATTTTAGGAGACGGCACGGCTCTGAAGGGAACTGGGATGTGGAGTTTCTCTGTTTCCACGACAACCAGGTCCAGAGTCTGGAACTCCAGTGTAGGGTTACCTGGAACCATGAAGAGGAGGATATTAAAAAACGGTTTGGCAATTTCTGTACTTGTGGAGGAAGCAGATGTGGCTGCCTTACAGTCGGAGTCTTTGGCGAAGACGTTTTCTGAGATGTCGGAGGGCTCACTTTCTCCCACTGAATTGATAGCCCTGACTCTCAGTATGTACTCTTTCTCAGGAACCACACCCTCCTCCACGCGGTACTTCAGCTCCTTCACCGGACGAGAGTTGACCCTCATCCACTTCTCCGTTCCAGCCTCGCACATCTCAATGTGATAGCCACGGATCGGAGAGCCGCCATCCAGCTGTGGTGGCTTCCAGGCGATGGACAGGAAGTCTCGGCTGGCGCCGGTCACGTGCAGCTCGATGGGAGGAGAAGGGACGCCTGAGGATAACAAGACAGACACGTTCAGGCTCTGGCTGTCTCTTATTTGGCTTCAAAATCTCAGATTCTTGCTGACCTGTGGGATCTTCAATGGTTAAGATCTCTGTAGGTTCGCTTGGGTGTCCGACACCGGCCTCATTCTCAGCCCGGATCTGGAACTGGACTTCTGTGCCCTCGATGACATCTGTCACCCTGTATTTACAGTCTGGACCAGAAGTCTTTCCACATTTTACCCAGCGTGTTCCCAGCTTCTCCTTCTTCTCAATAGAATACCTGGTTGGAGGAAACACCAGATGATTAATATTGCTGGAAAGCATACGGTACCAGGGACTTGGTGAGGGAGGGTGGAGAACAAGCACCTCAGTATGGGTCTACCGCCATCATTTTTAGGCGCCACCCACTCCAGATCCACATACTTTTTGGTCACAGAGTAGACGGTGAGAGCATAGGGCGGTCCAGGAGTAGCTGCAACAAAACCACATCTTATTTTCTTTGTCCTGCTAGAAAGATGTTGAATTCCTACATTTTTAGTTATCTGTCACACTTACTGAAAGTGTCTTTGGCCAGCACAGAATCCTCAAGCTCACAGAATGGACCGACTCCCACTGCGTTCTCTGCGGCGACCCTGAACACGTACAGAGCGCCATCGTTGAGGGGTGTCACAGTGCACTTCAGCTCCTTTACGGTGGTGTCCACGGCCTGCCAGCCTTTACGCCTCACGTCACGCTTCTCCACCACATAGTTGGTGATCCGGGACCCTCCATCACGCTCCGGGGCCGTCCACTTCAAATCTGCACTGTTCCGGCTGATCCCCACAACCTCCAACCACCTGGGTGCCGATGGAGGGTCTAAGAAAGTTCAAACATAGATCGCGTGAGTATCATTTACTTTGAAAATGAGCTGGTGTCTGATATTGTAGGGTAGGATTATCAAGTTTTTCCTTACTCAGTCTCTCCTTGCAGAGCACTGGGTCGCTGGGCTCGCTGGGTTCACTCTCTCCTGCGATGTTAATGGCTCTCACTCTGAACGAGTACTCCTGTTTCTCCATCAGGCCCTTCAGGAAAAACTCCAGGAGGCTGATGTTCTCAGCCACACGGATCCAGTCTGTGGTGCCGCTCTTCAGCATCTCGATGACGTAGCTGTCGATCTTTGCACCGCCGTCGTGCTCGGGTTTGGTCCACGACAGGAAGCAGGAAGTCTTGGCTACGTCCCTGACTGAGGGCTTACCAGGAGGCCATGGAGGATCTGGAGGAAGAGCCAACATGATATTCTAAACATTCCCTTTTCACTGGATCAGTTAAACAATGGAGCTGACACCAGACAGTAGTTCTACCGATTGGATCTTTGACAAGGATTGGATCCGTCTCTTTGCTTGGTTTTCCAGTTCCAGCCAGATTTTCAGCGAGGACTCTGAACTTGTACTTCTTCCTCGTAGGAAGACCCTTTACTCTGTGGGAATTAAAAAAAGACAAATCAGCAGAAGGCCCCCCCAATGACTCTTAAATCGACCCCTGAACAGAGCTGCTCTCACCTATAATTGGTGTCTTTGATGGGCAGCTTGTTGCATCGGATCCACTTATCGTGGTCTGGCTCATATCTCTCCACCCAGTATCCTGTGATGGGGCTTCCTCCATCCTCATCCGGCTCATACCAGGTCAGCGTCACAGAGTCTTTGGCAATGTCTGAAGGCTCCAGTTTGTAGGGAGCTCCAGGGGTGTCTGAGGACGAAAAATTAAGATTAGACCTAGCTAAACCACAGCAGGAACTTAAAGCTCCTGGAGACCGCCCACAATGATAAACTTAAATGTTTCTGCAGGACCTTAGCAGGAAAAACTTTATTAAAGATTCTTGAATTCATTTTTAAAGTCTGACTTTCCCTTAGGATGTCAGTCAGGTCACGTACCAAACGGATATCGGGCAATAATGGAGGGGTGCTCTGCAGGTGGACCAACACCAAACTGGTTCTCAGCAAACACTCGGAAAATGTACTCCTTGAACTTGACCAGGCCGACGGCCTTGTATGTGGTCTGTTTGACGGTTGAGGACAGGCGGTGCCATATTTCGCTGTCGGCAGCCCGGCGCTCCGCAATGTAGTTGGTAACCCTGGAGCCGCCATCGTCGCGTGGGGGGTTCCAGGCCAGGAAGCAGGTTTCGTTGGTGATATCGGAGATATCGAATGCAGCAGGAGGTCCGGGCTTGTCTGTTTTACATTGGAAAATGGAATTAGTTTAAGCTTGAACTCAGATGGGAGCTATATTTTAGTATTGTCTTTTCTTACCAAGGATGTTGACATCCACTGTGGCAGTGGCACGCCCGCTGCTGTTGGTCGCCTCTATGATGTAGGTGGAGCTGTCGTCTCTCTTGGTCTTGGCAATAGTGACAGTTGAGTGTCCTGGCTTGGTGTCGATGGACACCCTGTCATCTGCCTTGAGGACCAGGTCAGCCTTGGTCCACTTCACTCGTGGCTCCGGCTTACCCGTCACTTCAGCAGGGAGTTCGATTTTGCTGCCGGCCTTGGCAGTCAGACCGGCCAGCAGCTTGGCATCCAGCTGGATCTCTGGAGCCTCTGTGGATGGGATAACAGCAAAGTCTCATCAGAAATGGTTTGCTTTCAATGACATTTCAGTAAGAATTGTGAATTTTTGAGGGGTAACAGTAGAAAATCTATAATTTCATACCTATAGGATCAACAGCCTGGATCTCATCTGTGGGCTTGCAGGGCCTGCTTGCTCCAAGGCGGTTTAGGGCTCGGACTCTGTATGCATACCACTGTCCCTCGATCAGACCGCTCACCTGGCATTTCAGCTCCTGCACCATGTCTCCACAGGGCTCCCATTTATCTGTGCCTCTCTGGCAGCGCTCTACGTTGTAGCCCCGGATGCCGGTGCCGCCGTCATACTTTGGCGGCTCCCAGGTGAGGAAGATACCACTGGCTGACTTGTCTCTCCACTTCAGGTTCTCTGGTGGGTCTGGTACAGCTGGAAGGTTAGAAGGTGTGAGAGTTAGAAAGTTAAAGGAACAAATAATGTCATATTTGTCACAGATATGAGCCAAAATGCCATATGAGGTTTTAGTTTATTTGCTTTTTTAAACTTGAAATGTTATCTGCGCTGCCTGTCAGACTCACTGGCTGGAGATGAGACGTTGACGGGCTCGTCGATGTACGCCGGCTCCCCTGGGCCGCACTTGTTGCAGGCGGTGACTCTGAACAGATACTCTTTCCCTTCAATCACATCAGTGACTGTAAACTCCAGATCCTGGATCCCTGAGGCAACCTGAAACGGATTTTGGTAATGTTACAGGCAGAGCCGAAGATTTTTGGCTCTTTGTTAAGGAGTAAACCGAGGAACCGATGTCATACCTTCACCCAGGTCTTGCGGGACACGTCACGTTTCTCCACCTGATAGCCGGTCAGAGGGCTTCCTCCGTCATGTTCAGGAGCCTCCCAGCTCAGGTGGACATGCTGCCGGGTTACCTCCAGGACCTTGAAGTCCTTAGGAGCGCTCGGTGCAGCTGCAAGCAGTACCAGAGACATAGTTAGCTTAAGTTACTTCTTAACATCCACTTTCCCCTTTTATCTGCTGTGATATTTTTGGGGTACCGATGACGTTGACTTCGATATCTCCGGACACAGAGGTGACATCGTTCTCCAGGTGGAGGGTGTAGATGCCTTTGTCTGGGCGGACGCTCGGTGCAATCATTAACTCTGTAAACGTGGATTTGGTCATTAGGGAGACGCGTTCGTCTGCAGTAGTCAGCTCCTTTTCACCACAGTTCCACTTGGCGACGGGGGTCGGGTAACCAGTGATGGGCACTCTGATGGTGAGAGGCTGAGGGACGATCACCTCAAGGCCGTCTTTGAAGGCACTCAGGTCGAAACTTGGGCCAACTGGAGAGGAAATAAAATGTGTGACGAGAACAAAGAAATAGAAGCAAAGTGAGCAAATGGAAATCACCCTCATGTGGAGCAAACTGCAGATTCAGTGCTAACGGGACAGATGCTATGATACTCACAATGAGGGTCGTCTGCCAGCAGAGGTCCGATGCAGTTTGATGGGTCAGAAACTCCAGCAGCATTTTCAGCAAACACTCTGTAGTTGTACTTGGTTCCATATTTCAGACCCGACACCTAAAACACAAGATGGATGTTGGACGGTGAAGCTCCCAAGGCACTCAGTTGACTGTTAAAGGGGAATTTCGTTTTTTTTATATTGGACCCTTGATTTTACGTTATTTGTGTCATTTGGAGCCATTCTGAAGATATTTCGTTAGGTTATATCCAAGTAACGTCTTCCTATGGGCAACGACTTGAAGTTTTCGTCTGCCAGCAGGCGTACAGCGCCAACATTCATAACATGTAGGCCAATCACTGTCCCCCAGACATCTGTGGTTATATTTTTTATATTTATATCTTTTAAAAACAAAGCGGCGCGTCTATGACCGTCATCCGCGCGCCGGACTGGAGTTTTTTTTTTTTACTTTATTTACCCAAAGTACACCAGGCGGCAACGCTCTACCCCTTCTATTCATTCTAGCTAATCTGAATCTTTCATTTGGAGAGCGAGATCATCTGTGGTAGCAGCACTAGACATCTTCCAGGCATGTGAGGAAAACTAGCAGCAGTTCAGCCGACAGGATGAAGGAACGGTAGCCGGCGAGCGCGGATGATATCATACATGCGCCGCTTTGTTTTTAAAACAATAGAAATATAAAAAATATAACCGCAGTGAACCGCAAAGTTCACTTAAGCCATTTCTTAAAGGCTTTGAAGTGAAAATACTTCAATTATATTAATCTTACGTTGTCTATTATTGGCTGAGAGTCTGTCAAAAATGTGAAACGGTGATATGTACGCTTCATTGAAGAAACAGGAAATTTAATTATTTAAGCTGCCGAACACCGATCATTGCTGTTTACTGGAAACTGAGATCTGACTGACTGGCATAGTCTAGTTAGAAAACCTTTTAACAGCCATGAAATGGAGCTGGATGCCTGTGAGGCGGTCCTTCATCACCTTGTAGAAGAGGTCCGGGCAGAGGCGAGCATTGCAGCGTAACCACTTGTCGGTGCCCTCCTCACAGCGTTCGATGATGTATCCGGTGATCATGCTGCCGCCATTCTTCAGAGGCGTCTCCCAGGTGAGCTGCACTGAGCTCTTATTCTGGTCCTGCCAAGCCAGGTTCTGAGGTGGACTAGGACGTTCTGCAGGAGAGAGAACCAGATCAGGAGTTTTAGTCAGAGACAACGCAGATTTACTAGATGGGATTAGGATGATGAAATATAAGATTAATAAGTGTTACTAGGCCTCACCAATTGGATCCATGATCTTCACAGGCTGCGAAGCGGCGCTGGGCTTGCCCTCGCCCGCTTTGTTCTCAGCTTTGACTCTGAAGATGTACTCTTTGTTCTCAATGACATCGTTGATAATGGCGCTGAGCTCGCCAGCTTTGGTCACCTGGACAGGCGACCACTTCACAGACGTCCTGTCACGCAGCTCCACGATGTAGGAGGTAATGGGAGAGCCTCCGTCTGATACGGGAGGCTCCCAGGAGACGGTGCATCCGAACTTTGTGACGTTTCCGACGATGACGTTTAGAGGAGCCTCAGGAACGTCTAAAAACAGAAGGTAGAAATGTTTAGGCTGGTTTAGTCCAATGAAGCCAGACTAGTGGCTTTGAAAAAAAAATCTTACCAAACTTGTTCTTGGCTTGCACGGCTTCGTCCGTCTCAACGAAGGGTCCGGCGCCCACCCTGTTCCGAGCGCTGACTCGGAACAGGTAGAAGGAATCCTTCTGCAGCCCGGTCACCGTGTACTCTGGGCTCTCTGCGTGATCGGTGGCCAGAGTCCAGGTCTTACGCTTTATGTCGCGTCTCTCCACCACGTATCCGGTCACTTTGCTGCCACCGTCGTACTCAGGCTCCTCCCACGCCAGGCTAACCTCGCCGTCTGCGGTGTCGACCACCTGAAGGTTCTTCACAGGTCCAGGGACGTCTGTTTCAAACGGGTTGGGTTTAAAAAGTAGGTTAGGATTTGAAAACCTTTAGTATTTTTCTCTTGGTCTTAACTTTTAGGGAAACGATTCTCCGGTTTAAAAACCCAGGTGGTTTCGTTTGTATCATATTTGATTCATAACAGTTTTTAGATGATGTAATTCTGGCAAACAACACACTATATAGATAAACTGTATCTTTCCATTATAAAATACGCTCACACTCAACTCAAAATGATACTTTTTGTGTTATAGGATGATTTAATGCTACTGAACATGATATTGAACAGAGGTATGTTTTTATTGATTACGGCATAAATGCTACTTTTGGATTTTTTTTAATGCAATATTTAGAAAAATATAAAATAAATAAAACAAATGCTGTATTCCTTTATATCATTAGGTTACAAATTCCTAAAACGACTCAGTTTGCCTATAAATCGAAGTCTGAAAATGTTGATTAATTCTCATTGAGTTAAATTTGGTAATATTCGTCTTCACTGACAACAGGAAGCTCACCGATGACATCCAGGTTGATGAAAGCCTCTCCTTCTCCGTGTTTGTTCTTGATGATGATCTTGTAGCGGCCTTGGTCCGACTTCTTGGGGTCCTTCAGGCGGTACTCTGTGCGGTCGGCGGAGGTGTGGATGTTGTCTTTGGGGAGGCTCAGGTTGTCGTACAGCCAGTCGGCGTCTGCCTGAGGGTAAGCGCTGTACGGGACGGCCAGGACAATGGGCTTCCCGGCGTCTGTGACGTAGGTCTGGTCGGTGGTCTTTATCTGAGGCACGGCTGGAGGAGGTTAAAGGAGAGAGGAAGGGCTGTCAGAGGAGAAACTCAACCAATAGGAAATCAGCAGTTTTTAATCAGTAGTAAGCTTTAATTTTTAATCATGCATTCACGCTTCATATATTTGCCTCCTCTAGTATTAAAATGAAAAAAAAAACAAAAAACGAATAATGAATATTTATTTTCAAGAATGTAATAGTCAATTATTACTATGTTAACCATATTGGAATAACTGCTGTCTTTACACTGCAAAAATATAAATATAAATCATTTTTTTCTTCAAAGTGAATTTCTTCTTGAATTGAGGAGGTAAATAAGACACTTTGCCAATGGAACAAGACAATTAACATTTAAAATAAGAAAAAAAAAACAATTGCAATGTCTTATTTGAAATGAATATTTTCTCATTTTTTTATTTGATTTTTTAAAACTAATTCCATTGGCAAATCATTTTATTTACCTGCTTAAATTAAGGGTAAATACACTTAATTTAAGACATTTTTTCTTGTTTCTAGATCGTTTTTGCAGTTCTTCAATAAAAGCTAATTAAGTTAAGTTAATTTACCTTTAATTAGAGTAGGTGAATAAGATCTTTTTCCAATGGAATGAGTATTTTACTCTTAAAGTAAGATAATTAGATAATATGCACTTGAAATAAGACAAAGTAATTATTTTTTCTTATCTTAAGTCTAAATTGTCTTGTTTTATTGACAAAGTGTCTCAATTACCTCCTGAATTGAGGAAAAACAATAGATATTTAAGAAAAAAATTATTTATTTAGATTTCTATTTTTTGTAGTGCATAGATATAAGATTTTTGTTTTTAATGTTTACATGACATCATTACTGCAGGTCAGAGTGACTGATGCCTGCACTGAAAAAAATACAAATCTAGATGCTGTAAGTCATTTTTTCTTAAAATAAATGCATTTGTTCTCGGATTAAGGGGATAAAAAAGACATTTTGCCAATGGAACAAGACAATTTACATCTAAAATAAGAAAACGCAATTGCATTGTCTTATTGTAAGTGCATTTTATCTAAATATCTTATTTTAAGAGTAAAAATACTCATACCATTGGCAAACTAGCTTATTTACCTACTCAAAATAAGGGTAAATACACTTAATTTAAGAAATGTTTACTTACTTATTTACTTACTTATTTATACTACAAGCATTTTTCAACCCATAACATTTTTGTCTTATCGATATAAATTTGCAGACATAATCAGGAGGTGTGGATCCTTCTACAGACTAGTTTCCGGTTCTTTTGTCCATCCTGAACCGAAGGCCCACCTGCCAGCTCCAGCTTGGCCCTGGCGTCCTTGTCCCTGACCATGACCCTGTACAGGCCCTGGTCCCTGGGTCTGATCTCGCAGACCTGCAGCCGGTGCAGTTTTCCCTCGCTCATCATCTGGAACTTGTCTCCCTGGACCACGGTCATGTTGTTACGCAGCCACTTCACCTCCACACGGTCCTTGTTGAGCTCCACCTCAAAAACAACGTCCGAACCCGGGGGTTCAAACACGTCTTGTGGGGGTCTGACGATCTCCACAGGAATCTCTGCGGGACACACAGAGGGTCATGATGATGTCATCCTGGAGGTGACATGGGTTACCTCTGAAGGCAGCCTGAGCTGCGTACCTTCAACAAACAGCCTAGCTTTAGACCTCTTGTCGTCCACTCCACAGGCATATTCACACTCGTCATCGGGTCTGCACTCCTTGATCCGCAGCGTGAAGAACTTTCCTTCTTTTGCGAATGTGTATCTGAGGGAATAAACCAGTTAGTAAAAACTAGGGCTGCAATAATGATTATTTTGCTAATCTTAATCTAGTTTTTTTCAATAAAGCAATGAATAATGGGATTACCAACGGTTCCTTAAAGTAGATTTTATACAGAATTAAACCAGGTGAAATTAAATTTTTGTTAAATTTATTGGGGTTCTGGAATACTGCATTGTATTACGGCCAGGCTAAAGATCTTTGTTATTTTTTAGAATGAAGTTAATTAAAGTTAAATTAAATCATCATAGCACAACCCGTTTCAGAAAGTAAACTTCGAGCTCCGACCAGCTCCACCAATCAGCAACCAGGGTCCACTTTGACATCCTGCCCAGTTTGATGCTGCTGCTAAAAGATTTCCATTATTGTCAAACCGATGCTAAAGTAGAACTTCACATGATGCTCCACATTCCTCATTTTAGGGCAGACAGGGCTTCCCTAAAATGAGTTGTCATAAAATAAAATTTTATTCTTGTAATTTTATGACTATTCTCCTTGTGACTTTTTTCTCGTAATTTTACGACTTTATTCTCATTATATTACGAATTTATTCTCATAATATTACGAATTTATTCTCATAATGTTACACCTTTATTCTCATAATGTTACGACTTTATTCTCATAATGTTACGACTTTATTTTCATAATATTACGACTTTATTCTCTTAATTGTACGACTTTATTCTCATAATGTTACGACTTTATTCTCATAATGTTACGACTTTATTCTCATAATGTTACGACTTTATTTTCAAATGTTACGACGTTATTCTCATAATATTACAAATTTATTCTCATAATGTTACGACGTTATTCTCATAATATTACGAATTTATTCTCATAATGTTACGACTTTATTCTCATAATGTTACGACGTTATTCTCATAATATTACGACTTTATTCTCATAATATTACGACTTTATTCTCATATTACGACTTTATTCTCATAATGTTACGACTTTATTCTCATAATATTACGACTTTATTCTCATAATGTTACGACTTTATTCTCATAATGTTACGACTTTATTCTCAATGTTACGACGTTATTCTCATAATATTACGGATTTATTCTCATAATGTTACGACTTTATTCTCATAATGTTAAAACTTTATTCTCATAATGTTACGACCTTATTCTCATAATATTACGACTTTATTCTCTTAATTTTACGACTTTATTCTCATTATATTACGACTTTATTCTCATAATATTATGAATTTATTCTAGTGATTTTTTTAATATTCTAGTCGGGACTTTTTTCTCGTAATATTCCGACTTTATTCTCATAATGTTACGACTTTACTCTCGTAATGTTATGACTTTATTCTCGAAATAGACAGAAAATTCTCTAGCCTGGCCGTAGTACTCCATTCACAGTCTTGGTATACCTACTGATCTAAGTGGGTCTCCCGGTCAGCTAAAGGCATCTTTTAGTCTCTATTCTCCTGTTAGTTATTAATCTATTACTAAATTGACTAATATTTCAAAAATTGATTAATCAGGATTAATCTAATTAAATGTTTCACCCTTAGTAAAAATCTATACAAAAAAGTTTCTTTTGATGTTTAAAACTATTCAAAAATATATAAATATAAGGAAACACCTGATTGTAGCAGAGCTACATGATAGAACTACAGACATGCATATTATTAAACATCCTAATGAATGATTTATATCAGAGTTATTTTAATTTAGTTTTGAACTGGAGGCCTGTGTGCAGAACAATAAGGTGGCGTTCCTGTACCTTGGTCCCTCTCTGATCTCCCGTCCGTTCCTGTACCACTTGACCTCTGCCTTCTCTTTGGTCAGCTTGCAGGTGAACTCTGCGTCCTCGAATTCTGTGATGGTCTGGTCTTTGAGAGGAGCGCTGAAGTCGGTGGGTGCCTCGCTGATGATCAGCTCCGCTGTGGCCTTGTCGTCTCCGGCCACCACAGTGTACTCGCCTTCGTCGTCCAGCGTGCAGTCTTTGATGGTCAGCGTGTGCTTCTCCTTGTCCACCCTGTAGACCACACGCTTGCTGAAGGCGATCTCCTGACCAGCCTTCATCCACTTCACCGTGGCGTTGGGTCTGTTGGTCTTACAGGAGAAGCTGATTGTGTTCTTCTCCTGAGTATCGATGTCCTCTGGAGGAACCATGATCCTCAGACTCTCCTCTGAACAACACATAGTTTCCAGGTTAATGAAGAAACTTTAATCAACCTCAGAAATCTGTTAGACTTTAAACTTGTAATAAATCCTTGATCTGTGGTTCTGATCATGAGATCTCCCAGATTTCTGTCTGACCTTTCCAGATTTCACACAGCTTCAGTCTTGAACCTGACATTTTGTTAATTTTTTTTGGAATAGCAACTTATTCGCTATTCCAGGTAAAAACGTGTATCACATGAGATCTTTAGACCGTTTATTTGCCAATCCAGATTAAAGATGGCTCAGAAGCCTTGAGATGTAAAGATCAGGACCGGTTTATCAGGGAAATTATGGCTGGATCTGTTGGTTTAGATGTTTATCTAATATTGATTGAGACAGTGTCCCGTTTGTGTCCATGATGTTTGAAGTTCAGAACCAACCTCTGACGGAGAGTTTGCCGGTGCTCTTGGCCTGTTCTCCTCTATGATTGGTCAGCATGATGCTGTAGTCTGCTTCGTCTCCCTTCTGAGCGTCTTTGATCCGTAGGGAGAAGACGTTATCTCTCTGAACCATCACGTACTTGCCGCTTTCGAAAAGAGTCTCCTCGTTCTTTAGCCACTTGGCCTTGGCTCCTTCGATGTTCACCTCGCAGTTCAGGACTATCTCCTGTCCTTCTTTGACCTCTGAGTCCTTCAGAGGTGTAATGACCTTCAGTTTCTCTGCAGGAAAGACACACTTGGGTATTTAGCGGCTGCCTGTCCGGGGGCCTGTCTGAGTTAGTGGGCGGAGCTTACGTACCATTCACGGTCAAATGAGCTCCGGCTCTGGTCTCTCCGATCAATACCACGTATCCACCCTCATCAGTGGTCTCGCAGTCCTTGATGACCAGGGTCCTGGTCTTGCCGTCACTCACCATATCAAATCTGCCTCCTGACTCCAGCTCCTTGCCGTCCTTCAACCATATGACGGTGAAGGTTTCCTTGGAGACAGTGCAGGTGAATTCAGCCTTCTGACCCTCCACCACCTCCTGGTTCTGAGGTCTGGTCAGGAATTCAGCAGCCAGTTCTGGGGGAGAGAAACATCAGATAGACTTTAAAAGGTGTCATAGTTTGTCATGGACCTTCTCTGAGGGGACACTGCCTGTAAGATGGAGAAGCTCGGAATTGGATGAATTTAATGTAGACTACGTCTCCTTTGTGGGTTGGCGAGATCAGATTTGGATTTGGCAAAGAGACATGGATCACGGCCCATAGAGCAAGTTTTTGGATAGAGGATGCTTAAGTCAGGCTCATTTGTGATGTGGCCTCCTCTGCTTTAGAGACATGTTGGGGGTGTCATCATGTGACTTTTTTTCCTGGATTGGTGTCTATAGAGGTTTTGATGACATGTCCTATTGGCCGTCCATGTTCAGACCCAAAACGTACCTGAAGGACTAAATATGTCTAGTGGCTAATAATCCCGGATACAAGCGGCTGAAATGAGTTTTCTCCATAGTGTGTCTAGGCTCTCCCTTACAGAAAGGGTGAGGAGCTCAGTAATCCGGGGAGGATTTGTGCTAACTTTCTCAGTTAGTACAAATTGAGGTGGAGCCAGTTGAGGTGGCTCAGGCATCTGATTAGGATGCCTCCTGCACGTCTCCCTGGTCAGGTGTTCCAGGCACGTCTCACGGGGAGGAGACCCTGGGGGAGACCCAGGACACGCTGGAGGGACTATGTTTCTCAGCTGGACTGGGAGCGCCTTGGGATTCCCATGGAAGGAACGAAGGGTGGGTGGGTGGGTAGGTGGGTAGGTAGGTAGGTGGGTAGGTAGGTAGGTAGGTAGGTAGGTAGGTAGGTAGGTAGGTAGGTAGGTAGGTAGGTAGGTAGGTAGGTAGGTAGGTAGGTAGGTAGGTAGGTAGGTAGGTAGGTAGGTAGGTAGGGGCGATGGATGGAGCTGGAGCTGGTGAGATTGATGTTTTGACTTTTTATTTTATGATGATTGATTTGAGAACGTTCTGGTGATTACATTGTATTTTTCCAGCTTTTCGGAGCAATGAAATAATGAACTTACTACATTTAACCCATCCTATTGGGGAGCAGTGAGCTGCCATTGTGCGGTACATGGGGAGCGGTATTGGGTTACGGGTCTTGCGTGAACTCAGAACCTCTGGATTCCAAGCACAATGTCCTAACCACTAGACCCCTACTCCCCACAAATGATTATTTGTATTCAGTGACCATCTAAATAAAAAATATATTTTCTGAGTTACTTTATATACTGTAGACATGTTGTCATCCTGCAACAAGGTCCTGAGCTGGAACCCCAGGCTGAGGGTCTTTCTATAAAATGTGTGCAGGTGCGGTTAGAGCTGAACCTCGTAACATCAGAAAGTGCTTCGGTTTTTCTTTTCTTACCATTAATCTTGAGGTTTGCGGTGGTTCTGGCACCGGAGCTCAGCCTGCAGTTGTACTCTCCGGCGTCCTCTAACTTCAGGTCCTGGATGAGGAGGATCCTCCTCTTGCCATCAACGATGTGCTCATAGCGGCCACCCTCTGGCAGCTCTTCCTCGCCTTTGTACCATTTAACGTCGGCGGCGGGCTTGGAGACCTCACAGATGAGCTTCACACTCTCCGTCTCCGTTCCCTCCACATTCGAAAGGTTTTTGGAGAATACTGTTTCCTCCTCTGCAGCGACACAAAAGGTTAAGCGGAGAAACGTAGAGGTCAATAAACCCAGCCGTATTGATGATTGGCTTACAGAGGTGTAAAGTATCACAGTACAAATATTTTGTTACCTTACTGAAGTAGTAATTTTGGTTATCTGTACTTTACTTGAATATTGATTGACAACTTTCTACTTCTACCAACATTTTAAAAAATTGATCCGTTAGTTTTGTTTCATTTAAGCTCATTTTCATTATGGCCTGTTGGTATTTAACTAAATAAAAAACATCAAAGAGTTCCATCCAGAAAAGAAATGTCTTTGTGGTTGGCCTAGGTGCTGCCCCAACATGTTGCTCACCACATACCAAAATAATTAGTTTTTCAACATAGCACAAAGGTAAATTTGACACTGTTACCATTAGTTATAAAACTAAGAACATTAAGACTGAGGAGGTTTTCACCCACAATTGTAGAAAAATGTTCCTTGAATAGTGTAGTGCAGTAAAGCTTCACCAAGTAAAAAGCTTAAATTGATTCTCTAATTTCTACAAAAGTGTTTTTAAACAGTAGGATTTAACTTGATGAATAAACATGAATATTTTGACACCTCTAAATCAACAAAAACAACATATTCTTAATATAATTCTTGTATTCGTGTAATAAAATCCAAACTGTTCTGTCTGGATTTATAAACTTTACAGTCACCAAGCTTAATTTTGTACAACAGAACAAAAATGTGTATTTCTTAAAATACAAACATTTTTGAAATAAGACACTGCAGAAGTGAAAGAAGTGCTACTGTGGTAAAACTTTCTTTGCTTGATTTTAGAACTAAGCAATTTTGGTTGAATATTTTGAATATTTAGGAATTAAAATAAACATTTAATTTGTATGATTTATATATAAACCCCTGATGTAAAACTTCGATTGGCCACTAGGTGTCCCAGTAGAGTAATAGAATCCTTGCAGATACAGTCAGTAAAAAGTGACTCTTTCAATTAGAGAAAAAAACAGAAGTATCTTTATCCAGGATTCAGATCCCTTAATGTGATCTCCTGCCTCTTACCCAATGGAGAACATTGTTTTAATTTCGTAGATCTTTGCTAAATTAGGATATAGGATTCTTACCGACAACGGTGAGCATGCCGGAGGATTTGGAGGTCTTTGCATCAATTTCGTATTCGGCTTCATCATCAAACGCAGCCTTATGGATGATGAGGATGTGTTGGCGGCCTTCTGCAATGATTTCATACTTCTTTCCTTTTCTGATTTCAGTTCCATCCTTTAACCAGCGAATCTGCAGAGAGAGACAGCGGAGGATGGTTCTGAGAGGCTGAAAACCGATGAATCACTTTCATTGGTCTAGGTCGCGATGAACGGGGAAGAAAAATCAGCCTTGCTTACCTTGGCGTCCTCTCTGGAGACTTCACACTCAAACCTGGCGGTTTCCTTCTCCCGGACCTCGACATCATGGAGTGGCTTTGAGAACTCGACACGTGGAGCTGTCCGTGCAATTAAAATGTATTAACAGAGGGTTGCCGTAGTGATGTGAGAGCTCAAGGTTTTACTCACTCCATATATATTTTGTATTCTCTGATTTATTTGTGTATCCACATTAACTTAAAAAGGTAATTTTTGTATTTTGGTTCTTTAAAGATCTCCCATCTTCAAGGTTTACACAACAGGTTAAATCTTTCCTGAACTGCTAGGGGTTGAAGAGTTTTGGCATTACTTTAACCAATGTTGACCTTACATGACGTAGAGTTTAGGGTTTTATAATTCTGATTCTGCTATCAATGATAAATGGAACCTAGGTTCACTACAGCAGGTTTCTTACAATAAACCTTTAGTTGCAGGAATTATCCCAGGAGTTTCAATACATTCTAAATGCTGCTGGCTGTTCTCCAATGTCTTATTCTGTCTCTATCTCTAGAACAATCTAAAACTCCCTCACATGCCCCTCACAGGTATACTTACGTTCAACAGTAAGGAAGCAGGATGTTTTGAAGTCTTTAGCATCACAAGTGTAGGTTTTTGAGTCATCCTTGGTGCATTCATGGATTAGCAGCGTTCTCTTGCGGCCGTCTGCGAGTATTTCGTACTTCTTGGTCTTGTGGATCTCTTGGTCTTCGCTGAACCATTGTACCTCTGCATTCTCTCTGGAAACTTCACACTCAAGGGTGGCGGTGGTTTCCTCCTCTACTGTTTGGTCCTCCAGAGGTTTGGTGAACTCTACTGGCGGCTCTGATGAAACACAAGAACATGACGGCAGCGATTCAGTTTCTGTTTCAAGTGTTGGGTTGCGAGTGAGATTAAGTGGAACGGATCTTTATTCTCATATAGGAGCAGATGTTATTCGTAAAATCTGCTTGAGTTGATACCTTACCTTTGACAATGAGCCTCGCCTCAGTCTCAAAGTCCTTGGCGGTGAGTTTGACTTGTCCAGCTTCACTCAGTTGGACGTCTCTCACCGTGACGCTGTAGACTTTCCCTTCATCCTTGAACACCACCTGATGGTTCAACAGATTCAGTTAACAAGCTTTTAAGTCCCTGAGGCTCGCCTGAGGGATGACAGTGTCAGGTTTTTGCCTAGTGAAAGTCTCTGTGTTGAGATGTATATAGAGTCTGCTCTGATGGAGAATTATTATTTTTTATACTTATTTTCCTTTATATAAATTAAGTTTATTCAACTTTTTGCTCCCATTTCAACATTAATCTAACTGATGTTATGAGATAAACTCATTTATAGCTGTCGACATGCAGAATGAAATGGATGAAATCTATCTGGCCTGAGTAAGTTAGCGCAAGCTTTGTCCTGGGTATTGCCTTCAGACTAAGCAGGTTCTCTCAAAATTTGAGGTGTTCTGGGACACCTATTAGAATACGTTTTATGGCAGGTTAAGCTTTTAATCAACCAGGAACATTAGTTTTGATGGTTGCAAACTCTCTGAACTGCTCACACACAACCTGTCAACGGAGCCCTAAAAGTTAGAGCCCAAAAAGACAGCTGCTTTCCTTCCCCAAATTTAAACTTCGAGACCTCTAACCCCTGACGGATGATTTTACCACACAGCCTCTGCCTGTATGCGACAGAGAGCTGCCAAGGCAAAAAAAAAACTGTATAACTCACTGAGGAGGATTATACAAGATGACTGAGAATAGTGGATTTTTGTTGCTTTTGGACAATGATTACAGACAGGACAGAAATGCATCTAAACGGATTAATGACTGCTAAACCTTCTCATACACTTTTAAGAGTAAATTTCTCTTACATACTAAACCCTAAACTTACATTAGATTTTGAATTAAAAGAACAAATAATCCATGGAAACCTTTAAATCAAAACATAACTATATTTTTTAAAGGTTTTTATTAAACTCAACGCAAGCTAATTGCTCTTACACAACCCAGAGAGGGATCAGGTTTCCTAGGAAGGTCTCAGGTTGCCTTAGATAACCAACATTGATGCATCTTTATGACATTAAATCCTTCCAGGGCCCAGCAGAACCAGCTACTACATCCACATAAGCATCTAGAACAATCCCAGAGATAAAAAGCTGACATTAACGAATATCTACACTTCCAACCTGCCTCCTGCTGCGGCCTCTGGCTGTTAAAAATAAACCCACTGAAACGCTTGCAGGGCAGAAAAGGCTCCCTGCTTGCGTTATCTAAAAACCAGGATCGAATGCTAGGCTGGAACCCTGCACCTCCACCTGCAGCACCTTATATGAACAGGCTGGAGCAACCCAAAGCAAAACAGACAGTGAAGAGGAACACAGAGACCTGGACCTGGACCAGAGCTGGCGCCTGGTTTGGACTCCTGGGCTGAGGGTGAGTGTGTCAGGAAATGAACAAACAGGTGTGTCAGATGTGATGAGACTTACTCTGTCGCTTGGCTCCAGCTTTGTACCCCCCAGGAACCAATCAACGCTGATGTCTTCATATGACAGCTCGCACTGGAAGGTGGCGGTTTCTCCTGCAGTCACTGTGACGTTCTTCAGAGGCCTCACCAGGGTGATCACCCGGCCTTCGGGTTGGGGAGAAGACATGGTTAGTCCCCCCCCTCAAACAGGTCAATTGATTGCAAGAAATCCCAACAGAAGAGCAGCAGATCCTCAGTGGCCAATCCTCATGGTGAATTTGAGGTGACGGCAGGCTGCTGGAAGCCCTGAGGACAACTGAAGCCAAGCGCCTGTGACTTGGCACTGAGAAGAGGCTCATTAGCATACGTCCTGCCGTCAGAGGGGCACAGTTGGCAGAAACCAGTAGGACGCAGGGTCACGGACCCCCCTTCCACCAACCACTGAGGACCCGTGCTTGATAAGGCATACGGATACTAAAATAACTGAGTTGCCTGATTGGCTAACAGCCCACGTCTGCCAAAACCATGAGGGGAAGCCAGTCTGTTCCTGTCAATCACCCTGCCTGCATTTTCCCTGTAAACAGAGAAAGTGAAGCTCCTGGCAGGAGTTATCCAACGCTCCACTCATATAATCGTCCACAGCTTTGGTTTGTGCAACCTGTTTCAGAACGTTTAGGTAACCCTGGCCAAGTTGAGCTTCAGGATGTCCGTTTGGATTAACCAACAGTTTGAAGTATTTACAACAGCCTTCCTGGCATGCCTGAATTAAAACCGTTTACAGGCAGTTAAAGTGTCTGACAGCGTTGGTGACAGCCAGCTATGTTTATACCCTTCATCTTCTAACATGTGAGCTTAACTGTTCATGATGTCTGGCAGCAGTTTAACAATAAAATGCCGCTTTGACGTCATCAGTGTCCACGTAGATTTTAGTTCCGATTCTGCACGTCTAACTTCCTGTGACTCAGCATGAAGCCAATTTCCTGTTTGTCTCTTTAGCCTAACTTCACCCATTGACATTAATCTAGTCCTTGACTTATCCTGCAGCACATTCAAGAAAATGATCTTTCACCTCCTTTTTTTCGCAGTTTGCCATGTTGCCATTCTTTCTTTAGGTTTTCCTTTTTCCATTTCTTCCTGAAAACACATCTTAGCAACAGGTCTCCAATCTTCTCTATTGGGGAAAGTTCAGGATTGAATGGAGGTCAGTCAGTCTCCATTGGGTGTACCCTCTACTTTTGCATTTGTGCAGCGTTGCCCTGATGCAGATCAGTGTTTGAAGGCAGCAGATTGTTGGCTTATCTTGTCAGAGAAGTGACGGTTCGCCTGATGCAACCCCATTCCCCCACAGCCAGCTAGCAAAGAACAACCTAGATGTCTATTTTAGTCTTTACATTTTTTATCCAAGAAACATCTAGAATTTTTTTTCCAGACCACACAGCCAATCCCAGTGTTTCATTGTCCATCCCAGTTCCCCTTGAGAACAGACAAGTGGATGTTGTACAGCTTGAGAACAGTTTCCCGCAGTAATCACCTGTTAATGAATTACGTTTTTTTTTTCCTTTAATAAAGACCTGTTAAGGATTCTCATTTATCTTCATAACAATCAATCGGTTGATTGAAAATTATCTTCTTGAGAATCAGAATCATCTCAACCTGGCTTTTGTAGAAACAGGTTTGAGCCTGAACAACAGTGATACGAAGGAATGCATGAAGCCCATGAGGTGAAATCTGAAATATCTTGGCTCTGCAGTAAAATACCACAGGATCTCTGCACTAATAAGGTTTGTGGCAGATAATTATCTATTTAATGAGACCATTAACCTGTTGAATCTTTACTCTCTGCATTTCTGCTACAGCTACATGCAACATCTGAGGAGATGCGCCATAAATTAAATAACATACATATAGTTATCGACTAAAGTTACACATAAGAAGAGGGTTTTGATTGCTGGAGGAGTTTTCCCCCAACTTATATCTCATGGGAGTTGATTGAGATCAAACTGCAGCGAGGAAATCCAGTGAACTCAACAAAGACAACAAACACAGTAAGAAGACTAAGAACCCGGAGAAAGAAGAATCTGGTTCAAAGAACCATCGGTGAAGACGAACATTGGCTGTTTTTTTTAACAAAGCAGCGGTGATCTCTTGTCACCTTTGACTCTGAGATGAGCTGAAGATTTTGCATTCGCTGCAGAGAAGTCGACGCCGCCGGCCATGTCCATTTTGCAGTTGAAGAGTGTCAAAATATGTCGAGCCCCTTCCTCCTTTATCTCCACATCCTGACAACAAACATCATCAATTTCAGCGTTCATTCAAACGGGAGTATTTGCACAGAAACACTGAAAAATGAGGAACAGAAATGCATCTAACTGAATCAAAAAGAAACATGAACTCAGAGTTCCTCTTGGGGAAACACAGAGCCGTTTCCCTTTGGAGGGTCGTTCAGCGTTTTCTTACAGCAGATGGGTGGAGGGTCTCTCCCTTCAGTTTCCAGGTGGCGTGAACGTCATCCTCAGATATTTGCGTCTCAAACCAGGCCGTCTCGGTCTCTGTGACCTCCACGCTGTACAGCGGGCGGACAACCTTAATGTTGCGCTCTGTGGAGGTTCAGAGACGAGTTATGAGGAAAACCTGAGGGAGGCCGAACTGAGTGAGAGAACGACGTGTTGCCATGGAGACGACAGAGAAAGACAGTGAACATGAAGTCATGCTACAGTTTGGGGTGTCGCTCTTATTCAGAGCGACTGATGGGGTGAAAAGAACAAGAGACGTTTGCTGAAAGACGGAGTTAAAGTTGGATTAATCTGAGGAATTTGTTGAAGGTGATGGTTAGGGTTGGGTTATGAAGAATGAAAAGACTCGAAGTTCAGGACATGAAGATAAAGGATGGATATGAGGTGAGCATCAGTCCAGGTACAGGATCAGTGAACTTTGCTGTATGTCAGCTTCTGGATCTGCTGGCGTTCATTACCTTCGATGTTCAGGTTGGCTGTGGTTTTATCCGTGCCACAGTCGCAGGTGTATGCTCCCATGTCTTTCTTGGCAGATTTCTTGATCACCAACATGCGCTTTCTGCCATCAGATTGGAAGAGAACATTCTTGGACAAGAAAATTTCGGCGCCATCTTTAAACCACTTCACCTCTCCGGCTGCCTTGCTCAGCTCGCAGGATAAGACCACCTCATCCTTTTCGACCGCGGTGTAGTTCTGGAGCTTAACTGTGAAGTAGAGGTCGCCCTCTGCAAGTATACACCCGGAACAAGCAGTTCAAAATGGAGCTAAAACCACAAAGATGAGCTAGAAGGGCATAACGAATATAAAGCCTGATTGTTTGATGCTGGTCAAACGAGATCTGGAACATCGATACTAACCAAGAACAGTGAGCATCGCCTCTGACGTCTTTCCCATGGCCTCCACCTTAATCAGGGAGGTGTCATCGATGGTGACCTCCTTGAAGGCCAGCGTGTGCACTTTCCCCTCCTCCGACATGTGCACCTGCTTGCTGGGATGCAGGCGCACTTCGTTTCTGTACCAAATCACTGGAATCTTTTCATGAGAAATTTGAAAGCTGAACTCGGCGGTTTCTCTCTCCTTAACGGTCACGTCTTTAATCGGCCTGATAAATTCGAGTCGAATACCTGATAAAAAAATTACATTTTCAATATGGTATATACAGAGGTGTTCCAGGTGCCATCATGGGGATGTTTTCGTAAATGTTTGCCCGAAGCCCTCTAACAAACACAAATGACTTTGAAAAAAGCAGTAGGAAATCATGTTTACCCATTGCAAACCTTAACGCACTTGAGAAATCGAAGGAAATTTGCCAGTTTTCGTTGTATTTCTTAACATAGTTAGTTTTTTGTCCGAATTAAAATGCTGGAAAATAAACAGCGTAAAAACTGAGTTAAACTGATTAGCTCTATAGAGCTAAATGTTTGCAGAAATATATTTCAGGCATGAAGATTTGTAAATTACAAGCCCATCAAAAATCATACAGAGCATAATAACAGGCAGTATGATACACTTCAAATTTTTTTTTATCAATCTTGCTCAAGCAAAGCATTGCTTATAAATGCACTGTATAGTAAACGCATTTAATAGTCGGTCACAGCTGCTTTTGTATAAATTACTGCATCTATATGGCATTGCATGAATAGGAAGCTGCAGGTTGGTTATAAGCAGCTGTTGTAATTCTATTGTAGGCTCTAGTCTCTCTTCCTCTTGACATTACTCAATAGTTTCTCTTCAGTGCTCAGGTCAGGCCACTTGGCTCTACATGTAAAGCCTAGTAGCATCCTGGTTATCATGGAGGCTTGGACAGATTAAGCTCCCTAAATCATCATGAGGGCTTCAGCGCTTCCTCTCCTTGGTCAGACTTCTGATGTTGCCTCTGGTCCTTGGTTGGCCCATACATGGAAAACAATTTCCTGGATACGTTTGTGGGTGGCGGTTCCAGGTTCCTTATGAGTCTCCCATAAACAATCTTCATGCTTCACGTCTTCAATGCTACGATAGTTTGTGCTGCTTGTGAAGCTGCTGCTACTTTCCTCTTTTCTCTAATTATTTCTTAATACACTGGGAGATCATCATATGTGAGCAATCAGCTTCTTTAGCAATGCAGATTTCTTCCCTATGATTGTGAAGACTTTAAAGTGGTAAAAACATTTACTAGAAAAATCATGTTTTTTGGTTTTATTTCCTATTCCTATTCCAATCACTGGCTTTAGGCCCTCATTAAAACACGGCAAACGCTTGAAATGTGTGTAACAATCTAATGCGTATGATCTTAAAATTTATTTTTAAATATTATTTGAATTAATGACACTTTTAAAAGGTTGTAAACTGAGCTGCATTACGGGGGAACCAGGTATTTACTCCCAGCTACAAAAAGTACTTCAATGTGTGCTCTATTAACTATATGAAGTTTTCTCCGTTTTGCATTTTTTCATTGCAATAGGCAAATATTTGCTGTTACTGCTCAGTTGTTTGGTTTGAAGGCTTTTAGCAAACACTTGGCACTCTTTTCTTAAGTGTCTATAAAAACCATCCCAGTGTGATAAAACCAAGACGCGCCGGCTAGTTGTACCTTTAATAATCAACTTTCCCGATGTCCTCTTATCTTCAGCTTCAAACATGTATTTGGCTTCGTCTTCATATCTGGCGGACTTTACGACAAGAGTGTGTAGGTTTCCATCTACACTGATTTCAAACTTATCGTCGTTTGACAATTCCTGAGTCCCTTTGAGCCAACGGAAGCTTTTGGCCTCTCGTGAAACTTCCAGCTCAAACTTAGCTTCCTCCTTCTCGTACACGTGTACATCAGCCAGCGGTGTAATGAATGAAAGCGGTAGCTCTGTTGGTTCAGACAGAAAGGATTAATCTCAAACCCCAGAAGGTGGGGGCTGATGGTGTAATAGTGTAAATCACTATTGCATGTAAGATATTGCGTCTTCTTAAAAAAGGAGAGGACAAGTGTCATCTTTTTTTCTTTGATCAGTTTGGAATTAGAAGCTCACCCCTGATTTTAAGGTTAGCAGAACACTTGGCGTTGGCGGCAGCAAACACAAGCTCGCCTGTCTGGGGCACTTTGCAGTTGTACAAGACCAGAGTGTGTTTGGCACCATCCTCCACAATCTCGACGTCCTGTAGATGGCCAACAAATGTCATCATGTCACCCAAAACATACTCAGTAAAAGGTGATCAGGTGGAAGGCATTAGTTGGTAGGTGACGGAAAAACTAGCATTTGCTCCATTAGGCATCCTTCTAAAACAATTTCTCTATAATAGAAGGGAATCACATGTGGCTCATAGATGTACTTTAAAAGAACATACAGCTGATGGACTGAGGACTTCTCCGTTTAGTCTCCATTGGCCGTGGACATCGTCTTCGCTGAGCTCGACCTCAAATCGTGCGGTTTCACCCTCTAAGACTTCGGCGCCATACATGGGCCGAACAACCTTGATGTGGCGAGCTGGCATTAAAGAGGAGCACACATTTCTGTCACTGAAGATATTCGACACTTTGTTAACAAAACAGCTGAGACATTAGCGGGAGAAAGTAGATGAATGTTGATGAAGAAAAAGGAAATCTCAGGTTCTGTGAGGATGCCTGTTCTGTTAGGATTTAAGACAACTAATTAGACCATAAAGAAAAAAATGGGCCCTCGAACAAGACCACCCATTTAGTTTTTTATGGAATCGCGAACAGGCAATAAAAGCTAGTATGTTTGGTTGCTAGCGCCATTGTGCACTCATGAAACTAGAAAGAAAATAGGATTCTGCTCCGGAAAAGACAATAACCAGGTTTGAGAAGGGCCAGAATCGTGTGGAGAGACTACACTCTTGCAGGACAACAGAGTGTATTATCTTAAAAAGTGACAACAAATAAGATTCTTTAAATTGAAAAAGACATGAAGTGGGGTTAGAAGATGATGCAAGTGAAGGTGAGGATCCATGGGACTGAAGGTGCCTTAGCGGAGGCAAGTCGGTTACCTTCGATGTGAAGCTCAGCTGTTGTTTTGTCTGTCCCACAGTCGCACACATACTGTCCCTTGTCTTTGTCCCCGACTTTCTTGATGATCAGGGTTCTTCGCTTGCCCTCAGCCTTGACGGTCACCATCTTGGAGGCCTTGATCTCAGCTTCATTGTGGTACCACATGACATCAACATCTTTGCTGAGTTCGCAATCTAGAACAACTTCATCTTTCTCTACTGCAGTGAAGTCCTGCAGCTTAACCGTGAAGTAAGGATCTCCCTCTGGAACAGGAACAGTTGTTTTGACTCTCCAAAGTGAATGTTTGACAAACAATATGTGCAATAACAACAAAGACAGACAGTAGAAACACATAGACGACACAACACATCGTGTCTTAGAAAAGACGGACAGGTTGAGGTCTCTTTCGAGACCTCGACAAACAAACATGGAGAAATTTTGCAAAGAAATCAAGAGTTTGGATAGTCTCCTTTTACCTATAACTGTCAAATTGGCCATTGAAGGAATTCCCTTTGCTTCTGCCTTAATTTGGCAGATATCATCTAGGGTCACATCCTTAATTTCTAGCACGTGTTTCTTTCCATCCATGGAAGTGACAACCGTTCTGCTCGGATGGATTTTATTGTCATTCTTGTACCAGGAAACAGGGATGTTCTCATGAGAGAGCTCTAGCTCAAAGCGAGCTGTACTGCCCTCCTTGACGGTTAGGTCTTTCAGTGGTGAAACAAATCTGAGCCTGATACCTACAATCATATCAAAACAATGTTCATACAAGAGGAAGACACTTACTCATTGTTTAAACTGTGTCTGTGGTTATCTCCTGTGATGAAGAGCAGGCACTTACCCTCGACATTGAGCCTGGCTTTGGAAGCTTTGCCCAAAACCTCAATCGTATATTCGTCCTCGTCATCAAACTCGCAGCAATTGATGACCAACATATGCCTCTTTCCATCATCGATGATGTCGTACTTTTGGTCCGGGATGATGATATCAGCCCCTTTGTACCACAGGACTTTTACGACATCCTTCGTGATGGTGCATTCAAACTTAGCCTGTTTCTTTTCTGGCACAGAAACGTCCTTCAGCGGGACAACAAAGTCCATCTCGATTTCTGGTTGAAGGAGGACACAGGGACAACACATAAACAACAAAACAGTACGAAACAACAACACAAAAACACAACATTCAACAGTCAGAGCCTAGTTCACACAGTGCACTGGGAGCTACATCATAGTTGAATGAGTAGAAAGCCTGTAAGAGATTTCGTCTGGTGTTCTTCAGATGGACTTGTGGACTTCACTAGCCGTTCAGGTCTTCGACTACTTAAACAATGAGAAGGATCCAGTTATAAGAGGAAATGAATGGAAGGTCTTCCTGTGGATGTTGAAGGTAGATGCTGTCTTCAAGGCTCCTTGTAGATTGGATATCAGATTGGAGTTGACGTCAACTTCTTTCTCAGGCGGCATGAAATGTTGTTGCTGGAAAATCTTTGTTTTCTCCACTTTAGAGGGAGCTTCAGTCTAATTCTACTCTGGTCTATGAACTAGAAACTGCTCTAAATATGAAACACACCCATTGAGTGACAGTAGGAGACACTGACATTAAAATAAACAAACCCAAAAACATTTTTACACACAGACCCAGTGACACACGAAAATAATGTCTTTTATCCATCTAAACACACAAAACGAGTTTTTGAGATCCTCCTCTTACCTGGTCGCAAAAAAAGAAACAAACATTGAACTTGATTCATCAGCGCTTTAATATAAAGATCTAAGGTCCGTTGTTGTACGCCTTTGGGCTTTATTTGATTCCCTGTGGACCTTAGACCTTTGCCCCTAAAATCTAAAAAAACAGGGTCCTTTGAAGTGTGGCTCGAGCCCAGTAGTGCATCTTACCTTTGACATTTAACATTGCAGTTGTGATGGCATTCAGGGCCTGGTAGGACACTTCCCCCGCCTGATCCAACTGGCAGTTTTTCAGTGTGAGCCTACGCACAGTACCCTCCATTTGGATGTCGCACGTCTGATGATTACATTGCACTGACGTTAAAAGAAGAACGAACACTAAAACATATTGTCTACAACTTTGGGAGAACAAGTCATACCGGGGATCTTGTCAAAACCTCTCCTTTAAGTTTCCATTCTCCTGGAATATCATCCTCAGATATCTCTGTTTCAAATGAGGCTTCTTCCTTTTCTATCACCTCAACACTGACCAAAGGCCTCAGGATCTCAGCTTCACGCTCTGAAAAAAGGCATTCCTGCTAGTAAATATACAACACCGTTGATACTAACCTGTAGGAACCATTTCAGGGACAACGGCGGACAGAAATACAACCTCCAAGTGTCAGACTGGCGGTGTAGATGCGTCCTTCCACCTCCATTGAATATTGTGCTACATCTTCCGGCTGGCAGTTCTTGATGGTCAGCGTCAGTTCTTTTCCATCCTTCTTGATCTCAACCTTGTCAGATGGAGTGATCTCATCCTCTCCTTTGAGCCACTTCCAGTTGGGAGTGTCTCTGAAGAGCTCGCATTTAAACGTGGCAGCTGCCTTTGGTTTCACATGCTGGTCTCTAAGTGGTTTAACTATCCAGTCTTTAATTATTTCTGTTGGAATCAAATATCTCTTAGTCAGAGTTTGGTATGTTGTTCACAATGAGATAAAGTTGGAGATCATTTACAGGGAAACCAAAATAATTCCAGTCAAAAGGTAATTAATTAAAATTTTCAGAGTTAGAATCTAGATTTATTTTGTCCGTAGCCTGGCCCTCTCTCACATTTATCACTATTTTGGAAATATAAGTGCCTTTTGTCTTTAGGGGATCAAGGAATAATGACCAGGTAGTCATCCAAAAGAACCCAACACCTCAGCTGAAGGGAAAGATGATGACTACTCCTTGTTACCCCTACAAAAAGGACACCATACCTCTTGGAAATGGAGACCAAGGGCCAAAGATCAATAGAGTTTAGTCACTTTACAACTGACCACCATACACCATTTTCTATTTCTAACTTCTTTCGGATTTTAATGACTCCTCCCAATGTCTTACCAATCACTTTGACGTTCGTGGAGGTCTTCACATCCTCCTGTCCTGATACTTCACATGAGTAGACGCCAGCGTCCTCTGGTGTGGAGCCTTGGATGGTCACTGCATGCGACAAGCCAATGATGTTGATCTGAATTTTGCCCTCCTTTTTCTTCAGGACTTCGCCATCCTTTTTCCAGATCACGTCCTTCTCTTTACTCAGCTCGCAGGTCATGTAGATGGGCTGGCCCAAGATAGCAGAGGTCTCCGGGTCCAACTCTTTGACCCATTTTACAGGAAGCTCTGTGAAGTTACAGAGAATCCAAATCAGAGGTCGAATCTGACACAGTTCGATTAAGATTATTGAAAGGAAGCCATGTTACCTTCAACTACGAGCTTAGCAGTGCAGGAGATCTCCTTCCCAGCATTCTTGGCCACACAGGTGTATTCTCCAGTATCAGACAGCTGTACATCAATGATGTGCAGCTTCCGGTCTTTGCCATCAGAGATGAACTTGTGCTTGGGACTTTCACGCAGGTTACCACCGTCTTTCATCCAGGAGGTGACGGCTGTAGAGGGGGAAATCTCACACTCAAACACGGCAGACGAGCCAATGGACTCGGCCTCCTTTAGTACGATGTCCTGCAGCTTCTTGATAAACCTAAGAGGGACGGCTTTGAGCTTGAAGCCTGCAAAGCCTGGCTCCTCTGGTGGTGGGGGGCCCCTGCCTCCAGGTTTTCCACGGCCCCTGCCCTCTCCGGGGGAAGGGGTTAGCTTCGCTGAAAGACATTTCAAAAGCACAGCAATGAGTCTGAAACTGTGATTTTTTGAGTACTGGTGCAGACATTAAGAAGCACACTTACGTTTTAGGCCTCGCCCTCTGCCCCGCCCTGCTTCCTCTGCAGGCTGCCCCTCTGTTAGAAACAATCATTGTCAATCTGCTGCTTTTAATGAAAACATTTAGTGATTTTCTTTCATAAACAAGCAAATCGAGGGCTATAATGTATTTTAAGACATGAAATAATTAGATGATGATGGATGAGGGATTATGAATGATAACGTAAAGATGGTGATGACAGTGATGGATGTATGAACACATGTTGGGCAAATGACAACAGCTTGGCAGACAAACGGAAATGACTGAACAAGAATGTCTGAGAGAGATGGATGTGATGGACATAAACAGCGACATATGGAGGAGATGACGGTCATGGTGTCAATCACAGGACAAGAAAATGACCCCGGAAACAGGTTTAGATGGAAGGATGGTGGGGATGGATGCGGATTATTTGAGGCATGAATGGAGGGTTTTTCTCTGCGACAACCCATTATGTCGGGACCACCACCATCTCACCTCTCCGGGTGACCCCAGGAACCTCCAGAGCACCTTCTTCTCCTTCACCTTCCCAGTCCTCCGAGCCATAACTGTCCCTCGGAACCAGCTCCCAGCCCCAGGCCTCCTCTTGATCTAGCTCAGCCTCTTCCTCGGCCTCAAACTCCTCTTCGAAAACCTCCTCCTCTGGTTGAGTAGCAACCTTCTTCATTTGCACAGCCCCAGGAGAGATCTCTTTCACCGCGGGAACTTTCTTTTTGTCGGGCTCTTCTGGTTCTGGTTTCTTTGGAACCTTTTTCAGCGTAACAGCTTCAATAGAGTCTTTGGGTGAAACAGTTTTTGGAACCTTTTTCAGTTTTTCAATGCTTGGTCTTCTCTCAGCTGGAACTGCTTCTGCTTCCTTGAGTTTCTCCACTTTAGGAGAAGGAGTCTTTTTGAGTTCCACCTTTTTGAGCTGCTCCACTGGCTTCGGTGCTACCCCTTCCTTCTCTTCCTCAGCCTTGGGCACAATCCCTTTCTTTGGTTCCAGAGTTTTGGGTTTGGGTTTTTCTGCGGCTTTGTCAGGTTTCTCGGGTGGGGACGCGGGTGTTTTCTCCACTGGAACCATGTCTACTTCTTTTGGCTTCTCTGTTTTTATTTCAGAAGCTGCAGGTAGCTCAGGTTTCATGGGCTCAACGTCTGCTTCTTTCACCTTCGGTTTTTCAAGAGGACTGGTGGGACGACGTTGCAGGTCTTTGGATGGTTTCTTGTCTTTCTCCTCTGCTGGTTTTTTCTCAGGTTCCTCAGCTTCTTTGGAAGGTTTGGAGAAGGGCTTTAGCTTAACACTTTCTATTTCTGGTTCAGCTGCTGGGATTTTCTTTCCTTTAGTCTGTACTTTAACTGCATCAGGTTCTTTCTCTGGGGTTGTCTTTGCATCTTTTGGTTTTGGCACTTTAGGCAGAGCTTCCTTTACCTCAGGGAGAGGCTTCTCTTGTTCCTTTGTAGGTTCTTTAGGCTCCTTCTCTCTGGGGATCCTGTCTCCCTTCTGGAAAGAAATAGTATCTCTATCAGGCCTCTCCTTCTTATCTTTCTCTGGCTCCTCTAAAGGTTTAACAGGCTTCTCAAATGGTTTAAGCTTGACCAACTCTGGTTCAGCTTCAGCTGAGGGCAGCTTTTTCACTTTCTTCAGTGCTGGGCTGGGTGGGGCAGGTTCCTCTTCTTTTGGTGCCTTCGGAGTTTTCTTAAGAGGGAACTTGTCTTCTGGTTTTTCCTCTCTAGGGACAGGCTTCTGGCGTTTCCATGCATCTTTGGGAGCTTCCTTTTCTTCCTCCCCTTTAGGCTCAATAACATCTGGTTTTTTAACCACGTCAGCTTTCTCTCGAGGTGTTCTTTCCGGAACAGTCCTTCTGGTCACCACCGACATCTCTAAAGCCTCTTCTTCATGCACCAATTCCTCAGCATGGAAAACAGTGGTCTTGGTGATTTTCTGAGGTTTTTCCACCTCGTCAGCCTCTTTCATGGGGGGTGATGGAACCTTCTTCAGTTTGACAACCTCGTGGTCCTCCTCCGCTTCCCTCACGACCCTGGTTGCTTTCTTCAAGGTGGGAATCTCAAACCTCCCATCCTCCGCCACTTGAATTTTACCCTTTTTTTGCTGTACGGGTTCTGAGGCGGCAAAGGTCTGACATTACTGAGTGACATAGGACTGACTTCAAAGCTCTTTAAACATATAACAAATGTTTAACATATACAAATATATACGAAACAGAGAGACACAAAAACAGATAATACTCAACATTTTCTCACTTTAAAACCACAAACTTCAATGAGTTTCATTAGAACACAAAACACCACATGTTTTCCAGTTAAAAAGAAAATGAAACTAGTTTATAAATGTTTTTACAAAGAATAATCGTATTTTACATTATTTTCTAAGTCTTGTCACAGAATGCATTTATATGATTAGATGATTTAACACTTGAATATGTTTATTAACCACAAATGAACCTCAATTAGAGGCAGTCAGTTTTCCTAAAGATGTTTAGACACCTGTTCAGGAATCTTTGGCAACTCTGGCAACTCAGACTGAAGCAACCCTTTTTAAACCCATTGAAACCCTTCTTCATAGCATTTTTTTCTTTTCCTACTGTATAGTCTGAGCCGTCAAATGACCCAGGAGAGGAAAAGGGCACTAAACAAAATTGCACAATATAATGTTAAGGTTCATATTTGTAAAAACCTTAATAATCCAACATATAATTTCCTTCAAATAAGTGCATTTGTTCTTGGATTGAGAAGAACGAACAAGAACAAGACAATTTATACTTAAAATAATAAAACACAATTGTATTGTCTTATTTTAGGTGCATATTATCTAATTATGTTAAGAGTATAAATACTCATTCCATTGGCAAACTAAGTCGTATACCTACTCAAATTAAGGATAAATACACTTAATTTAAGACATTTCTACTTATTTCTAGATCGTTTTTCCAGTGCTTCATCATATGCTGGCCTATCGTATAAAATGAAACACTTCAATGTTTGTGGTTTTAAAGGGAAATAATGAAGAAAAGAAAAAAAGGTTAATAGGGTGTGAATACTTTTTTTCCATGGTACTTTAGAATGATTAAATTAACACAGATTGACCATCGCTAAATCAATAACCATGCATGCATTTAGTGGAGAGGCTTCCCATGACTTATCATAATTATTATTATAAGTGTTCTAAGATTCTCTGATTATTATTGTTCATCCTATATAAGATAATTCTACAATAAAACCATCACTTATTGGTTTTTAGACCAGAACAATTTCCTCCCTGATTATCAACAAATAAAACTGGAATATAAAGCATTAAAGTGCTTGATCCTGCTGCACCTGATGGTCATACAGGCTATTTACTTACTTTCCAGGTCAGAAGATACATTAGTGCAGCAGCTTATAGAGCAGTGAATCAGGCTCCATTTTACTGTTAAATGTCAACTATTTGATTAGCTGAGACAAGTGGTGGATATTTATATCTATATATATGTTATAATTAAAATAATATTCAGAATAAAATAAAGTAATTTCTGTAGTTGGCAAAACAGAGCAATGAGTGATGGTTTTCTTTGGGGCCCAACAGTGTGTTCAGGTTTAGATTTGAAGCATGGTGCCATCTACTGTTGGTACTGGGGTAAAGCGAGAAGCAGTTATTGGTCTTACCTTTCTGGACTCCTCCTGGTGTCTGCACTGGTCCCTTGGTTTCATCTGATAGAGAGATGTAGTAAAAAGGTCATTAGGTTTTAGGTACTGATGATAATGTGACTTGTGAAGACTTGAAGACGGTGAGAAACATTTTATCAGAAGAGTTGAAATTTCATAAAGAAGAGGTCATCGTGACCAAGATTTGTGATCAAATGGTTGTGTAAAAAGATGGTGATTGTAGAGAACATTAAAGAGGATGCCTCTCTACAGGGTCTTCTACCTTTTGGAGCTGTTGTTTGCTCTTCTGGAACAACCTTAGATGGTTCTTCTACCTTTACCACAGGCTCGGTCTTGGTCACTTTGAGGGCAACAAAGGATTAAAAGAATGGTTCGCGAATTTTCATCTAATCAAAGTCTTTCAACCTTGTTAATATCTGAATACCTGGCTTGGTTTCCTCTGGTGGAGAGATTTTCCTTGCTGTGACTTCAGGTTTCTTGGTGACCTCTGCGGACTTTGGTTTGCTTTCTTTAAGTTTAAAGACACAATGAAGCACAAAGGTTTTAGAAAGTCTTTATCTGTACTTTGAAACAAAGGGGCTAGAGCACCAAGGTTGTCTTTTGACCTCCATTTTCAGGATAAAGTTGAAATTATATCCTTTTTTTAATCACGGGCATTCTGTCACAAATGCCTTTAATGAAAAATAAAGTAATATACCTTCTGAAGGAGGTGCAGGCTTCACTTCTTTGGGTTCTGGTGGCAACTCCTTCTCCTTTACAGGAACTTAAAGATATAAAGAAATCAATCAGACAAATATTCAGACCTTGATCGGAGCTGAAACACTCAGAGACAACAGAGAAAACCCAGCATGGAGATAGCTGGAAGACTAGACAACCTCACCTCACCGGCTCAAAAACACAACACATAAAGACAGAGTTAGAGATACAGTGAGGGAAAAACCCAACGCAGTCTGCTGTGGATGTGCTCGTCACAATGAGAGGTAAAAACCGTTTGTGCCTGAACAACATGGGTGACATGACATGGAAGTCCACCTGAATGATGATGATGATAAAGATGACATAGTGAACACCCATAAAAAACAAGATGTGTGGTGCTCGGTTCAGAAACTTGTGCTAAGTGACCGTTTCCCCCTCTGTACCTCTGGAAGCTTCTTTCTCTCCTGGTGCCACAGTCAGACCCCTGGTTTCTGTGACGGACTCCGTCTCCCAGGGTTCTGCCTCAGTTCTGGTTACATGCGTTTTTAGAGGCATGAGGTGGATGTGTGTTGCGTTTCTGGTGTCTTCTGAGGGGTAGTCAGTGCTGACTTTATCTGTTACTGAGGGCTCAAAGCTAGGCTGACCTCTGGTAGATTCTTTCTCTGTGGTAGACTCATTGAGCTGCTCTAATGCATCTGAGTCTGGTAATTGAAAAATCACGCCAGTCGCAGATGTTTGGGAGGCATTTCTTTCTCCAGCTGAACCAGCTGCTGCCTGAGCTGTGAGATCAGATTTATCTCCAACATGTGCCGTAATTAAAGAAGGTAGGCCTCCAGCCCTAATTTGCTGGTCTGATGCATCCTGATTTATCAGACTCTCTTGTGCAACAAACAATTTCCCCCTTTTTTCCAGCTTTGGTTCATTCTCTGCCATCATTTGATATTTTTTGGATGTTTCCATGTGCTCAGAAACATCATCCGACAAGTTCTTGACCCTCTCTGGGGTCTCTAGTACCTCCTGTGGTAAAAACTGACTAACTTCTCTACGTTGCTGTTTTACCTTTGCTGTCCTGGATTGAATTTCCTGTGGGGAAACGTTATCTTTGTTCAGCTCCTGAAATTTCAATGCGTCTTTGGTTTCTGTTTGCTTTAGAAGAACTTGTTCAGCTTCTGGTTCTGATTTAGTGTGAGCCTTTAATTTACCAAACTCTGGTCTTTGAGGCAGTTTGTTTGTTATATCTTCTGTCTTTAACTGTTGTGATTGCTCTATCTTTAAAGAGGAGATATCATTGTCAACTATTGCTATGTCAGATGTTTCGGATGCCACCTTCCTCACTGGGGCCAAAGACGCCTTCAATAAAGATTGTGGTGTTTGAGCTGGACTAATGATCCCATGTTCCTGTTTGAAAACACCCGTCCTGCACGCCTCTGGACCTTTTGGGCCCTTTGGAGAAACATTTAGCATAATATGCGATGTTTCGTCCATCTTTTTCTTTTCAGTGCTTTCCATCTCTTCTGAAATCTGTTCAGATTCTTCGTCTTGTCCTTTTCTTGGGGGTTTGGTTTCTGTGCTGTTGGTTGGTATCTTCTCAGCTGGATGAGTTGTAGTGGGTTTGCCCTCTTCAGGAACTTTTAAGTTTCTTTCACAGGCTTGCTGTTTTTGTACTAACATCTTTCTCTGAACTTCCATTTTCTCTTTTTTATCTAATACTTCTAAGTCTTTCACCATATTATCTGGAATCTGAGAATGTGGTGTTTCAGCTTCTTCTTGTCTAACAGGAACCGCTAGTTTCTTTCTCTGTACCCTATCCAGGTCTTCCTCTGTTGGTTCGAACTCATCTGTAACTGGGCCTTCTGATGGAATTGGTTCTTGTTTCTTTGAAGCCCCAACATGCAGAGCTACCCCTAATTCCTGTTTGGTTTCATTCTCTTTGGTTAGAGATGGCCAGTCTGTTCCGTTCAAAGCCCGAACAAGAGATGACTGAAACCCATCAATCAGATCTTCAGTCGTTTTTAACATCTTGGTCATCGGGGTTTCCTGCTTTAAGTCCCCTCCTTTAGCCACACTTTGGTCTAACTGGATCTCTTTCCTGACTGAAGCTTCTTCTATATTAGCTTGAACGTCAGGATCATCTAAGGTCTTTATTTTAACCAGCTCCTCTGCAGTTTGTGTATCATCTTTCACACTGTCTAACTTTGGTTGTATTTTCTTGTCCTCTGCCTCTCCAGTTTCCTTTAGAGAACCAGCAGATTCAACCATTGCAAAGTCGCCTTCTCCAATTTGTGGCAAATCTTCCTCAGATCTCTCTTGTCTAATGATTCTAGGTGGAACTTTATCAGCTTGGTCTTTAGCAGAGGTCATTTTAAAAGCTTTCTCTAAATGGAAAGTGGGTTTTGACAAGAGTTGCTTGTCGTCCGTTTTAATGATATTTTGCGTCTCGGGATCAGGTGTTATTTGTTCTTTGCCATCTGCTTTTTCTTTCACCACTTTCATTCTATCTGTACTGATGTTTATCTGGCTTTCTTCAATACTTGACCCCTGAGGTTTGATGGTTCTCTCCTTGTGTAAAATCTCATCAAATGTTGGTTGGTCTTCTTGTTCATTTTTAGTCCCTTCTTTGGTTTTATTCTCACCTAAAAATCCAACTTTTATGTCTGAAGCATCAGCAGTTTGGGGAAATGTCTTCTTTTTCTTCTCTGAGAAAATCAAAACCTCTGGAGAACCTTCGTCTTCTTCTTTGATGGTTTCACCCCTAAAGTCTGAAGCATGAACCTTTCCCTCAACCTGACCATGAAGATGATTAGTCTCCTCATCTGGAGGTATGTTAGGAGCCCTGATATTTTTATGCTCCATCTCAGCTATCAACCCTGGAGGTTTGATCTTTTGCTTTGATGAAGACATTACTTCATCACTGACAGTCATTTTGTCGTCAATGGTTGGTTTTTTGGTTTTAGCAGGAACTGCATCTGGTTTTAATGGGACTGTTTTTGCCAAAGAATCAGAACATAGAGAAACTGACTCCTTTGAAAAAAGATAATTTTCTTCCTCAAAGGTTGAAAGCTCAGATTTTTCCATTTCTGGTTGTTTTTCTGTTTCTTGAAAAGTCTTTTCTGTTTTTGCGGGTGAAACTTTTCCTTTGACCTGCTCCTGTGTTCCTATTTTCTTTTTAACTGTTGAAACATTCATCATTTCATCTTTAACTGTACTGATGTGGTCCTGTTTAACTTTTGAGCCCTCAATACTCTCTGTGGTTAAGATTTCTTCAGCTGTCAGACGTTCTATTTGTTCATCTTTGTTGGTAGGAACATCTGCCTCATCGATTTCCCGAACATCAGTTAAGGACGCCTTCTCTGAGAGTTCTGATAGATTGTCAGGTTCTGATTCTGTGGGTCGTATTGAGACCGTTTCTTCTTTGCCACTTTTGTCAGCCATTTTATCTCTGATGGGCGGACCTGTTTTAGTCAAAACTGGGTTTAATGGTTCATCCACAGCCTCTTTAAACTCAGTAAGGTTTAGTATTTTCTCCTTTGATGAAGGAGGGCTTTCCATCATCTCAGCAGCTAGCATTAAATCAGCCTCAGTGATTTTAGGTCTACCTGCTGAACTTTCCTCACTTTCCTTTTTCATCTTTCTGCTTTTAATCTCTATAAGAGGAGCAACTTTCCTAGTTTCATTTTTAACTGTATTGATAGCGATTCGGTCTCGTTCAGTAATGGTTTTAACTCTAGTTTTTTCAGCTGTTTCCTCATCCGTAAGTTCCTGAAATGTTTCGAGTTTTCTAACTTCCCTGTCTTGAGTTTCTTCCTCTGCTGTGAGGTCGACTGACGGGATCATTTTATCTGAACTTTCCTTTGTTTTAGCAAACCTTTGCCTTCTCAGCTTTGTGGACTCTGATTTTTTCTCATAAACAGGAGCTACTGGGGCCTCCCTGTCTGGGACCATGTGGTGATTTTCAGCAGAAACTTTAGTCCCTGCTTTTGAATCATCATGTATGTCCTGGAGTGGGAGGTCATCTCCAGCTTTCTGCAGGTTCATTTCACCTCTAGCTCCTTCCTTTGAACTCCTAATCCTAACGTCTGCAGGTTTAAGCTCAGTTTTTGTTTCTACCAGCTTCAGTGAATCAGTTTCATAAATTTTAGAACGTGTTTCTGTTTTTTCGGGCTCTGAATATTTATCTTTTTCCTCAGCCTCCTGATCTGTCATTACTAATAGATTCAATTCATCCGATTCTAAGAATTCCTGTTTGTCTTTGGTTCCTTGGATCCTAATCGATCCCTCTGCTCCAGAAATCTCAGGAGGTGCTTGTATTTCACTTTCAGCAACTTCATTAGCGTTTTTCATGTCCTTTGAAACTTGTTTCTGCTTTTTATCCTGAAGTGTCTCTGTGATAATTTCCACAGTTGTAGGAAAAATTGTTTTAGAGCCTATTTCCTTTAAACCCTCAGTAACAGACGTCTCATGTGCTTCTTTAATCATCTTTTCTTGTGTTTTATATTTGACATCCTTGTTTTCTTCATCTGTGTGGGACATTGGCCCTTCATGTTCTACACAGGAGGCTCTTTTCTCATCCCAGAGATGAGCACTGATTGGTGCTGTAGGTATGGAAATGTGTAGAGTTGTAAAAAGAGAAAGCACCATGAAGCGGTGCCAAGAGATTAGAAACAAACAACACAGACACAAACATTTGGGGTTAAATAAGAGATAAAAAAAGAGAGTTTAAAAAGAGAGAACATGTTTTGATTTTATACCTTTCTCCATTTTCTTTCCTTTTGTCTCTGCTTCAAGAGGCGTGGAAGGAAGCTTCTTGAGTTTATCTTCAGTTTCTTAAAGGAACAGTTAGATTAGGTTTTAGATTTGGACATTTAATAAGACGAGAAAACGACAGTAGGCAGCGAAGTGAAGACGAAACGACAAAAAACTACAAATTGGGATGAAAATATAATGATGAAATCAGAATGGAGGTGAAATGGGGACCTCTGCTGGTTGCTGCGGGTAATGCAGAGACAGGAAACAGTTTGATGAAACTGTAAGACATGGTGGGGGTGATGGTACCTCCAGCAGGTGTTTCTGTAGGAATCTTTATCTCCTCTGGTTTGAAAGAGGCTGAAGGTTTCCTCTGATCCTGGTTCCTCTGAGCAGGAACGTCTTCAGGCTTCTGCCCGTCTGGTTCCTCAGTGGTTTCTGTCCTGAACTCCAGGCCTGTAACTGACTCAGAGGTTTCTAGTTCTGCTTTAATAGAGATCTCCTCATGTCTGACCTCAACCAGCTGATCGGAGGTCATCACCGCTTTCCTTTCTTGTCTTCTAATCTCCTCTTTCTCACCTGTTTTCACCTCAGAGCGACTTTCTTTTCCTGAACTGGTTTCTATTGCTGCTCTGCTGAGTTTTTCAGATTTAAGACTAACAGACTCTGACATTTTCAACTCTTTGGTGGTTTCTCCTGCTTTTGGTTGGATCCTCGTTGTTGAAACCTTCTTAAATTCATCTTCTGAGCCTAAAGCTTCACTCTTGGCTCTAAACTTGGATTTTATCTCATTGGTTTCTCTCCTCCCTGAAGAGTCAGAAACAGTTTTTCTCTCCTCTTCCTGTTTCCTCTGATCTTCTGGTTTCAAGAGTTGTTGAAGAAGAGGCGTCATGAAGGCGACGCCAAGAGGTGAGAATAAAACACAAACGTCTGGGTTAGAGGGATTAATACGTAGCTGATGATAATCCAACCTGCCAGGTTTTTATCATCAGCAGTTAAAGACGAAGATGTGGTTACAATAACCCATCTCGTTCTCAGAAGGTCGGTACCTTTTTCAACAGGAACAAAGACTGTCTTCTGCTGATCTGTGGGTTGAACATCCTCCTCCTTCTTTACTAAATTTTCTTCAGTTTGTTTTGGTTTGTTGAAGCCCAGGATGTTGAGAAAGAAGAAGATTGTTGTAGAGGAATAAAGGTTCCACAGTTAGAATCAAACAGAAGACCCAACACAGACAATAAAAAACACACTGATAGGTGATCTAAGAGAGAGAGAGGATGTTCTGAAACCAACAGAACCTCTAAATGCCCTGCGTTCCTCACAGAGGAACAACAATCCAAATAAATTAGGTTTATTACTGAAAGATGAAAAGACGTCCACAAAAAGGAGGACTTGTGGGTTAAAAGGTTCTATCTTAATAATTTCATCTTGTTTAAACAAGTTCAACCATAAATACATAACAAGTCTCCGTTGAGGTCCATGTTCCTGAGCGAGTGGTAGTTCAAAGTTCAGGAAGCAGCTGGTTACTGGTTTAACTGGTAGGTTGAGTTCAGTTATCAAACATCTGAGCTCAGTTTTCCCACTACCTTAAAAATGAACACAGTGTGCTAAAAGTGTTCGATGTTTAAGGTGGGAGAGAAAGATGTCTATGTTTGTTCTCTAAAAGCTTTTTACTGTAGCTAAAGGTTCGATCTTTTAATATTCTCTGTCTGACCTCAGGTCCATCTGCTCTATTTTCTTATTATCACTCCACAGCTTCCTTCATCCTGGTCTCAAACCTTTTTTATCTTTTTGTCTTCTTTTTTCATTTAACACTAGAACTACCAGGATTTGTCTGCCTACCTTGAACTACCAGAGAGGGGTCAATTGACCCGGAAAAATCCACTAAAAACTATACTAAAAGCTTGCCTTAGGGTTCCCTTCCCCACACAGGCTGAAGCGATTCTGTGACAGCTATGAGCTGCTAACAGCTACATTTCCACAACAAAAGGAGTGTCCGCAGGAGGTCCAAAGGTCAAATGACCCTCTTGTAGGGCTTTTAGGTAAAAAGGAAAATTGACCCCTCCGTAGTAGTTCTAGTGTTAACCCCCCCATCCAATGATTGTCCTTTACCTTATTTTTTCTTTTCTCCTCTTTCCTTGTTTTATTGTTTTTTACTCTAATTTAGCTCTATTTTCATACAGGTGCTCTTAATTTTTCTCGTTTTATGAACCCACTACTCATTTTTTGCATTTCTCTCTTTGCTTTAGTTCTTTTCTAAGTCTTGTTTGTTTTTTATTTATTCCATACCTTACTTTTTCTATTTCTTACTTTTTCTTCTCTTTTTAAATAAATCCTAATTTTCTACCTTCCTCTTTTCTTGTTGCTCTTTTTTCTTATTTGTACTACTTGTACTGTACTTTGTCAGATTTCTATCTGGCACTTGTTTTACATCAATAATTGATTCTATTGTTTGAATTGTGTAAATAAAGTGTTGTTAAAAGTTAAAAGTCTTTTTCCTACCACTAATTCCTCCATTTCTAATTTTCCAGTTAATCTGCTGTCCTTCCATTTCCTTCTTCTACCTGACTCTCCATCCATGATGCCTTCCTCTTTCATAGGAACATTACGTTAAAAGGTTTTTTAAAAATCTAATCAATCAATAAACGTTTGTGTCCGGGATAATAACTGGATGAGTCAGGCTCATATAGCATCAAACACAATGAATGCTTCACCTGAGGTCAGCTGAAAAAACTAGGAAGTAAATCCATGAAACAATACGGTTCATTTTCTAGTAACTGAGATTTGACAAAACCTCCCAGTAAACCTGAATCCAACCAGTTCATTATACATGATGGTTTGAACTCTGCAGATGAGTTTATTTCACTCAGAACCATAAAGATCTGTTGTTCAACAGCCTCCTCGCTCTTCTAGCATCAAACCCGTTCTAGTCGGGCCTGATGGCAGAACGCTAAACTCAAAGACATGATTGATGGAGAAGATAAAGAGTCGATGTTTAAGCCATCGGTACCTTTCTGAAGAGCTTCTTTTGAGAGCTTCTCAGTTCTAACAGGAATTGTTTCAGCTTTGGAGCTTTTCTCTGCTTCTTTCTTGGGCTTCACTTCTTCAACCTTCTTCAGACTGATCGCCTCTTCAGCCTCTTTCTGAGGCTCAATAGGCTTCTTATCAGAAACCTCTTTCTTAGGTTTTTTCTCTGGAAGTTTCTCAGCGACTTTTTCTGCAACTTTCTCTGGGATTTTTTTGGGAAGTTTCTCAGGGATTATTTCAGGAACTTTCTCTGGGATTTTTTCTGAAATTTTCTCTGGGATTTTTTCGGGAACTTTCTCTGGAATTATTTCGGGAACTTTGTCTGGGATTTTTTCTGGAACTTTGTCTGGGATTTTTTTTGGAACTTTGTCTGGGATTTTTTCTGGAACTTTGTCTGGGATTTTTTTGGGAACTTTGTCTGGGATTTTTTCTGGAACTTTGTCTGGGATTTTTTCTGGAACTTTGTCTGGGATTTTTTCTGGAACTTTTGCTGAGATTTTTTCTGGAACTTTCTCTGGGATTATTTCTGGAACTTTGTCTGGGATTTTTTTGGGAACTTTGTCTGGGATTTTTTCTGGAACTTTTGCTGAGATTTTTTCTGGAACTTTCTCTGGGATTATTTCTGGAACTTTGTCTGGGATTTTTTTGGGAACTTTGTCTGGGATTTTTTCTGGAACTTTCTCTGGGATTTTTTCTGGAACTTTTGCTGAGATTTTTTCTGGAACTTTCTCTGGGATTATTTCTGGAACTTTGTCTGGGATTTTTTCTGGAACTTTCTCTGGGATTTTTTCTGGAACTTTCTCTGGGATTTTTTCTGGAACTTTCTCTGGGACCTTTTCTGGACGTTTCTCTGGGATCCCTCCAGTAACCATCTCTGGAACATCTTCCTGCTTACTCTCTGGGACTCTCTCCTTGGTCCTTTTCGTCTCCTCGGCCTTCCCTGGTGCTTTTCCAGACATTGTTTCAAGTTTGATGCCCAACTCCTCCTCAGGCTGTTTCTGAGGAAGCCTTTCAGGTTTCAGTTGGGGCTTGAGAGCTTAAAGAAGGTTTGACAGAGAAACATGCAGAAGAAGTGACCATAAAGAAGAATGTGCTAACGCACAACAAAAGGATTTGTCTCAGAGGATGTTTTTGACAAACAACACAAAAGACAGAGGTTAGTTTTTTCCAAAGAAAAACAGATTTTAAGACCAGTCTGTTACTGAACTGGTTAGGAATACCTTTGTCCTTCTGAGCTGGTTCTTCTGAGGGAGGAACCACCTGAGCCTCTGGTTTCTTCTCTGCTTTCGGAAGCTCTGGAACTTTTTCTTCCAGGGGAACTTTAAAGAGTACCATTCACAAACATTAGAACCCTTAGAAGGTCGGGTTTATAAAAGAAACAAACGGCATTCAGCTGAGCAAGAAGCACAGGTAGAACATCAGGCAGAAGCAGAAAAGCTAAAGAACTTCAGGTTTGAATGTTAGGAGCTGTAGACTAAGCTCCAGGTACCTTTAATCGGCTTCTTCTTTGGCTCTTCTGCCTCTTTCTGTACCTCCTTTTGGAATGAAGGAGGTGGAGGAGCAGCCACCTCCTTCTTCTGTGGTTTTTCTGCCACTTTAAAAGAACACAGTGTCCTGTGTCATTATGGGAATTAGACCAACAGCAGATGATTTTCCTGCTGCTATTTGTTAAAAAAGAAACTTTAAATCTAAACAGTGAGAGTTTCTGGACGGAAGAGGTTTGAGACAACGATGAGCTAAAGATACACTTTGGCTACAGAAGTTCTCTACCTTTCTTCTCTGGCTCCTTCTGTGCCGGTTTTGCTTTTGGAGCTGGAGGTTCTGGTTTAGGAAGTTCGGGTTTAGGAGGTTCGGGTTTACGGACTTCTGGTTTGGTTTTCTTCAGTTCTGCCTTTGGTTGTGGAGCTTCTGGTTCAGTTAGGATCTTTGCTTCTTCTTTGGGGGCTTAAAGCGACATTAAGATGGTTTCAGACCAAAGATCCGCTTCAGCAGTCGAAGCTAAAAACATTCAACATCCCACAGAACTGAACACATAGACCCAAACAGAGCAGAACTCACCTTTGGATGGAGGCGTCACTGGCTTCGTTTCCGGTTCTGCTTTCGGAGCCGGAGCAGCTTTGGGCTTCGGTTCTGGTTCTGCTTTCGGAGTTGGAGCTGCTTTGGGCTTCGGTTCTGGTTCTGCTTTCGGAGTTGGAGCTGCTTTGGGCTTCGGTTCCGGTTCTGCTTTCGGAGTTGGAGCTGCTTTGGGCTTCGGTTCTGGTTCTGCTTTCGGAGTTGGAGCTGCTTTGGGCTTCGGTTCCGGTTCTGCTTTGGGAGCAGCTTTGGGCTTTGGTTCCGGTTCTGTTTTCGGAGTTGGAGCTGCTTTGGGCTTCGGTTCCGGTTCTGCTTTGGGAGCAGCTTTGGGCTTCGGTTCCGGTTCTGCTTTCGGAGTCGGAGCAGCTTTGGGCTTCGGTTCTGGTTCTACTTTCGGAGTGGCTTTGGGCTTCGGTTCCGGTTCTGCTTTCGGAGCCAGAGCAGCTTTGGTCTTCGGTTCTGGTTCTGCTTTCGGAGCGGCTTTGGGCTTCGGTTCGGGTTCTGCTTTCGGAGCAGCTTTGGGCTTCGGTTCCGGTTCTGCCTTGGGCTTTGCTTCAGGCTTCAGCTCCGTGGACTCAGCTGGAACCAGAACTTTGGGCTCATCTTCATGAACATAAAGATGAAGTGATGTTAGAATCTGAAGATGCGTTTCAAAGAGGGTGAAGACTTAGGAAGATTAAGATGTTAAAGAAAACGGGCAGCGCCGAGGTCCAAACAGAACCAAACACACCAGGACCAAACATCATGAAGAAGTCAGGAGCTTGAAGCTCCTGATCAGATGAATCAGAGAAGAAGCACTGACCTTTGGTTGGCAGGATGGGCGTCTCTTCAGGCAGGGAGGGGGGCGATGGCTTCTTCACCGCCTCTGGTTCTGTTAGAGACGCATTAAGACTCAATAAACCCAAAGATAACACATAGAAGAGCAGAGCTGAACCCCAGGAATCAGGGCAGAGATGTTCAAGCAGGAAGGTACCTCTGGGAGCAGGAAGCTCCTTCTTCTCTGGGACTGAAGCTTCAGGAACCTTCTCCTCCACCAGCTTCCGAGTCTCTGGTTCTGCAAAGGTTGGGTTAGACACAATGAGCGTTTCCAAGAACACAAGGCAGCCCCATAATGAGTCCTTCTGCACGTGTTCCTACTTTTCTTTGGTTCCTCTATAGCTGCAGTTTTCTTCTCCTCAGCCTTTTTCTCCACTTTAGGATAAAAAAAAAACAACCAAACAGACCATGTTAGGAGGAAACAGGAAGTAAATGTCTCATCTCAAACAGTCACTGCGTGGAAACTGGACGAAAATGATCTGGAAGAGCGGATGGAGAGAGCCAGGGGTGTGTGCTCTCTACAGGCTTCCGTGGTTTGAAAGGGTCCTTAAGGTCTTATTATGTTAGAATTATGAAAAATAATAACAACACAAACTTTAAACTGACCTTTTGTTGGGACTTCCTCCCTCATTTCAACCTTCATCATCTCCACTTTTTCCTCAACAGCAACTCTGGAAGCTAAAACAAGACAGAAAAGAAAAGATTAAAATGACCTCGTCTGAAAACATTCAGGACATCCAGGGAAGGTTTTATACCTGCTGGGTCAAACGGTTAAAAAAAGAGGTTATTAATAGAGAAGGCGGTAAAAAAGATGAGCGTGAACACGAGTACCTGTGGTCTCTGAGACCTGCTGGGTTACAGACTCTTCTGTCCAGCTCTGAAACTCCACTAGAGGCGGGACAATCAGAGACAGGAAGCAAAGGTGAGACACTTTTCAGAAACAGCATCGCATTAAACAGCAACGCTTTGCGACGCCTCAGAGACTCAACTTTATGATTTCACTGAAAGGTTCGCCGTCATTGTTAGGTTTATTCAATGATGATTATAAAGTTAATGAGTGTGCATATCGAACATTGGAGAAATGAGATGCTTCACTCTGTTTACTGCAAACTGTCATGCAATGGTGGTAGAAAACTGCTGATGTTTGTGCAAGGCTAATCACAGTTATCAGGAGACCACTCTATTCTGGGATTCAATCAGAGGAAAATTTTGTCCTATGACCTGATCAATTGCCTTGTCAGAAGAATACTCTATTTTGTAACCAACCCCATGTGTTATGATCTGCTAATAAAAAGGCTTCTGCTGAGGAAGCCGGTAAGAGAGTAGATGTAGCTGAATGTAGCTCTCTCCTTCTGCATAAGCCGTTAAAAAATCCCTCTTCTGTGTGGACTCAGTTTCTCTTTTATGCACATACACTTTTTAACCTAACAGTCATGTTCTGGATGAGGTTAGGTTTTAATAAATGAGGAAAAAAGAAGCAAAAATAAACAGAAATGATGTTTTAGTCCAGAGGAAGTAATATGATGTTAGCATATGAAGATGTTTCTAGGCTTAAATGAAAGGTTTGATGAAAAACAGTGAAGATTAGAGACTGTTTGAGGAGAAATGAGGAGAATGAATGAGGAGAAAATCACAACCAAACCAAGAAGCAATGAAGATGGAGATATTAAACTGGAGGTGGAGCATGAAGGAGGGTGGAGAAAGAAGCAGATTTGGGTCAAATCTAGCTGCTCAGATGGTTAGATGGTGATGAAGAGGGAAAAACAGAAGGCACCTTTCTGCTGCACCTCCTCTTCGTAATGATAAGAATATTCAGCTGATTCTTTGTCAGGAAACAAAAAAAAAAAGAAAAGAAAAAAAATTAAGATGCTTTAAGGAGTAACAGTATGTTTTAAACATTTAATCTGAAGGATCAAACATGAACCGTTTGTATTTGATTAAAATGATCGTGAACGGAAAGAGGAGATACCTCTCTGTTCAATTTTCTCTTCAATCTGGTAGAACTCGGCAGATTCTTGGGGAAACAAACACATTGTCGGGTCGGTTAGTGGCCTGAAGAACCTCAGAGAAACACATGTTTTGTTTTTTTAAGGATTCCCCAGCAGCGAAAGGTGGAGCTTACCTTGGATCTCCTCGGATGAAGGCACTTCAGGCCTCTGAACCGAAGAGTCTGGGATATCTACACAATAAGGCGCATTGTTCAGACAGAACATCTTCCCTGCTGAGAAACTTTACCATCATCAACAGTTTCCCCAGGATGCTGTGATACTGGAAGCACTGGGAGCTGTTTTTTAATGTCTGATCATTTTTTAAGACATTTAAATTTCTGGAAAGATTTAATATGAAATAAAAGCAATATAGAAAAGTTTATTGTTGTTTTTTTAACACCATAATGTTTTGTTTTGGTTCTATTATTGCCAAACAATCATGACAATTGACTTTACGAGAAGCGCAGCGATGATTGGCCCCTACACACAAACAGCTGGCTGATCCGTCCCGGAAGCACGATCCATCCTGTGCATTCGCCATCAGCTTACTTGTGCATCTAGATATACATCCGGGTCATCCTCAATTTTATTTTTTGTTAAAAAGACCTAAATGACGTTTTTCCCTCCACAAAAATAGTAAGCGTACTAAAATATAATGTGTTAAACGTTAATGAATAAAATAAATGCCTTAAAATCTGTTCCGTATCTGGAAATGGGATCTGATTCAGAGAGCTAACTTTTTTGGCTTATTTAAATATGTTTTCCTTTTATGTTAAAATGATGGTATATAGTGTGTGACCTAAAGAAAGAAACCGCTAAAACGCAGATAAACATGGTTTAATCATACTTTGCCGGACTGCTCTGATCATGTCCCACGATGACGTAGAGAGGTAGTTTAACGAAAAAAATATAGAAATCATCAAAATTGTTTCAGAAAAGTCATAAAACATTTTTTAAAGATGTGTATTGGTATTCTTTAGTGAGTTAAGGATAGAAATAATTAATTTTAGTACTAATTACATTCTTAATGGACACACGGATGTCTAATTGTTAGCGCATGCGCAGGTCGGATTGTGCTTCGGGGACGGATCGGGTAGTGACAATGGCCTCCAGACAGGCGCTTAGCCTGAGGCAGAGAGAGGAAATAGCCTCAGCTCTTATTTACAGGCCTACCAGACACTCAAATTAAACTAATTCAAACAGGGAAATTAAAATTCAAAATAGATTAATTATTTCATTTAGGTGTCAATAGTATTTTTGAATTTAATTATTCCATATAAGTTCAGTTTTCTGAAGAACTTTCCAAAATGTCAGACTTTCAGCTGAAAACAAACTAAGAATGTCATTAATCCTGGAGTGACTGAGTTCTGATGGTTCATAAGGAGTAAAACCTGCATAAATCACTTACCTGTCGGCACCATCGCTAATTCAATCTCTGTGGAAAGAAAAAACGCGTTTGGTTTGTGTTTCAGTCTGAGATAACTCAAAGTTGAACAGAAGCAGAGAAGGTGTTGGCTGACTAATGACTGTACCTTTGCCAGACAAATAAAGCTCAGCTGTGCTTTTAGCCTCTCCTCTGGGCTCCAATCTCACAATCACTGAGTACACGCCTACATGGGATTAGTAATGGACACACTTAGGTCACAAAGAAAAGGAAGAGGAGCAAATCTGCAGGGCTCTGAGACGGCCTCTGGACCACGGGTTGGCTCTACACACCTTCGTCTTCGATGGTCACATTTCGAATGACCATGAAATGCCTTCGGCCTTCGCTCCTGAAGTTGTACTTAGTACATTCTCTCAGTTCCCAGGTGTCTTTGTACCAAGAAACGATGGCGTTGTCGAAGGACACCTCGCATTCGAAGGTGGCCGACTGGCGCTCGTTGACTTCGACATTGTGGATGCGTTTGGTGAAATGAATTTGTTCGGCTAAAACAGATAAAGATGTGAACGGATAAACGGGACAGTAACTGGGGGGGTGAGGTTTTGTATTGCATGAACACGACATCCACGTGGTTAGAGATGACCACCTGATGGAGGTTCATGGCACGTTATGATGACAGGTTGTTTGGAGGATGATGGGTTTGAGATGATGGTGCAAGACAATCACGGAGATTATGACAAAACAAATCCAAGAGGAGGAGGAAAAAAGAGGGCAGACGCCCGAATGCCGATGTTAGTTTTAGAGTCTGATGAACCGAAAGAGGTTAGTAATCGGGCAGAGCATCCATCACGTCTACAGGAAGGTTTCCAGGTACAAACCTTCCACCTTGAGGTCTGCAGAGGATTCCAGGTGCTGGTATCTGCAGGAGTATCTGCCCCGGTCTTCAGACTTCAGGTCTTTGATCAGAAGCTTCTGAACTTTGTGTTTCACCTCGGATGAATACCTTCCCTTCATCTCTAACTTCTTGCCGTTTTTAAACCACTGAGCCTCGACGTTAGGAACAGACAACTGACAAGACAGCGTGCACGACTGGCCTTCCTTACCCGACGTGTCCTGCAGGTGCTTCTCCACCTCCACTTCTGAAAACACAAGAAGAGAAGAATAATCAGCGTCCGCTCGGACTGGATGCTCTAAGGCGCCTCCTGTGTGTCGGTACTGACCTGTGATGGAGAGCTTGGCGCTGGAGATGTGTGGTCCACACACCACCCGGTAGTTGCCCTGGTCGGACGGCTGACACTTCTTGATCTTGAGCAGGTGGCGGTCGCCGCGGATGCTGATGTCGTATTTGTCGGACGTGTCGAGCTTCTGCGTGCCCTTGTACCACGACAGCGAGATCTCTGGGTAATTGATCTTGATTTCGCATTCAAACTCCGCCTCGTCATTGGTAAAGACGGACTGGTTGGAGATGTCCTTCACTACAGTAACAGGCTGCAAGACGAAAACAAGAAAGATAATATTCATGTTAACAGACACCTTAACTCTACCTTACTGATTCCAAAAAAGTTAAAAAACACTCCCATCTAGGAAGCTTTTTCAATTCAGAATGTCAGAAATAGCGTTGAGTTCGAGGGTTTATAGAGTAGCCCAACAAAGCCTTGTTTTAGTTTATAAAACATTACTTCACCGAAAAACAGTACTGAGTCATTTAAAAGGGCTTCCAATTAAGAGCTATGAACTGGAGGGATCAGCGTTCACCTAAACTTCATACGTATAAAAATATTTTTATTCTTTCTTTTAACTCCTAATTTTCTTTAAGATATTGTCCTTTTGAAATCTATGTTAATGCTTAAATACTCTGATACTAATAAAATACTATGCCTCAATGATTAAATGCTCTATAAATTATTAATAAAGAAAACCAACAGAGTAAAATAAAATTTCAGTGTTAGCCTACTGGTGAGTTGTGCCATTTCCAGAAGATGCATTTGGCACACCATGAGGCCCCTGATGGCCCTTGGGTTCCCACGGGCACCACGTTGGCGACCCGTCAAAAGGAACCAGTTCCTGGTTTCCCATTTAGAATCAAACTCTTTTCATCAGGCACAGAGAAATCCACAGTGTGTAGCGCTTCTGCTTCATGTCTGTCTTTTTCAAGACAGTCTCCCTCCCAACAAGGTCAAGCATCCTATACATCAGCTACTGATGCGACCGGTTTATACCCCTCTCATTTACTGAGGTGCATGAGAGATTTACATGCCCTTCAAAAGGTAAAACTAACACCAACCCGTCTCTAACCCGATCCCTAGCTCCTAAACAAAAAGTAGCATACATGCTAAAGCACAAAGGCAAGGTGAGTTTCTTTGAATGGCAACATTCAGTACAATGACGATTCAAAGCTACCTACTGTGCAGTAACTTTCTGGGCACCTATGTTCGTAGCATTTCAAATGCATGTTACATGAGACAATGTCTGCAACCTGACAGGCACCCTGTGGGTCAGCAGATGACCCCTGTCAGGTTAGCATCTAATATAGAGCAGCAATTGTTCGGCAAGCTGGGAGAGAGAATAAATTGTCATTAAATGCATTTTCTTTTAATTCTCTTAATCGGTCGCATAATTATTTTACCAGAAAATTTTATTTTCAAAATTGGTACATGATTTTTCTCAGTTTGTTAATATTTTCTTACCATCTATTCTCTTATCTATTTATTTCTACCATCATATGAATCTGAACGCTACCATCTGCTGCTCATAGACCGGGAAGCTCCCAAATCTGAAACACCATTATCTGGAAACGCACTGAATTAAAGCGTCAGCAAAATTATACCTGTGGGATATATAAAAATGGAAAGAAAGCATGCTAACAGTAGCTTAGCATTAAAGCAAATCAGGGGCAGGATGTTAGATTGTCAGAGGCTGTAGCTTTACGTGTCTAATCGGACTTCTTCTTTATGGGATAAATGATGAAGCTCTGAGTGTTTTAGATGATTGTCAGAAGATTATAGAGGATTTGTTAACCAAAAAAACAAAATACAGAGCTTGATAAGCATTTGAGGCTGATTAGCAGGCCTCATTTAGACCAGGAAGAAGAACAGGAGAAACTACTGCATTTAGAAAATTGTTCAGTAAATTATGCTGTATTATTTAGGTTTACTTTGAAGTAGTGTTGCGCCGATGCCATTTTTTGGCCCCGATACCGATACCTGGCTGTGCAGTATCGGCCGATATCGATACCATAATAATGTAACATAATTGCCATCATGGCTTTGTCAAGCTGCTGCCTACCTTTGTGAAGCAGGAAAAAATCTAATACAAAGTGAATCCAGTAGAACTTTTTATTGCCTACCAGGAGTGGGTGACAATAGTTGAATAAACTTATGGCTCTCAAAATGGTATCGGTGCCCTATTTGTTGGTACTCACCGATACCGTTACCACCATTTTAGGGCAGTATCGGGGCCCCGTCCGATACTGGTATCGGTATCGGTGCAACACTACTTTGAAGGATAACAGTTTTAAAGTATAATCCTAGTTTGGTTCATTTTAATTAATAGCTAGAACCTTTAATATATACCCTATAGGGACATTTTAGTTCCGGGAATCTTTAAAGACCTGGACAGTTACAGTAGCAGCCATTCAAAATAGCCCTTCCCAGTCAAACGGCAGCCAAATGGCAGACCACTCACCTGCAACTCTCAGCCAAATCCCCTCCATGAACATGTTTTTTTTACTCTGACTCCACCCTTTCACTGAATTACAGGGTCTGACCAGGAGGTAACGCTTCTCTTTAGATCTTAATGTCCACAAATCATGACAGAAGAATATTTCAGTACAAAGACTGATGCTTAAAAAGGAATTGTAGGGGACCAACCAAGGATCCATCAAGGAAAGTAGGGAAATTTTGAATGGCTGCTACTGTAGGATGAATAAAGAACTCCACCAGTGTGTCCTGACCTCAGTCCTCTCCATCCTCTTCTGCAGGTCGGCCACCAGTCGAGCCATGTCCTCATCTGACTCTCTGTCTCCACGTTCCATTTCCTGTCAACATCAATGTTAAAACTCAGCACCCTAATCAATCCTCTCAATCAATCCCACCGATGAGCAGCAGATGTCAGGATCCTCACCGGTCTTCCACTTTCTTCCCCCCTTTCCTTCTTGAGCTGCTCGATGGCCTGCAGCAGACCTCGGTAGTCGGTGATGCCGTACATTCGGGCGTATTTCTCGTACTCTTTGGGGTCGACATTTCTCAGCAGCTCGACTATGTCGATGTCCTTTTCCTCCTGTGGGCTCTTCTGCTTGGACGGCGTCCTGGAGGTGACAGGAATCATATATCAGAGTTTTCTACTGACTCAGGTTCTAACTGAGAAACTTCTCCACCAAACTCACTTCTTCAGTTTGGCCCGCAGGTCTCCTTCAACCTGCGGCGCCTCCTTCTTTGCGTCAACGTGCATATCTGCGCTGCACTCGATCTCTCCATGAGTGTTGGAGGCAACACATCGGTACTGACCAGAGTCAGACTTGGTCACCTCTCGGATCTCCAGCTGGGCTTCCTGACCTTTCTGCACGATTGCGATGCGGCCGCCATGAGTGAGCTGTCTCCATTTCCCTTTCATCCACTTCACACTTGGGATGGGTTCTCCTCCGACCTTAGCAATGAAGGTGGCGGTTCCCTCTGTGGAGACAGATTGATGTTAGCATGGAACCCACTGAATTTATCAGGGCTTTCTGTTTTTGTTCATCTTACTCTCTGTGACATGTGTGGACTTGGGCTCCTCAATGAAGTAAAGATTGTCCAGTTTGGGGGTTGGAGCAGCTGCTGGAGTTTCAGGCTTAGCTGCTCCTTGTTTTGCTGGAAAACATCAAAACAAGAAGGAATGAGAACATCTTTCATTCAGAGACTAAAGTTCTGCATCCATGCTAGGTCTCCAAACTGCACACAGATCTGAGGACGATCAGATTCTACCTTTGACTGTGACTTTGGCCTTGCAGAACTCGGCGCCGGCCTCGTTGGTGGCCTTGCAGAGGTAATCACCAGCATCGTGTTTAGAGGCAGAGCCGATCTCCAGGCTGGCTGTACCGTCAGAGAAGCTGAGCCGGATGCTGCCCGCCGATGACAGCTCCTTTCTGTCCTTCATCCATTGGACCTTCAGAGGGGCGGAGCCACAGACGTGGCACCTGAGGCTCAGCTTGTCCCCTTCATCCACAGTCACTGGTTTGAGTGGAACATCAAACACTGGAGGCTTCTTGGATTCTGAGTATGAGAGGAAATCATTTGAGCCGCAAGCACAGAAGATCAGCTGCAGAAAACAGCAAGAAATGGAAATCACACCAGCATAATAGTTCGCAATCCGATTCTTGAAACTTTGAAATTGAAAAAAGTATGGGGGCTGTTGGGAAAAGATTATCCCGTCCCATTAGACGAACATTCAAATATGAGACAATAGAGGAACCTGAGAGAGACTGAAAGAACCTGCGAGACTTAAACAACCCGATAGAGACAAGAAGACCCAGAGCGAGACAGAGAAACCTGAGAGAGACTACAAGCACCCTAGAGAGACTAGAAGAACCTGAGAGAGACCAGAGGAACCTGGAAGATACTAGAAGAACCTGAGGGAGACTAAGAGAACCTGAGAGAGACAAAAAGAACCTGTGAGAGACGAAAAGAACCTGTGAGAGAACAGAGGAACCCGTGAGAGACTAGATGAACCTGAGAGAGACTAGAAAAAACCGAGAAAGACCCGAGGAACCTGAGAGAGACTAAAATAACAAGACTAGAATAATCTAAGAGAGATTAGAAGGACCTGAAATAGACTAGATGAACCTGAGAGAGAGTAGAGGAACCTGAGAGAGACTAAAAGAACACGAGAGAGACTAGATGAACCTGAGAGAGACCAGAGGAACTCTAGAGAGACTAGATTAACCTGAGATAGACTAGAAGAACCTGAGAGAGATCAGAGGAACTCTAGAGAGACTAGATTAACCTGAGATAGACTGAAAGAACTTGAGAGAGACTAAAAGAACCTTAGAGTGACTAAAACAACCTGAGAGAAACTAGAGGAACCCGAGAGAGACTAGAGAAAACTGAGAGACCAGAAGAACCTGAAAGAGAATAGACAATCCTAGGAGAGACAAGAGGAACCACAAGAGACCAGAGGAACCCAAGAGACACATGGAGAACCCAAGAGAGACCAGAGGAACCTGACAGAAACCAGAGGACCGGGACTTTTACAGCCAGAGGTGTTTTCCTGATTATAGTATGTTGAGTTTTTTTCTTCTAAAAGCCTAAAGACTGAAAATCCCTCAGCAGAGACCTGTAGCCAATCATCTGGTTTTTCCTGCTGTGAGCAGATTCAACACTGAGTGAACTTTGAACATCCAACCCACCCAGGATGCCCACGGTGACGTCACAGGAAGCTCTCCCAGCTTCGTTGGAGGCCTGACAGGAGTACCTGCCACTGTCAGTCAGTTGGCTGCTCTTTATGCACAGCACTGCCACGTTGCTCTTAAAGCTGATGTCGTATTTGTCAGAGCTTTTAATCTCTTCATCGTCTTTGAACCATGTGACTGACATGGGCTGTGAGCCCGTGACTCGGCTCTCGATTTTTACCAGCTTGCCCTCCATGTCCTCCATGTGCTCTGAGGGCTTTTTAGTGAACACTGGTGGATTTTTACGCTCTGAAATCAAGAAGGAGAAGAAACGTTGAAGAGGGGAAGTGTGGGTTACTCACCTGAGCGCCGCGGTATCAGCGCTTTGGACAAAAGAGCAAAATACCTTTGACAGTGATGTCAGTGGAACAAGAGTCCTTCCCCATGTCATTGGAGGCATGGCAGAAGTATTTTCCTGTGTCGGCTTTGTCCGCCTTCAGGATGGTCAGCTGGGCCGTGTTGTCCACACAGCTGATCTTATAGTTCCCTCCAGAGCGAATATCCTTGTGGTCTTTGGACCATGTGACTTTGATGGGGGCAGAGCCAGTCATGTGACACTCCATTTCGATGCTGTCCCCCACTGTCGCCTCCCGCGGTGACAGTTTCTTGTCAAACACTGGCGGGTACCTGGGTTCTGTGGACCCGTGAAGAAGCAGCAGGAAGTTAAGACAAGGAAAAACCATTAGATGGTCACCAGGTTCATGGTCCCTGACTTCTTTCAACACAGTCTGTTCTGCTCACAGCTAGGTCGCTGCAGTCCAGAAGCCCCCCACCCACCCTCTGCTGAGCAGCCAGAGATCCAGAGAGGTGTTTCTCTGCACCTTCAAGGAAGTTCTCCCTTTTGTAAGATTTTTCATGTTTCAAGCTGAAATGTTAAATTAAAACTAAAGAAGTGGGAACAATGTATGTTTATCTCAGCTTCCTGGTTAAAAAGGACCTTAAGATGTTAACAACCAAGACCAGACTCAGTGTGTAGATCTGTAGACCTGCTGAGAAAAGCTGCTATTTTGATGATTTGAAGGAGCTATGGGCATTAATTTTGAAAGAATACAAATGCATACCAGTTTTTTTTTTTAAAGCTATAGGAAATGAAGTGTTAAAAACCTAAAACCAGCGAGCTCACCCTCGTATCTCTCATTGCCTTGAACAGGCTGTGTGTAGCATAATGCTATTCAGGTCCTGATTTTTCCCCGCAGTCCTACGGATGTGACATCAGTTTACGCTGCATGCACGCCCCAAGAAGCTTTGATACAGGAACTCATGGTTGTTTCAGTAATCGGCAGCGCCAGCCATATCACTCCTGAATCTCATTTCCCGCCTGTCTCTAGTGCCTTTAAAGTTTATAGTTACAATGAATTTGATTAAGGGCTGGTCGTCCTCCCACAGCAGTGTGTCACAGTGAGCTTGTCGCAGGTATGATGCAGATAGTTTTGATTTATGCCCAATTTTAAAGCGTGGTCTGCGCTATGTTATTCCACGCTACAACGCAAGAGGGACAATCAAGAACTAGCTAGGATTGTGGGTGTCTGTGTTTCGGTTTGATGAGCTTGTTTGCCGTCTACAACCCCTCATCTGACGCTGGACGACACACAGTTCACCTGTGAGTGTTCCCCAAAGACTGGTCATGGCGCTGCGTGTTTTGGCTTCAGGTGCAAACCAAGAGAGCGTCGCACAGAGCTACAAACTAGCGTCCTGCATGGTGTGTGGGATAGTGTCCGAGGTGTGCCAGGCATTGTGGACGGCACTACGGCCAGAGTTTCTGCCATTAGGTACCAAACAGGAAATAGGCAGTGTAGTGCATTCGTTTCTTCTGGCTTAACAGAACAAAACCGTTATGTTTAATAGTTATTTTAATTTATTCATCGAGTTGGGTCATTAACATGTGCCTTTGAGAAAGGAAATAACCTGAGGAATATTAATAGAAGAGAAAAAGATTTGTGACACACTGGCTCCAAACCAGAGATGTGAAGCTTGATGCCTTTAGTTTGGAGGCTTTTCTCAGCTTAAATGAATAATAATTCAGGGTCTCATGACAACAGATAAATTAAACACCTGCGTATAAAGAAAACTCTCAAGATGTCTGATCAAACTTAGATTACTCTTTTTAAAGACTACAAAGCAGTCCCTCTGCTTCGTTTAGGGAAGCCTTACAGACCTTGGATGGTGAGTTTGGCTCTGCAGGAGGCCGAGCCCACGCTGTTGGTGGCCACACATGTGTACTCCCCAGAATGCCTCATCTCTCCGCAGCCGATCTGCAGCACGGCCGTGTTGTCATCGTACAGCATGGAGAACTCGCCTCCCTCCGACAGTGGCTTGCCGTCTTTCAGCCACGACACCTCGATGGGTGACGAGCCTGCAACACGACATTCGAAGCGGACCGCCTGGCCCTCTGTCTCCTGCAGGCTTGTAATCTTTTTGGGGAAGGATGGAGGCGTTTTGGCCTCTGGAGTAAACAGAATCAACGGAAGATTTCAGGATTTGTATAAAATTGAAGGTAAAAGATGAATCGAATCTCTAAGGGATCGTTCTGTCCGTTCAGTCTGTGCCGTCTTACCGAGAACATTGAGTCTGCAGGTAGAGGATGCAGAGCCGATCTTGTTCTCTGCCTTGCAGGTGTACTCCCCAATTTCAGCCTTGGTGGCTTTGCTGAGCTTCAGACAGGCCATGCCCTTCGAGTACTCTAGCCTACAGGTGGGGCTGGACCGAACTTTGCCGTCCGCCTTGAACCAGGACACTTTGATCTCAGGCGTACCCGCCACCTGGCACTTCAGACACACTGCATCGCCTGCCGTTACCTCCATTGGCTCCAGAGGTTCAACAAAGTATGGAGGCTCTGTGGACACCATAGAACATGAGAGTGAGAAGGTACAGCCTCCTTCAGGAGTTAACCTGTCAGGTTTGAAGAACAACATACCCAGAATGGAAACCACTGCCTCGCTTGTGTCCTTCCCTGCATCGTTGGACACCTGGCATGTGTAGGTCCCAGCTGCCTCCTTGTCGTCCGTGCTGAGGCACTCCAGGATGCAGGAGCTCTCAGTGGTGGTGATGTTGTATTTGTAGGAAGCAAAAATCTGCTGGCCGTCTTTGAACCAGCTCACAGTGATCTTTGGGGTTCCAGTGTATGAGCACTCCAGGGTTAAAGGTTTGCCCTTCTCAACCGACACGTCCTTCAGTTTCTTAGAGAAGGACGCCGGTTCTGACAAACATAACCAAAACATCTCAGTTACTTTACAGATAACACAGGAAAAACATCTGGACAGCCTTTTATTGATCCACTTATCTGGTGTCTAGATTTCCATGGTTAAGTTCTGGCTAACCTTTATATCTCCTTCAAAGCCAGTCTTGGTTATCTAAAAATCTACCACTAGAGATCTATTTTCTCTAACTCTGGTTCTAACTAGATCTTCCTGACAAACACACCTTTGACTGTGAGATTGACAGCGCAGCTCTCCTTTCCTGCATCGTTGATGATCTGGCAGGTGTACTCCCCGGCATGAGATGGGCTCACGTTCTGAAGCTCCAAAGTCACTTGGTTGTCCTTCAGGGAGAAGGTGCAGTCCTTCCCCTGCAGGATCTCCTTTGTTCCTCTGAACCATTTCAGGGTGAGGGGGGCGCTGCCCTTCACAATGCCAGAGAAGGTAACGTTAGAGCCGGGCATGGCCTCCATCGGCTGAGGTGGCACCACGAAGGACGGCGGTTCTGTGAACAAAAAAAAGCATCAAACAAGGTGAAAAACAGAAAGTCAGTTTAGACGTTTCTTTGAAATGCGACTCAACTCGACACAAACTGAGGTCTAAGGGTTTCTATTAGAGGCAGGCACTAACCATTGACTGTCAAAGTGGCTGAGGTCTCGCTGTACCCCGCCTCGTTGACAGCTTTGCATCGGTAGACCCCGGAGTCGGACAGCTTCAGGGTGGGCATTCTGAGGGTGCAGCTGTTGTCACTGAATGAAAGCTCGCAGTTCGGTCCGGTCTGTATCTCCTCGTCATTGTGGTACCAGGAAATAGTGAATGGAGGGGAGCCTGAGACTTTGCACTCCAAATCTGCAGCTTCTCCCACAGTCATCTTACAGTCCTTCAGCTTCCTGGTGAACGTCGGAGGAACCGTCTTATCTGTTCAGGAGGAAGGTAACAGTTTATAAACAGGGCTGATGATACAGGACTGGAATATTAAACATTAATCAACATCTTTTGAATGAAATCTGTTGTCTACGTTTAACGCGCCCAGTGAGGATTCAGGATCTAATCTCTGGGCCCTGCTCAGGGGCCTTGAGCAACAGTCTGGGGGATTTGAACCAGGGACCCTGTAGGCTTCCACAGACTCAAAGAGCTCTGCTTTAGCCACCAATCCATCTTGTCCAGGTCAGATTGGCTCTTGTGTCTCGCATCCACTCCACAGCTTCTCTATGGGGTTCTGATTGGCCAATCATTGCAATTGAAAGGGCGTCATGGTAGAAATTAACATAAATTATGAGAGTTAATTTAAAAAAAAAACGGCAATCAGTGTACGTTTCGTTCTTCTGTTTTTCTGTTTTCAAACAAGATTGCAAAAATGTTTTAAAACCTGAATTTAAAATGTAATATCTAAATAAATAAATATCCCCTGTATTTTTTTTTTTCAGTCGTCAAATTCAAAAGCAAAATCAATGTACAGCTGTTGCTTTATTTGATAGTGACAGTGATGTTCCAAAAATAGTAAAGTGCAAATTGAGCCAATCAAAAAACGGAAAAGCTTGTTTCTTTAAGTACACTGAAAAAAAAGACAAAAAAGTTTGACATGAAGTAGTGTTTGGAAAAATGAATATAAAGCAATGTTTTCAGGTAATGATAACTAAACAGGTTTGGAGGTCTAATATATTTTCTAAATTTAGGGTAATAATAGCCTGTAACTTAATATGCTAAATAATGGGCATAATCGCCCCTATAGCAGACATTGTAGTTGCTAGACAGTTTGTACTGCTGATCAGCTTCTGGCAGAACATCACTTTTTGGCAAATGAAAAAGGAAAGCTAGCTGCTGTATGCAGCCTCCATTTTCCAGTTTCCTGCGTCATGGAGCTCTGTATTACTCTGTTATGATGGTTTCTCTCAAGGTTTTCCACTGATCTCAAAGAAGCAATCTGATACATGTATGCCTTTACCTGATATCTAGATACCGAGCCCAGGACAGGAAATGGTTGTCAGGTTAATGACAGCTATAAACCAGAGAGGTAGCTTATTTTGTAGGAGGATTTGTCCAGTTTAACACCAAGATAAGATGCTTATTGTAAACTGTTAGTCACAACATGCTCTGAATGAGATACTTCAGGGGTTGTCGTTAAGGATCTTTACCATTTGCCCTTTGGGCAAGTGACTTTCACATTTCATTTGCCCAGAAACTATTTTTACCTGCCCATTATAATGTTTGATAAATATAGTTCCTAATATTCATTTTTGTATATATATCAATAAAACATGTTTGCTTTTTAAATGTTTTTAGTAATTCAGTATTTTTTAAATTTCCAGGTTCCTGGTGTGTATCTGCATGCGTCAGATAATGAACTCAAGCCTACATTACCGTGTTAACATGCTTTTCATCCTTCCTGCACATTCTTTTCAAACTAAACTTTGCTTTAAACTGTTGTGTGCTTGGAAAAATATAAATTGTAATGTTAAAAATCTAAAAAAAACTTGACAGGTTAAAAACTTAAGATAAATCAGAAGTGAATGTCACAAATTAAACTTTTATATTAGAGTCACGATATGTTTATACAAGATAATACTATTAATATAATGTGACTTTTCTAGAGAATCATTATACGTAGTTATTTTATTCAGGGTTTCCACAGTCTGACATCATTTCAGAATTCCCTGACTTTTAACTGACTCAGGATTAGTTTTCCCTGACAAAATAAATGCAGCAACAAGACAATAATAATAACATAACAGGTCACCAATCTAACATGTTTAGCTCTATAACATTTAAATGCACCTCTCCAATGTCTGAGAGAAAAAAAATGAATAAATTTTTTTTTATGTATGACCTGCATCACTGTACAGAAGACTGCCATATTATAGCGCTTTCTGGCTCGTTTGTCGTTTTGGTAACTACTTCAAAATTACCGCTAGGTGGACAAAAATCACGCCATCTGGCGGAAAATTACCAGGCTTTGTCAAATCACGTGAGAATGTGTACAAAACAACGAAAATGGCGCCGGCAACGCTTCTGGGTCGTTTTCATCGAATGTCGGTGATTTAAGAGTAATTTTGAGTGATAATTATTTTTTGCGATCATTGCACTTGTCCTGCAGGCAAATGCATTGTAATTTGTAATTTCCCGACAATTAAAAACTACTTGCCCCGGGAGATCGGGCGATGGTTAACATCGAGCCCTGCACTTTAATGCAGTTTGAAAACATAAGGCACCAGAAGTTCAGACCATAAATTCCAGTTCTGCCAGAAGACAAAAATACTAATTATGTCTTTAATTAAATGCATTTTTATTTTATTTTAAAAAGGATAAACCAAGTAAAATAAGAAGATTAAAATTTAAATACCCTGTTTCTTTATTCTGTGTGAAAATTTCAAATATGATTTGAGTTTTTTGCATTTCGATTAACAAAAAATTAAACAAATTTAAAACAGAAACAAAAATGTGTTTTTGTTTTTCTACTTTTTTTCTGAAACATGATGTCATCACTTATTTCACAAGAGCACCAGATTAGGCAGGGGCAGAAAATATGAGTGGGAGAGGAAAAATATGGTCCTTAAAAACGGCAGGTTGCTGGTTTGATAAAGTGCAATAAAGCCCTTTATTTCACTTTCATTGTAAAATCTCCTAACAATTCTTGCAGAACATATTGATTCTCCACCAACTTGGATCTCTGTTCTGAGGTTTCTATGTATGACAGGTTTTGTTTTTAGTGTCAAAAATCTCAACCTGAGTGAGGATTTAAAGGAATGTCATTCTGGGTCGAATGGCAGCCTGTTACATTTCCTGCTCACGTGAAATAAATGATCACATCTGTTCTCAGATAATAATTATTTCTACTTTAAAGTAATTTAATATTTTCTGAACTAAAATAGAAAATGAAGCTCAAGTAGGTTTTTAAATTTCACTCCTCCCTTGATGACGGAAGAAAACAGATACGCTTTGTATTCTAATTTAACTTCTGCATTTATAAATAAAAGACTCAGCCCTTTTATTCTATGTTTCTATAAAAAAATTAAATAATCAAAAGAAAGAAAAATCTACTAAATTAATAAAAAGGCAGCACTTTATATTTTTCTGTTTTAGTTTCTGCAATTTCATTTCAAAAGTAAAAGTATTAAAATAACCAGCTGTTTATTCTTTTTTATATCTTCCTCATGAAACAGAAAATCCAAAGATTGAACCATGAACAGATCGCTAGCAATGCTGAGTTTTGTTATACAGTAAAATAAATAGTTCACTTGAGATAATGACATTTAGAAGGGGCAGTTTTGTGCTAAAAAAAAAAGTAATTAAAACAAAATAAAAAAAACAATCCAGTAGACTTTGTTTCGAACTTTGAAGACATTCAATCCAGGAAGCTTTTTCAATTCAAGGCTTCCTGGATGGGAAGTAAAACGTCTTAAAACTTTTAAATTTTTTGAAATAATTATGACCTGCATGACTTAGAAACCTCACCAGAACTCTATCCTAGAGGACACTAAAGGCTGTCTGCTTGACTGCACTCCAATCACAGACCTCCCTGTGGTGTTGTAGGACAGAACTTGGGCATAATTTAACATTCTTATACAAATAAGGTGATTTTCTTCATTTTATCTGATATTGTTATGGTGCAACAACCTGAGTTTGGGTTTAAATAACTAGGAGCAGAGGTTTGTCTGGGATTTTCAGAGTTTTGGATTCAAATGTTGTTTGTTTTGCTTCTAAATCTTTAAATATTAATTTTGTTGTGGTTTAGATGAAGACTAAAATTGCTTTTAAGTTTATTTATTTGCTTTAATAGTAATTGGGGTTAGGCCATGAATCAATATCAATATAAAACACGATATATCGTGTTATATATTGATCGTCATGTCTACAAAATACACTAGATGAAATTATCAAAAGATCCACTGATCCAGAAACCTATGGCATTCTGGGAGATGTAGGCAGATCAAAGGAACATCTCACAGCCAAACTAAGCCAGGCTGGTAGTCAGGCTGTTCTATTTTTAAAAGGTAGAGTTTAAACAGACTTGGAGCTACTAAATAAATTCTTTATTTAAATTTGATCTTTATTTTAAAACACTAATCAATAATTATCGATATTGACTGATATGTAAGGCTAATATTGCTATACATCAGAGCATGTGAGCGGAGCGGAAGAAATATGGCGGAGTGCAGAGCGGCTTTCAATTCAAAGGCCAGAGGGAACTAGAGCGGAGACAAATCCTTGCTACCAAGCGAGGTGTTACGTTCACAGCTGGGAAATAGTGCGATAATTTAACAGCAAAGTAAATAACACGATACACGTGTATCGGTCACATCAATAAATCAACCTCCACATGTCTCAGGGCATAATTATATGAAGGAAAAATGTCAGAAAATGCCTTCTCCTGAAAATGTAAGCGAGCGCGGAGCGATTTTGCTGGAAAGGCAGGAGAATGAAGGTGAGCATGGAGCACATTTTGAGGGGAGTGTCCCAGCGCAACTTTGAGCGGTGACACGAATGAGCGAACATCCTCCTGAGCGGGGAGCGGGAGTTGTGCTCGTTCACAAGCTCTGCTGCACATTTTTCAGCCATATCGCCCAAAATGATAGCAATGATCATTTAATGTTGGCATAATTACTTCTTTTTAAAAAAAGGAATATTTGTTTAGTTAATATTTACCCTTCCTTTTCCGCAATTACACTGCAGCCCTCCTAGGGGGCGACTCCCCACTTTGAGAACCACTGGTCTACAGCATGCCAACCTCTGAGTCACTGTTCTATGGAGCTGTATCATGTTCTGCAGGGAGGGGGTTCTCTGATATCCAGCTCTTTCTGCCTGAGTGGCTCATAGATGTGAGTTAAGCTTTATAAGCAAACTAAAATAAAGTATTCTTCATTAATTGGTCCTAATAATGGATAAACTTCTAGAAGACCTCAAGATCTATTGATCAAAACAGGAATAAAATCATATATTGGGACAACATTCATCATTCTGTGGGTAAGAAATCCATAATAGTTTCATCTTTCTGACTTGAATTACTGAAATAAGTCGACTTATTTCATGATATTCTAATATTTGGAAAAGAACCGGTGAATCAGCAACTTTTATTTTCACATTTACCAAACAAACGTGTATAAAAAAAAACAAAAAACACATTATCTTATTTTGCAAACCAAAGAGAGCATAAATCTAGAGTCAGGAAAACAGACGGCACCTACCTAAAACGGTGAGGTTGATTTTACTCAGATCTTTCCCCACTTGGTTCATGACCTGGAAGGTGTACTCTCCAGAGTCCAGCTTCTCTGTGGAGAGCACGTTCAGACTGGAGATCATCTGGGAGAAGGAGATCTTGTACTTCCTGCCGGTGGCCAGCTCCATCCCGTCTTTGAACCACTTGGGGACCAGCTCTGGCGTTCCGCACACTTTGACCTCCAGGGCTGCCATGTTGCCCGCCGTCACGCTCAGGGTTTCGGGTTTATCAACGATCTTAGCCGGTTCTGGGAGTGGCAGAGGGGGATCAGAAAAACGCTTTTAGTCAAACCTGCAGCAGACGTTAGCTTGGAGGACAAAACTGACAGAGGAGGAGAGAATTATACGTTTACAAACCTAGGACAGTTAAGTTAGCGAAACAATCCACACTTCCAGCATCATTTCTGAGTGTGCAGGTGTATCTGCCCGCCACGGCTGCATCGGCCTTAAACACGGTAAGTGCGACCCGGTTGTTCTCAAAGGTGATTTTCCGGTTGTCGCTGTCGCGGAGAATGTGATCCTTGTCCTGAACCCAGGACACAGTAATGGGTTCAGAGCCTTTAACAGTGGCAATAAGGGTCACCTCCTCGCCCAGCATCACCGTCATGTTTGACAGTTTCTCCACAAATGATGGCGGCTCTGAGGGGAGGACAGAAACAGCGCAGAAGGCAGGGTGAGAAAGTGGGTGGGGGGGTGAGGGAACCTGAAGGTCCATCTGGGTTCTACTGACCTCTGAGTTTAACCGCCGTGTGGCAGGAGTCACTTCCTACACTGTTTGAGACTTTGCACTCATACTCGCCGGCGTCTGAAGGCTCTATCCCAATGACATGCAGCGTGGCTGAGCTGCCCTCGCTCACCATCTTATACTTCCTGCTTTCCATCAGAGGCTTCCTGTCTTTGAACCAGGCGATCTGGAGCGGAACTGAGCCACTCATCTCGCAGTATAAGCTCACATCCTTCCCCTTCAGCCCCTCAACAGGTGAGGGAACTTTCACAAATGCGGGGGGGTCTATGAGAAGATCAGGACACCGTTACAGAGGCATGAGCCGGAACCTCAGCTGACAGCTGTAACAACCAACTCTGGTGTTTGATCTGGGTTTAGAATGATTTAGCTTAAGTTTCAAAAGTCTAACAGACATTTAGCTGAAACTGGCAATTATAATTAAAATCTACTTTATAATATATTTATATTTTTTTTATTATATATATTTATTTTTTCGCTTTTTATATAATTAAGATCTATTTTTGTGGAGGTAACCAGCTGCAGGGATCAAACCACACTGGCTGCAACAGTCAATATGCAGCAGCTGTGTTTCTGCAGAGGTTAGAAACTAAATTAAATTGAAATAATGGTTATTATTCTATATAAAATCTGAATGCATATTTTATCAAATCCAAATGGTTGATCAATTTCCTGCACCTTTTCCAGAAAAACTTAATAATGAAGATGTGTTGTACTTTACCATCCTCTAAATAAAGAAAATTACTTCCTCACACAGGTTTTCAAGATAAAAGTTGTGTATTTGAACTCTCAAACTCTTTAGGGATAATTGAGCTTAGTTATAAGTTTAGTTTAGTTTGAGCTAAACAGTATATATTCCTCTTTTTAAAGTCCTGAAATCCCTTATGTTTATTACTGATATTCTGCAGCCTATAAGCTAATTATGGTCATTTAATATTAAACATTGAAGGAAAGTTGTGTCTATCTGGAGTCAGAATTCAGGTAAATAATTACTGTAATTTCCTGCCTTTTAATGTTACTGTCATCATAATGGTGATCTGTTGGCTTAGAAGAGTATAAAACAACTTTTAAAACATTTTAGTTCCAATTTTTTGTGTCATTTTTTTAACAAGACTGAGGTTTTTGGTTTTAATTGGTGCATTTTGATTATTCTAATAACATCTAAACGGTTCTATAGATCAGTATTTTTTAAAACAAAATTTATAGCTCTTTATTACATTAATGTTTGAGAAATTGAGCAAAATGTTGCAGTATTTCTGCAAAATGTTATCATGGATTGAAGCTAATTGAAACCAAAATTTAGTTTCAAAGTACTTTTAAAACTTGGTTGGTGCTTCTTTTGTTTGAATGACTGCCTTGGCACCGCTGAGGGGATTAAGGAGCCCTGACTTCCCCAAAAAATATAATTTCTGTTCAAAGTTGGTGATCTCTTTGGGATACTGCGCATCCTTCCCTTCTTGCTTCCGTCTCATTGTCTCTATCGTTCTTGTGTAACAATTGGATTTTCAGAGAAACAGATTTCTAGGACTTTGTTGGCTCTAATAATCAATACAGAAATAAACACTAAAAATAAATCTGTGTGTGTAACAATTCTATATGAGTTATACATAAAGTGAATTAATAAAATAAATTAGAATGATTCTGAGATTCACTGAAATATACCTTTATAAATAAAGTTAAAGAAAACTAAATGTAGCCATGTTATGTAGGAGTCAGGGCTATGGCTATGCTATGGCCTAAATAAGATCAGACTGTTGGAAAAACATGTGAAATCTTCATTTCTTTAAGACTCGTTCATAAACAGCAGCTCCTAAAAAAAGAACAGGCTGGACATTAAAGTGGAATAATGCATTTAAAGTGTATTTTAATAAAGGGGAGATGCAACTGAAGGCACATAAATGAGTGCAGTTAGTGGAAGGAAAAACTGCTGTCTGATTAGATGAAATATGTGATGTTTCTCAACTAGAAATAAAATGTTAGGTAAAATTGTGAGTATGGATTGATTAAGGTGATTTTTTTAATCCACTATAGATCACAATGTTATGTAATGCAACTTCTAGGTTGTGTTATTAATGTCAGCTTACTAAGTACTAATTAAAATGGGGTAGTGTTAGCCTCGTCAGACCATCCTGATCTCGCGAGCTTTCAAGGTTTCACTCGCAGATCAGTCTGGCTACTTTCCGTTAAAGAAAATTTGGAGCCGTTCACCAAACGAACGTCCAGTCAGCATTGGCTTTGAGGCGGGTTGAGGTGTGACGCAACGAGAAGCGCGACAGTTCAGTCTAAAGAACATGGCGGCTTCAGCCGATGAAACTAGCATTAGCGTGGCTATCGAGCAAGTTTTATCGGAATTACAGAGTATTTCGTAACTGAAAGAAGAGCAAAACACTGCTCTGGAGGCTTTTCTCAGACAAAAAGCTGTTTTTGCTCTTCTCCCGACTGGTTTCGGCAAGAGTTTGATCTATCAATTGGCTCCTCTTGTCGCTCTGTTAGTACGTCATATGCTTCGTTGATCTGATTGCTTTATTTGGCCCGTCTATCACCAACATAGGCCAATCAGCTAACCAGTATTTTCGCCCCTTCCCAAAATTACTTCAACGGCAGGTTTCCAGATGGATATGCTGAGCAAATCTATCTGGCGGAGTCAGGTTAGGGTAGTGTTGCACTGCATGTTGAAACTGCTTCTGAAAGAAGACTTAATAAGTTGTCTTTGGGTTGTCCTGTCGTGGACTGGGCACTTCTGGTCCCATCAGTGGGGACCAGAAGTGAGGGATTGTATTTGAGTCAATGAGTCGATGCAATCAACTGGTTTTCCTTAGATTAGAAAATTTTGTATCAATTTGACTATATGATCTGGTTGAACTGTAAAGTGCCTTGAGATGACATGTGTTGTGAATTTGGCGCTATATAAATAAACTGAATTGAACTGAATCAGTGCTGCTTATCCCTGCAAGGATAAGCAATTATAGATAATGGGCGGACTGATAATTGAAATGTGAGTGACAGGAAAGGGGGTTGAGATTTCTCTAAGTAAACTAAAGAAAGAATAATCTGTTGTAATTAAAACTAAAGAGGCCATTATGTATGAATTTAGATTCTTTATAAAATCTGTTAATCTATTCAATGGTTCAGATGGTGCATTTGTCATTGGAGATCAGTTTTGACTTGATAACAGTCTAGATTATGTGGTTAGAAAGAGCTGGAAGAATTTCTACAAGTTATTATTTAGTAAAATGGGAAAAAGGAACAGTTTGAAAGTTTAGGAAGTAGGTTTTAGTGAGCAGGTTATTAAGTATGGGTGAAATATCAAGGTTATTGAGAAAATATGTTAGGATTTAATTTCATTAATCATGTTGGTTAAAGAGGTCAACAATAATGTTTAATTTGAGCAAAAGACAGATGTTAAGTCAATCTGATGAATTATTAAAATGAGCACTTCTGATTGTGATTGCTCTGAATTAGGACAGAGATAAGGTAGATTGTTACGGACGTCAGCTTTAGGCGTGAGCACCAAGATATTAGAGCTATGTTAGAAGCCTGACCTTTAACAGAAAGCGTGGTGCTGCAGCTCACGCTGCCCGCATCGTTCTGCGCTTCGCAGGTGTAAACTCCGTCATCATCAAAACTGCAGGACAGCACCTCCAGGACCGCTACCGAGTCAACAAATGACATCCTGTAGTTGCCCCCGTCCGAGACTTTGGTGTCGTGTTTGTACCAGGTCGTTTTCAGAGGGGAGGAGCCACGGACTTTACACTCCAGGTGGAGTGGCTCACCCCGCTTTACAAACTTAGTGGCGGGAAGTTTCAGCACAAACTCAGGTGGTTCTGGAAGTCCAAAACACAGACAATAAGCAGCAGGAAGCACACAAAACAGACAGTAACAGAAGACAGGAGCTGACAATCATGAGCTTGCAACACAACATGTTTAGATTAACTATATAGGAGCTACAGAAAGGAGGAACAATAAGTTCAGCAGTCGCATTAGATGGATTGATTCAGAAAATGTGGTCCAACCTTTGACCGTCAAATCTGCACTACAGCGTACAGAACCAGCATCGTTGCTGACTTGGCAGGAGTAAACTCCACTCTGAGTTATGGCCACTGAGTAGAGCTCCAAGAAGCAGGACATGTCATCCACACCCATGAAACACGTTGGACCGGTCATGAGCTCCGTGTCGTCCTTGAACCATTTGACCGCAAAGGGCGGCGTGCCCGTGAATGTGCTTTTGAATCGGACCATGGCATTGGGTAGAGCCGCCTGTGACTCGGGCAGCACCACAAAGCTTGGAGGCTCTGAAGGCAACACAGCAAACTAGGTTAAAGTAATCACTCACCTTTGTTGTCTTAGGACATTACTACCAGCCAAACTGACCTTTGACCCTAAGGGATCCACTACATTCACAGCTCCCAGCTGCATTGGTCAGTTTGCATGAATACAATCCAGCATCAGATCTCTCAAGCTGTTCAATCTCCACAGACACAGAGTTGTCCTGCTGAATCAGTTTGTGTTTGACACCACTGGAGACTTTACTCCCATCTTTCTGCCACTCCACAGAGATTGGGAGGGAACCAGATATTTTACAGCAAATCTGAACAAAGGAGCCCAGAATCTCCTGCATGTCTACCAGTGGTTTGATGAAGCTTGGAGGAATTACTTGCTCTGTTGCCAAGAAAGGATTAATGAGATCAATATGATTTCACATTGGTGTAAATGACAGAGTGTTATCAGGATGGTCATACCAACCTGAAACAACCACTTTAACTTTGCAAGAACAGCTGCTTATGTGGTTTGACACCTCAAACATGTACTCTCCTTCATCTGCTGTTTGAGCAGCCTGAATTTTCAGGCTGCTGATGTTGTTCTCAAAGATCAGCTTGTGCTGCCTGATGGACTGAAGTTCCTTTCCATCTTTCATCCACTTCACTTTGAGCTCAGGCGAGCCTTTCACCTTGCAGTCCAGATTGACTGGATCTCCCACAGTTACCTTGATCTCCTCAGGTTTTTCTACGATCTGAGGGGGTTCTACAACGCAAAGCAAATTCAAGGTCAAAGAATTTCCTCGCTTTGATGATCATTTACTGGCCACTATATTAGGCACACCAGTTCTCTCCCATGCTGACTTGACTAGGTGGATTAAGCAGTAGTTAAGACGACTTGCTGAAGTTCAAACATAGGATGAAAAAGGGATGTAATTGATTTCATACATGGCATGTTTTCTGGTTCTAGGCAGGCCCACCCATTTTATTTGCAATGCTTACAACATGCTCCATTGACAACCTTCCTATCTTTTTCATGAGATAAGAAAAATGAAACTGCTGATTTAAAGAATATGGTTATCATGTTCATATACAATGTGTAAAACCTTATGGCAAATGGGTGATAGCAGCATCTGATTAACCTCTGTTGCAGCTAAGAAGTTCGAATAGTGGGGTGCAGTGATGTAGTCAAGACCACACCAACCAAGACCAAGGAGTACCAAGACCAAGACAAGGCCAAGACCTTTAGATATCAAGACCAAGACAATTCCAAGACAATATAAGGTCTTGGTCTGGTCTTGGTTCCCAACCCTTTGGAACACTTGGGGTACTACCAAGTTATACATAATAAGTTGGTATGTAAGTATAAAAAATAAGGAATTAGGCTCATTGGTTGAGTAGGTTACCTTGCACGGTGAGTGTAGCGAAGCATTTATCTTGCCCAGCCTCGTTAACCACCTGACAGGTGTACCTGCCTGCCTGAGTTGCTCCACAGGTAGCAATCTTTAGAGTCGCTATATTATTTTCAAATGATTTCTCAATGTTTGGATCCTCCAAAATCCAGTTGTCATCTTTCTGCCATTGGACAGAAAGAGTTGGAGAACCCACCACAACACACTGAAACTCTGCCCCTTTACCCAGAACAGTAACACTGTCCTCAATCCTCTTGGTAAATGTTGGGGGCACTATTGGGGAAAAACATAGTTAAGTTAGCTGCTTTTAGCTCAAAAACTAAAGATACAAGACTTTTTGAATTTACAGAAACCAACCTTTGAGGCTGAGAGTTGTCTTACAAGTACAGCTCCCCACCTCGTTAGCTACAGTACACTGATATTCACCAACATCTACACCATCACATCTGTGAATCTCAAGAGTTAAGGTGTCATTCAACTGGGAGAAGGCATGTTTGGCACTGGGCTTGATCTCTTTTCCATCTTTGTGCCAGGTTATATCAAAGGGACCTGTTCCAGCAACCTGACACTCAAAACAAGCTGTGGAACCCTTCACAACATCAACCAGAGAAAGGTCTTTGATAAAAGATGGTGGTTCTGAGAGGAGAGGAGAGAAGACAAACCTTCAACTTTTCTTACAAAGGTCACTATCTAATAAATGATACATGATGAACAGTTGTTTTGTCACAGATTCATTAGGACGATTCGTTTCCAGGAGATTTTTGCTTATTCTTTCTTGATAAGAAACATACTCCCCTAGAATCTGTGACAATTTAAGTTTTAAGGTAACTTCCAAGGGTAGGGATCCTTGGAACTCCAGCCCAACAAACCTTTGACTTTGAGCTCCATGCTGCAGCTCTCACTACCAGCCTCATTGCGAGCCTCACAGTAGTAAAGGCCTCCGTCTTTGATTTCAGCTGCACAGACCTCCAGAGTGGCCACAGAATTTACAAATGCCATCTTGTAGCGATCACCGGCACTGATCTCAGAGCCCTCCTTAAACCAGTAGATGTCTATCTCAGGTGTGCCTGTCACCTGGCACTCAAACATTTTGTTTTGACCAGGACGCACTACAGACACCCGGGCCGGGGTCTGGGTAAACTTTGGTGGCTCTGGGAATTAGAATAAAAAGCCAAATGAGAAGTGGAATAATTACTGTGGGGAAACATTCAGGATGAGGATCGCAATGTAATACTAACTGAGGTGAAAATTGTTCACAAATATTGAGAACCACTGGTTCAGACCATGAATGTTGAATAAGGTAATATGATGTTATTTATAACAGAGATTCATATAGAAAATAAAAACAGATAACCTTTGACAAAAAGCGTTGCTTGGCAGGAGGTAGAGCCCACATCATTCTGAATTTCACATACATAATCTCCTGAATCTGAGCTCTTAGCAAAGAAAAGCTCCAGTGAGGTGGATGTGTTGTCTTTCATCACAGAGCAGTTTGCACTTGATAAAATCTCTTTCTTGTTTTTAAACCATTTGATTGTCAAGGGTGGTGTGCCAGAGAGCAGTACATTGAACTGGACCTTAGATCCAGGTAAAACATTCATGGATTCAGGCTTTTCAAGAATGCATGGTGGTTCTGAAAGAGAGAGGCAAACCGCTGCTTGTAAAGACCTGCCAGAAAAATCTAGCTAGTTAGTAAAAAACCTATACAACAGTTCAGACCTTTCACAAGTAAGATTGCAGAGCACTGGACTGTCCCTGCTTTGTTTTTGGCAATGCAGGTGTAACTCCCACCATCTTTAAGGTGAAGATCCAAGACTTCTAGGCAAGCAACATTCTCAAAGAATGTACATTTATTTTTCTCGTCGACCTGAATCTCCTTTTCATCTTTAAACCATTGGATGGTAATTGGCAGGGAGCCTGAGACAAGGCATTCCAGATGAGCGAATGATCCTTTAATTCCTTCTGTCTGCTTCAGTTTCCTCGTGAAAGATGGAGGAATTATTTGGTCTAAGATGAGTTACAGAAAAAAGGGGTTAGAGCTGCAAATCAGTTTAAATAAAAGAAATATGCCCTTAGAATTGAACCTAACAAATCAAGCACTGACCCAGAACTGTGAGCGTGGCCTCACAAGAGCTTTGTCCGACATCATTAGAAATCTCAAAGGTAAATTCCCCTATGTCACTTTTCTCAGTTTTGAGAATCTTGAGCACAGAGCTTGTGTCTGTGCTTTGTATTTTAAACCTCTGTCCTGAGGCAAGCTCCTTCCCTGCTCTTAGCCATCTGGCCTTAAGGGTTTTTGTGCCGGAGAATCTGACCTCCATTGTGGCTGGATCCCCCTGAGTCACACTGATGGACTTGGCCTCCTCTGTGATCTTAGCTGGTTCTGGGATACCAAGGAGAATGTCAGCCAAACTATCAACAATGATGTATAAAATAAACAATTCAAAAATATATTTGTTTCTGGTTTTCTTGTAAAGTCATTCATATCTGTCCAAGCCCAAATTGGTCCTATTTCCTGAAGGTATGGGTCTACCTAGTTTTTTTTTTTCTATTTCTGTTTTTTTTACAATGATTAGTGGTTGATGGTTGCTATCATGTCCTCTACCTTCTAAATGGAAATGGCTTCTTGATACATGTAAGAAAATTAAAAAGGAAATAGCCCCGAGGGAAAGATAGGGTGCTCTTGGTTGACCTAATTTATAGCTTTTAAAGGTATAGTGGACCATCTTCTTTTGGTTTATATTTCTGGGGGCTCATGATATCTACTACTTGTCCCACTTACCAGTATGTGTGATTTGCTCTCCTGACACTGTTGAATGTGCTCATTTCTTGTTACTAGTTTGCTAGTTTCCTTCTGCTGAACATGTGCACTGCTAGTGCTTACGCTTCTGATTAGGTTTCAGTGATGAATTAGTGGCAAATCTGACATAGCTTAATGTAAATCTTCTTGGGCTACTTTTACTGTCTTCAAACGGTGGAGACAGACCGTAAAAACATGCTTAGACATTTGATAGGTGATCTCAGTCAGGAGCAGAAATTAGGTAGGGTGGGCTTTTCAGTTATTCAGAAAGTGACTTGGGCTTACTTACTGTAACATTACTGTAAAAATCATCCACTATACCTTTAAGCCATTACCTAAACACTGCACTTTGACAAACAGTTACATATAGTAATTAGGTAAAAAACTATAATGACTCATATTAACTTGGACTAAATTAGATTTGTATAGCTAGATACAAATTCTGCCTAAATGCCTTTTTTTTTTTATTGGAGTTTTTACGGCACTAGTTGATAATTTTTTCGACAGTAGGCTGACAGGAAAGGGGGCACGAGGGAGGGGGAGAGACATGGGGGAAAGGACCACAGGCCGGATTCGAACCCCACTTGCCCACATCGAGCAGTAAGGCATGTACATGGGTTGTGTACACTGTCCACTGTCTACCTGCACGCCCCTAAATGCCTTTTAAATTGCTTTGATGTGATATTTGTAGTGGATTGTGCTTATTGTTGCACCCTGCTTCAATTACATAATTTTTAATTTAATGTATAGGTCTTGATGAAATATAGGAGTTACTTAAAGCTGGCAGAGTTTAAAAACGTTTAACCTACCTTTGACTGTCAACACAGCTGAGCAAGTCTGGCTGCCAGCCTGATTTTGTGCCTGACATGAGTATTTCCCTCCATTTTGGCTCTGCAAGCCGCTGATCTGCAACAGCGCCGTCTGGTTCTCATATGAAACGTGAAAATTTTCCATTGCTTTTAGCTCATGGTTGTCTTTGAGCCAGGACACTGCAATTGGCTCAGTACCCTTCAGTGTGCACTGAAGAGAAACATCGCAGCCAACCAACGAACTCAGGTTCTCCAGCTTTTTTACAAAAGATGGTGGTTCTACAAGTAAATGGTGTCATTAGTCATTTGTAAGCATTTATAGTTGGTAAACAACTGATAAAGTTTTTAACTTTAAGGATAAAACACAGCTTCATCAGACCAACCTTTGAGTGTCACTTTACATTCACAGGTTGATTTCCCCACTTCATTCTCAACTATGCACTGGTACAAACCAACATCTCCCGCCTCAACCAACTGCACCTGCAGGGCCACCAGATCGTCTTTAACTTTGATTCTGTGTCTTTTGTCGTTTCTGATCGCTTTAGAGTTTTTATAAAATGCCACAGTGAATGGAGCAGAACCAGAGACTTGGCCCTCCAGTACCATCTCAGAACCTTTCACCACATTTTTAGGCTCCAAGCTACGAACAAACACTGGTGGTTCTGGAAGACAGCATTGGTGTATATCAGTGAGGTGAAGACTGGACAGTCATTAGCAAAGGTTTTCTGTAAATATTTCCCGTAGACTTTATAAATAGACTATATTTTACTAAAAGGACATAACTATAGAAATTCAGGAGTGCCTCCTGTAAATATACCAACCTTTGACAGAAACTGTACTGCTGCAGCGGTCACTGCCTGCTTCACTTGACGCCACACAGACATAATCTCCACTGTCCTCAACTGCACAGTTTAATATTTCAAGAGTTGCCTCTATATCAGTCTCACTGATCATGTATTTAGGACCAGAGCCGATCTCCATCTCATCCTTGAACCATTTGAAACTGATGACAGGGCTACCTGACACTCTGCACTCCAACCTGGTGGAGTCACCACTGGTAACCAGCTTGGTTGCATCAAGCTTCCGTACAAACACGGGAGGTTCTGAAAGAAGAGGTTAGAATTTATGACGGGACAGACGACATGTTAGCGTTACATAAATACCAGGGTTTTTACTACATGTGTGTTAAGGACGGACACCTTTCACGAAGAGGACTGCAGAACAATCCACTTTCCCAGCATCGTTGGACACTTGGCAAGTATATTTAGAAGAATCAGTGGGCTTCACTGAATGCAGTTCCAGAGAGCTGGAAGAAGCGTCTTTCTTTATGAAATAAATTCCTCCAGTTACAACCTCCTTCTCCTCTTTGAACCATTTCACAGCCAAAGGAGCAGTTCCAGTGAAGGCCGCTCTAAAGGAAACCTTGGCTCCTGGTATAACATCCTGGTTGTCTGGTTTCTCTGTGAACACTGGGGGCTCTGGAGCCCAGCAACAAAAAAGGTGCCGACATAAGTCCCTCAAACATCACACATCAAAAGTAAAAGCAAATTGAGAGAATGACTCATAACCTTTGACGTAGAGTGTGCCACTAGTCTCTTTAAAGCCGGCTGAGTTGGTGGCTCGGCATTTGTAAACTCCAGAGTCAGCCTTTTCCAGCCGACTGACTCTCAGTGTAGCAGAGCTTTCTTTGAACTCGGGTTGAAATTTGGCCCCTGGCTCTATTTGCTGGTCATCTTTGAACCAAACAATGGTCATCGGCTGGGACCCAGACACCTTGCAGTCCATCGATACGTCATTACCAATGTTGCCATCAACTCTTTTTAAGGACTTAGTGAAAGTCGGAGGCATTATCCGATCTGGAAAAAACATATTTTTTGTTGACATTGTTTTGTGTTGTTTCTGTAAAGAGCTGCTAAGCTAAAATCAGGAGAACTTCATTTACTAACAAAAGTCTCCTCAGTGTCTTTGAATGTTTGTATTCATACGGCTTAATTTGCAGATTATCTTAAACCAATTTTTATTTTCATCATCCTTGGAAAATTTAGACCCACTTTCTTTGCGTTCCTCCTCTGCTTGCCCGTTTAAAATACTTAAAACATTTCAGACACACTTAATCTACACTTTCTAGACTTGAAGCAATTTACAGACATTTCATTTCTACCATAAAATTTTTGGAGAATTGTTTTGGCAGATTTTTGTGATTGTTCAGCCATATCACTGTTTTATGCCGGAAAACATGCTTTCCTTCTATTAAATTAACTCAGTGATTCAGCATAAAAAAGGACTGATGTGGTCACCTAATCAATCACAAAGAGAAATCACTACTTATGCTGACAAAAAATGTAACCTATAGTTACACCTCCCCACATTCTCCAGGAAGACAGGAAGTAGGCATGATCCAAAGTGGAGAATGACAGGAAGTAGGCATGATCCACAGTGGAAGTGGACAGGAAGTAGGCATGCTCCAAAGTGGACAACGACAGGAAGTAGGCATGATTCACAGTGGAAGTGGACAGGAAGTTGGCATGCTCCAAAGTGGACAATGACAGGAAGTAGGCATGATCCAAAGTGGACAATGACAGGAAGTAGGAATGATCCACAGTGGAAGTGGACAGGAAGTAGGCATGATCCAAAGTGGACAATGACAGGTAGTAGGCATGATCCACAGTGGAAGTGCACAGGAAGTAGGCATGATCCAAAGTGGACAATGACAGGAAGTAGGCATGATTCACAGTGGAAGTGCACAGGAAGTAGGCATGATCCAAAGTGGAGAATGACAGGAAGTAGGCATGATCCAAAGTGGAGAATGACAGGAAGTAGGCATGCTCCAAAGTGGACAATGACAGGAAGTAGGCATGATCCAAAGTGGACAATGACAGGAAGTAGGCATGATCCACAGTGGAAGTGGACAGGAAGTAGGCATGCTCCAAAGTGGACAACGACAGGAAGTAGGCATGATTCACAGTGGAAGTGGACAGGAAGTTGGCATGCTCCAAAGTGGACAATGACAGGAAGTAGGCATGATCCAAAGTGGACAATGACAGGAAGTAGGCATGATCCAAAGTGGACAATGACAGGAAGTAGGCATGATCCACAGTGGAAGTGGACAGGAAGTAGGCATGATCCAAAGTGGACAATGACAGGTAGTAGGCATGATCCACAGTGGAAGTGCACAGGAAGTAGGCATGATCCAAAGTGGACAATGACAGGAAGTAGGCATGATTCACAGTGGAAGTGGACAGGAAGTTGGCATGCTCCAAAGTGGACAATGACAGGAAGTAGGCATGATCCAAAGTGTACAATGACAGGAAGTAGGCATGATCCACAGTGGAAGTGGACAGGAGGAAGGCATGATCCAAAGTGGACAATGACAGGAAGTAGGCATGATCCACAGTGGAAGTGGACAGGAAGTTGGCATGCTCCAAAGTGGAAGTGGACAGGAAGTAGGCATGATCCACAGTGGAAGTGGACAGGAAGTAGGCATGCTCCAAAGTGGACAATGACAGGAAGTAGGCATGATCCACAGTGGAAGTGGACAGGAGGTAGGCATGATCCAAAGTGGACAATGACAGGAAGTAGGCATGATCCACAGTGGAAGTGGACAGGAAGTTGGCATGCTCCAAAGTGGAAGTGGACAGGAAGTAGGCATGATCCACAGTGGAAGTGGACAGGAAGTAGGCATGATCCACAGTGGAAGTGGACAGGAAGTAGGCATGCTCCAAAGTGGAAGTGGACAGGAAGTAGGCATGATCCACAGTGGAAGTGGACAGGAAGTAGGCATGCTCCAAAGTGGACAATGACAGGAAGTAGGCATGATCCAAAGTGGACAATGACAGGAAGTAGGCGTGATCCACAGTGGAAGTGGACAGGAAGTAGGCATGATCCAAAGTGGACAATGACAGGAAGTAGGCATGATCCACAGTGGACAATGACAGGAAGTAGGCGTGATCCACAGTGGAAGTGGACAGGAAGTAGGCATGATCCAAAGTGGACAATGACAGGAAGTAGGCATGATCCACAGTGGAAGTGGACAGGAATTTGGCATGCTCCAAAGTGGACAATGACAGGAAGTAGGCATACTCCAAAGTGGACAATGACAGGAAGTAGGCATGATCCAAAGTGGACAATGACAGGAAGTAGGCATGATCCACAGTGGAAGTGGACAGGAAGTAGGCATGATCCAAAGTGGACAATGACAGGTAGTAGGCATGATCCACAGTGGAAGTGCATAGGAAGTAGGCATGATCCAAAGTGGACAATGACAGGAAGTAGGCATGATTCACAGTGGAAGTGCACAGGAAGTAGGCATGATCCAAAGTGGAGAATGACAGGAAGTAGGCATGATCCAAAGTGGAGAATGACAGGAAGCAGGCATGATCCAAAGTGGACAATGACAGGAAGTAGGCATGATCCACAGTGGAAGTGGACAGGAAGTAGGCATGCTCCAAAGTGGACAATGACAGGAAGTAGGCATGATCCACAGTGGAGAATGACAGGAAGAAGGCATGATCCAAATTGGAAGAGAACAGGAGAGGATCACAGAGGAACGAGGGACCTACCCACTCCAGCCGGTGAACAATACCTCCTTAACGACCAACCCTTAACCATCATAGACAGGTTTCAGGTATTACAGGAGACAATCCCCCCCTTAATGGCAATCCCCCCTTTAACAACCCCTAGAATCATAGACAGGTTCAGATATTACAGGCTAACGATGGGACTAAACGACCCATTCATCGGTTATCATTTGCATGTTTCCAAGCGATACAAGGCTTTGTCTATATAAGACTCAAACTCACTGGGGATCCAGACATTTGAATTGAGAAAGCTTCCTGGAGAGGTGGCGAAACGTCTTCAAATCTTGAAAACCAAGTCCAGTGGATATTTTTTGAATTTTTACGGAATGACTATGACCTGGATGACTGAGAACCTTCATCAGCAACAGGAAAGAGGCTAACTCCAAAGTGGAAGAGGACAGGAAAGAGGCTTGCTCCAAAGTGGAAGAGGACAGGAAAGAGGCTTGCTCCAAAGTGGGGAATGACAGAAAGTTGGCATGCCGTAAACTGGAGGTGGACAGGAAGAAGGAATTTTCTTGCTGTTTTAGGTTTAAGTGAAACAAAGTCAGGATAAAGTGAAAAAGACTTGGAAAAAACTTTTCTTTTTTTGTTGGTTATTGATCAGAGAGCTGGTTTTTCAACATTAGAATTGTGATTCTATATCAAAGTTTCTAAAATTTCCCACACTAATTCATAAAAGGTTTTTTTAACCATTTAAAATCAACTGCCTACATTTTTTGCTAGAAAAAAACCCCCAAAACTTGTACAGGTAGACCAGAGAGGAAGGTGAAGCAGAAAGTATTTGGTTTGAGAAATCTTAAACTGTTTAAAGTTTCACACTGACAAGCAGAAGGAGAATTTAAATAATGGATAGCCCCAAACATTATGCAAAAACCTGTTTTTTTTTCTTATTATTTGTGAAAAGGCAAGCAAACCTAATACGGTGACTGAGAATGTGCACTGGTCTTTCCCGACTTTATTGGACACTTCCATCCTGTAGTCCGAAGTGTCTCCTTTCTCCGCTGTCAAAATCTTCATGACGGCTACGTTGTCCTTCACAGTCATCTTATATTTTCTCCCACTGATCATCTCCTTCCCATCTTTGAACCACTTGACTTTCAGCTCTGGGCTTCCACAGACTGTACACTCAAACGTGGCTGATTCGCCTGCAGTCACACTAATGGACTCTGCAGGTTCTACAACTCTAGCCGGTTCTGGTGTTGGAAACAGATTTAGTGGTTATCAAGGGAAAGACTTTTTTACAACCTGTGAAACATTTGCATTTAAGATTTCTTCTGACCTTGCACAATCAGGGTAGCTTCACATTTCTGCTGCCCGGCATCATTTTCTGCCTGGCATGAATACTTTCCGGCATGACCAATCGCCACTGCTGTTAAAGAAAGGCTTGCGATGCCATTTTCAAAAACCATCTTAATGTTTGGATCATCGTCTCTGAGTATTTCAGAGTTTTTCAGCCATTTAACAGTAATGGGAGCTGATCCCTTTATGGTTCCTTGTAGCTTGACTGCATTTCCCAACACTGCTGTAACACTTTCAACTCTTTTAGAGAAAGATGGCGGCTCTACAAAAACATGTTAAAAGTTAAAAGCAGACTCTAAGTTGCAGCACTGTTGTTCGGCCTGTAAAGTGTTCACCAACCTTTCAGCTTAGCTGAGGCCTTGGTGGTTACCTTCCCAACATCATTGGATATGACACACTGGTAATCACCAATGTCTGCACTTTCAAAGGTCTGGATCTCCAGCCTTGAAAGAGAGTCTTGGGAAATGATTTTATATTTCTGATCAACTGTTATTGGCTTCTTATTTTTTATCCAACTGATTTCAAAGGGAGCTGTTCCTCCAATCTCACACTCCAGGTGAGCGGCTTCACCTTTCACAGCTTCTACAGTCTGCAGGTCTTTTCTAATGAACGGAGGCTCTGAATGTCAAAAGATTTTGGTGTATTTAGTTAAAACCAAGGATTCCAGAGCTGAAAACAAACAATCTCAGAAGCCTATCGAGGGACAAACCTTTAACAGCAACCAGAGCACTGCAGCTCTCACTACCGGCATTGTTTGACACCTCACATGTGTAACCCCCACTGTCTGTCACCTGGAGGTTCATTATTTCCAAGCATGTAACTCCATTTTTAAAGGTGATTTTATATTTCTCTCCATCACTAAGCTCTATGTCGTTCCAGAACCAGTGGATGTGAAGTTCAGGCGATCCTTTAATACTGCACTGTAAACGTGCAGCTGCACCCTGCTTCCAGGTAATCTTAGGTTCCATTTTCTTGACAAAAGCAGGAGGCTCTGAAAGAGTGTTTAGAGACACATAGACTTTATACACATTAACAAAGCAGACAGAAAAGCATCAGCATTAAAAAATACAAAACAAAGGACAACACAGCAACACATTAGAAACAGCTGGAGGGGAGTGCAAACAACCACCAGAGATTTTTCACCTGCAGTTTCTTACCTTGTACAGTAACCACAGCCTCACAGGAGGAGCTCCCAGCCTCATTTGTGGCTGTGCAAACATATATCCCAGAGTCCTTCAGTTTGGACTTGGGGATCTCTAGAATGGCCACCTTATCCTCAAAGGACAGTTTACAGTCCATGCTCAAGTGGACTTTTTTGCCATCCCTTGTCCAGGTGACAGTCACAGCTGTGTCCTCATCCACCTGGCACTCCAGCCTCAGCGGGTCATTGACAGCAACAGACGTTGGCTGAAAGGTCCTAACAAAGATGGGCTTACCTATAACCGTAAGCTCTGTGGTAAAAGTAGCTGTGCCAACGCTGTTGGAGGCCTTGCAGAGGTACACCCCCTTATCAGCCAACTCAAGACTTTTAATCTGAAGAGAATATTTGTTCCTTTCACTTTTTATCACATAATTCCCTTCAGACATTATGGCTAAGTTGTCCTTGTGCCAGACAACCTCCATTGGTGACGATCCAGTAAGTGAGCATTGAAGAACGGCTTGTTTTCCCACAAATAGGGTCATTGGCTCTGGTTTTGAAACAAATACTGGTGGATACATCTCTACAGAAAGCAGGTAGGACAGACACAACGCTTAACTCAGTTGCAAGACACATCAGAAACAAACAAAACTTTCTAACATGTTGAGGGATGTGTGTTTCACAGAGAAGACAATTTAAAACCACTGCAGGAATCAAACAAGCACCATCTTTCAGTGTTGACGAGTAACATTAAAACAGAACATAAATATAATTCTCTCTCTCTGTCTCCAACACATACATGCACAGCCACTTGGAAAAAAGGAAGTTCCCACTGGGACATTACCAGTTACGATGAGAGAGGCGGTGCAGCTGTCAAGGCCGTGCTGGTTTGAAGCTTTGCAGGAGTATTCACCACTGTCAGCCTTCACAGGATTCAGGAGCTCCAGGGAAGAGCCTGTATGGCTGCTGATGATCCGGTACTTCTCACTCTGTCTTATTTCTATACCAGCTTTGTACCATTTAAAGGTCACGTTCGGAGCATCCTCGGTCTCACAGTCAAACTTTGCTTGACCCCCAACGTTGATCTCAACAGGGTTGATTTTCTGCCTGAAAACTGGTGGCACTGTGGCAAATGAAAAGAGTTAAAAGTAGATGTTAGTTATGTTATCTCCACCTATCATTGTATGTAAAAGAAATGGACAGATAAGGAACGTGAAAGGTGAAATGTACAGCAATGGTGGAAGGCAACTCAAAAATGACTGTGAGGAAGAAGAGCAAGAACATTAACCCCAGATGGTTCTAATGGGGCTATGGTTCCAGCTAAAAGGAGGAGGGAAAAAAAACTTGAAAGTGTTGGAATGGCAAGTTGAAGCCCTCTAACATGCAGAAAGACTGGCAATGTGGCAAGAATGAACCTAGGACTGTGACAGAACAAAGATTCAGACCCCGTTGATGCTGCATGCCAAAGTGATTCTAAAAAGGCTTTGAGAGTGTCCAAAAGACCAGATGCTTGACCAATATTGCAATGTGGTAATAGACCACAGGACCTTATGGTGACCTTTGCAAAACTATGGTGACTCTGGTCTTTTGGACATACTAATCAAGAGAGATATGAAACAAACAGAACAGAAGGTGAGTTAGTAGAATCCAGTGCCCTGTGAACAGTGCTCATGCCGAGCTATGAAATGGAGAGAAAAACCAAAGTGACAGATACAAAGTGCTTGAATGTTGACAGAGGCTTGAAATGAATAAACTTGTGAATTAGTAGTTGATCTCAGAGGAAATGGATGGGTGAATGGATGAATGGTACAAATAATTCTCCTGTTAGCAAACCTCTTGGGACCACAGTGAGTCTTGAAGACGTTGTTGTCCTGCCGGCTTCATTCTCAGCCTCACAAACATATTCGCCTTGATGTCTCTCCTTGACAACTTTGTTGATAATCAGTGAGTATGTGTCATGGTCTTGTACACACTTGAACTCTTTGCCAGATTTCACCAATTGGCCATTGAAAAACCAAGTTACCTTCACTGCATGTTTAATGGTTGTGCTAAAAGTGACTTCGCTATTTTCTTCTATGGACAAGTCCTCTAGGGACATGACAATTTCAGGGTATTCTCTCTGCTCTGGTCTGGATACTGTAAACTCTTCTTTGAAGATTTCCTCCCTGTGCTCCTGCTGGATGCTGACACCTATTTGTTCAGTAGAGGTGAGGGAAGGAGGGAGAGCAGTAGGGACAAAAGCAACCCCTTCATCTTTTTCTTTATATTCTACCATTACAGATTTTACCTCTTTCTTTGCAACTTTAACTGACTGTTCAAAGGCCATCTGAGCTTCTGTGGTTATTTTAGTCTTGGATGAAACAGACTTTTCTGTTTTGGATTCTTGCACTGCAACCAGTCTCTCTGCTGTAGCACATTGATCTATGACCTTAGATTCAAGCTTAAGTGCAGCAGCCTGAGATTTCACAGCTGTTATATCTACTGTGCCCTCTGTCACATGCACAGTCTCTACCATTGTAGAAAGCATTTGCTTCGACCTGGCTGAGGTAACCTGAGCCTTTTGAGGTTTGTCCAGCTGCATGGTGCCCGGGCGCTCTGAGGTAAGAACATGGGCCTCCTGGTAGACTATAGAGTGGAACGCTGCTTGAAGTTCGGTCCTAAGATCAGCTGTCTGTGGGTATTCCCCTTCAAAAGCTAGTGTGATCTCTACAGGGGCACCTGTTGTTGTAATCAGATATGTAAACATAGAGCGTTTGGGTTCTCGCTGAACTTTGACCTCCTGAACTTCCACAGCCTGGAACCTTCCAACAACATCAGCCAGCAAGACAGGCTGGTCACTGGCCACAGCAGACTGGAGAGCCTCTCTAAGTTGTCGCTGTATGTTCAGACTGGATGGTTTAGGCAACTGAATCAAAAACGTCATCTCTTTGGGGAGAATTGTGCTCTCTTTAGATTCTGATACCATCAATGACATTTTTGGCTGTGTGCTAACTACAACTTTTGTTGACTCAGACTTGCAGATTTCTCGAGAGTGCTCCCCTGTCAATACTTGCTTCTCATCCATCACAATTGATTGCCTAATGGACTGACCCTCCTGGATCTGAACAGCAAAGTCCTGTTCTGCTGCCTCCAGAGAAATGCTGCTCTCGGTGGAGATCTCCTTCTCCTCAATTTGGACTGGTTCAGTGGGCATTTTGGGCTCTACAGTTGTCTGACACTTGAATGTGTCTACACCTGACAGATTTTCTGCATGACCCTCTTCTAAGACCTGACTGTCTGCTACATTGGTGACGTTCATCACATTCCAGCGATCTTCCTTCTGCACTAAAGCTCTCTGGTGCTTAAAGTCAACAGTAATGGGGGTTTCCTTTGGAAGTTGCATGGGCTGGTAGGAAACCTGGAGGATATTATGAGGCTTGGGTTCAGTTCGACATTTAGACTGAACTCCACTGACTGGCAAATCTAGCTCAGCAATGTAATTTGCTGTCAACTCCCTCCTTTCTTCTGAAATGGCTGCATGGCTTCTTGATTTTTCTTGCTTTTGAGTTGCCACCTGTTGATCAGGCTTTTCAGCTGTGAGAAGATTCTCTTTGGGCAGCACCTCTACAGGTTGGGTTGACTGAAGATGCAACAGAGTTGGAGCCTCTTTTTGGGGTTCAATGGTTGTTGAAGTGGCCTTGGCCTCAAACTCTGATGAGTCTTCACAAATAACTGTTCTCTGCTCATCCTGACTGACAGTGTGCAGCAAAGTGGGACTCGTCCTGGTTTCTGCCTGTTCAGTTTCAGGTTTTTCACAGCTGAAACTCTTCTCAGATGGAAGGAGGTCCTGGTCTGTGATGACCTGCAGGTGCAGCACCTTTCCACTTTCTACCTTTGACTGAATAGTCACAGTGCTCTCCATGCATGGCAGCTCTTGCGTGGGGTCAGCCTGCAGTACTTGCCTTTCTTCTGCATTTAACGCCGCCTTCAGTATCTTATCCTTAGAGAACTGGGCTGCCTCTTCAGCAGGCATCTGCAAGGAGAACTCTGTCTCCTTGGAAAAGGTCTGTTTAGACTCACTTACTGAGGCTAAAATCGGTCGGCTCGGTTCTTTCTTACTGGTGGATTCTACAGCAGTATCTGCAGTTGCTAGCTCAGCTGTGTGGCCTTCTTCGAGTGGCTGTTTCTCTGCAGACTGGGCTGAATATAAAATCTTGTCACCTTCCTTAACCCTGTAGCCTTTCTCTTGTTGTTGTCCAGGGATATCCTCAGACTGCTCTCTCATGATAGAAAGCTGTGACTCCACCTGATATCCGCTGACCAGCTGCTTGGGCTCGGAACTTGCTTTGACTTTCGCAGGCTGCCTATCATGAAGAGGCTCTGTGCTGACAGTAGAAAGAGGGGTGAGTTCCTCCGCCACAGCAGACATTAATTTTGACTGTTTTTCTCTTGCTAGCTGCAGCTCAATGACCTCAGGGCTTTGAAGGCGGTCACAGTGCTGCTCTGTGAGACCCTGACTTTCCTCCACAGAGGATGTAAATGCTGCCATGTGAAGCTGTTTCCCTGGAACAGCTGATGATTGAGGAGGGTGAGTGGAAACCAGAGAGACACGCTCCTCTACCTCATGAGTCTGAAGCACAGCAGCCTGTTGTGTCAACATCTCACGATGGATAGTTGCAGCAGAAATATTAACCTCTCCAAGCGAGCTCACCTGCTCACTTGGAATTATCTTCCTGTCTTCGGTGCCAATGGTGTAAACCATCTGATCTGACCGGGTTCTGTCCTGGCCAGGCAGACTGACCTGGTACAGACGAGACTCCGTTGCCTGTTCTGATACTGACACTTTAGAGGCTTTCTTCTGTACTATGGTCAGCTGCTCGTCTTTGGGAGGAACTGAGGTCGACTCCTTAAACACAACCAGCTCAGCTCCGCAAGTCGCCTCACCAAACTGGTTGGAGGCTTTGCATGTGTATAAGCCACTGTCTTCTTGTTTGGCAGTCTTGATATTAAGCAGGCCGGATCCGTCTGGGTTGGCTACCATTATACAGTTTCTACTGGGCTGGATTTGGAAAGCCCCTTTGAACCATTTCACATCAGGAACCGGGTCTCCTGTGGCTTTGTAATTAAAATACACCTCCCCTCCCTCTGAACACCTCACGGGTTGGATCTGAACAATAAAAGTAGGTGGTTGACCTGTGACCTTAAACATCTTCTCCACCCACCTCTCTGCCTGGCTGATATCAGGCTTTTTCACTTCTAGGTATGTTGTGCATGTTGTCTGCCCAAACCTGTTGGTAGCAGTGCAAGAATACTCACCCTCATACTCTGAAGTAACTTTGGTGATCACTAAGGTGTATTCCTCCTTCTCCTCTACCATTCTGTAAACTGAGGAACTCTTTATCACCCTACCATTGTGAGACCATTGAACAATAGGCTTTGGAAAGCCGGACACCTTAACAGTAAGCCTAGCAGTTTCCCCTGAGGCTATGGCTGCTGGAGACAGCTGGCTGAGGAAAACTGGCTTTTCTTTCTTTTTCTCTAAAGTGGAAGAGTAACGTTTTGGCTCTGGCTTGAGTTCAAGTGTTTTAGATTTCTGTGGTAACTGGACACCAGTGTAGAAGGTTTCCTCTCGTTCTTCCACAGTGGTGATGGTGGTGCTAGAACTCTCTGTCGGGAAATATTAAGCAACACTGAAAACAATGGCCACAAATTAAACCTATAATAAACAAATTAGTGCAAGCAATTACAACAACAAAAAGAAAACTCTTTCCATGAGGATTCAACACTTTATTGGAAACGTAGGTGTAGTTAATTAACAGAAAGTATATGGTGGACTCAAATGGATTGAAAAAGACAATCCTGTGATATATTCTACATTAGATCATTGAAATAGATTTTGCAAACCATTTTGGAATTTACAATTGGGTACAATTTCAATTGCAAAAGTTTTTTTGGACATTTTTCTTAGCCTGGCCAGCATATCAATCTGGAAAAGATCAGATTTTAAAGGTGTGACTAAAAGAGTCAGCAGAAACAGGTTATACGCATCAGATAACTGATGTGATGAAAAAAAACTGCTTTTGTTATAAAGAAATCCCCTTACAGCAAACAGTTGTTAACATTTTTTAGCTCCTTCAGGACATAATGAAGGGCATCAATAACACATCGCTCCATTGAAGCTGCAGTCTTGACTGTTATGGTTACAAAAAAGCACTTACTATGGCCTCGCTTCCCACACTGTGATTGGTCTGATCTGTTTTAGACCGGACAATATCACAGTAGTATCACAGTAGGAGGATGATTTGGACCATGTGTAAGTTAGTCTGGCTGGCCAGGCTACAGTTCTATACCATGTGCATCTGTTTTCTTTTTAACTGCCTTCAACACTGTTGTTCATCAGTTAAATCTTTTCTATATAACGGACTAAATTTTTCATTTAGCTCGCACAACGGTATGAAAAATTTTGTTACAATGTCTGCTTATTCTGTTTGATAGGTGAAAATTATATATTTTTAGACATGACATTTTTCTAAAACTCGTTTTGTTTATATACTGTGTATTTATACTATAAATGCATATACTTATATAGTGTGTTATTCTCTCACGTTTTTATGGATTAAGGCACCCTATCAAACATAATATAAGCTGCAAAAAGTAATGGTTATCCATTTTTTTTTTGTTGAAAATTATGTATTAAAAAGTTAAAATGTTCTTTTCATCTTGTCATTTTACGCTAATTTAATCATAGCTGTAGACTTTACATTCACTCCTTTTGTTTTTCTTGGTTATTACATTAAGCATTTTAAATGACATCCATTCTCTGTGTCCTTCAGCTGTATAATTAGCAATCTTTTACTAGTTTTATATTACTCATACAATTATCATGGTTTACAATCCTAAATACATGTGAAAGAAAAAGATGATGATATTTGACCCAAAAGTAAGAATAAAATCCCACTTTTTAAAAACAAGTTTTATCTTGGTTTAAAGTTTTTTTTTAAACAAATCATATTCACACTCAAATTTTACATCATGAAACATTTTATTGTATAAACTCAGACAAACTAAACTGTACAGATAAGCCACAAATGTTTATGTTAAAACTACATTTTTCTCATTGTTTTTTTTTCCTCTTATGTTATAGAGCACTCACACACTCCTAACAGTACATATATATACAAAACATTCAAACCTTCGTTTCTTAAAAAAGTTTCACAGTGTTGTCCTTTTTTAAAATCGCTTCTCTTTCTCTTAATTTTCAACCAGATTTATTGTTTTGCTGAAAAAGCTAAAATACATCCAGATCATGAGGCATCCGAACAACATCGCCAAAATAAATGGTTTAAGTCAGTAATACAGAACATTTGAAAGGTTTTTGAAATGTATTTCAGATAAGATTTTTTTTTAATAAACTCTCATTTTAATGTTACTGAACTTTAGAAAATGAATAGATCATTAAAATTAAAGCTGATAATAAATTATATCTTAAGAAACTCATTCATATATTAAGCTGTCTGAAAACCAAAATGCAAAATGGTTCATCTTGTCCCAAATTAGGTTTCTAATAAAAAATAATAAAATAAATTGATAAATAATGACAAACAAATATCTGTTGTAATCACTGTAAGAACAAGAACATACAATATAAATATAATAAATCTCTCAGTATCTTCATAAAGGCTTATTTTTATTTTTGCTGTATCATCAGTGCAAACATGTTTTTCCACCAATAACACTAAACTTTAGTTTAACATTTGTGACTAAATATTGCACTTGTCATTTTCCTTACATGGACAGTTGCAAAGGTCAAGTAAACAGCATAACTAAAACATTCAAACAGTAAAGCTCTGTGTGTTATCAACTTAAACCAGGACTAAAACTAATCAGGTTTTAAATGACAAGTCAGACTAACATTCTGACAAACAGAAACACAGAGCAGGACAGCAGAAACTCTGGTGCATGTCTCATCGTTGCTTTTAAACCAGTTCCGAAGCATATGTGAAATCAATTTGCCAGCAGCTAGTTAGCACTGCAGCCTCACAGCTATGAGGGTTGTGTGTGAACGAATCACTGCTTAGTTTGTGTGTCTCTGTGGTTGACAGGTAAGCAGTTAAAGGGGAAAACCTTGTAAAAGAGACAATTCAAAGTTGCCTTTTTTGGTTTATCTTTGTGTGACTAAGCCTTAACCTCTAGAAAATCTTCAGCAGAGCTGCTGTTTCAGTGCAGCCAGCAGAGTTTTGGATTAAGCACTTGTACTCCCCAGCATCACTCTGGGTCACATTGGTAATGAGCAGATTAAAATGACCAGCGCTTTTTTCCTGGATTATGCATCTACTGTCAGTGACCAGCTCTCCGTCTTTGTACCACTGAGCTGTGGGGTTTGGTTTGCCGCTCACCAAACACTGGAGAATGACAGGCGTCCCTACAGCTGCAGTGACGTTAGTCAATGGGATGATGCATTTGGGAGGAACCTCAGTCACCTGGAATTGAAAGCTGCACATATCAGAAGACTTCCCTTTGAACTCGATCTTTTCATCCTTTGCCGGTTCAGCAAACACATCAAAGTTGACACTAACATATTTCTGCCCTTGTTCACTGGTTTGGTGATCAGTGTTAGCCACCAACCTCACTGCCCGTTGCGACTCATCGCCCTCTTGCTCAAACTCAAACTCAAGTTCAATTTCAGACACCTGTTCACCATCAAACGACGTGTTGCCAACCATCAGATCAAACTTCTGGGGTTGGACTTTAGCGCTTCCTAAAGACACAGCAGTCAGCTCCCTGCCTCTGGTCTTCCCTGAAAAGGCTTTCACACTTATTACCACCAGTGAGGCTCGACACAGTGTCTCCCCAACAAGGTTTATCGCCCTGCAGGTATAAACTCCACTGTCCTGTGTCGTTACCTTACAGATTTTCAGGAAGTGGTTATCTCCATCAGAGGAGTGCAGGTATTTCTTTGTATTGTGTGGGATTTTTTTGTCCCCTCTGAACCAGGACACAATAGGAGATGGGATTCCCATTAGAGAGCACTCAAACATAACAGTGGTACCCTCCGGGGTTTCCATGTCACAGATTGGATTGATGAACCTTGGAGGCATCTCTGTGACCTCAAAAGCTATTTTCAAGTCATCATGCTCCTGAGTGACAAAATCTACAGTGCCCTCCTCATAAATACTGGGTAACACGTCCAGCGATATAATCATGCTCTTGTTGTCTTCAGTGTACTCAGGAATGGTGATGATCTTAACTTGCTTCTCAAACTCCTTGACCTCATTTTCATCCAGTTCTACCTCTAGCAGAATCTCCTGAGGCGATGGAGAACGGGAGGAGTCGTTCTCCTCTACATCAAACTCCATCACATGCTGATGCGTGACAGCAGGAGGTGCTGGCATGAACCTTACCTCCTGTGACACAACCACAACTAGAGCAACACTTCTCGCTTCCCCAACATAATTCACAGCCTCACAGATATATTCTCCCTGGTCAGCTTTGGTAACATTATTAATGACTAACGTAATGTTATCACAATCTCTGTCCATTCTAACCCTCTCGTCTGCCACCAGTTGGGTTTTGTTGAAGAACCACTTCACCTCAGGGGAAGGCAGGCCAAAAACCTCAGCGTAAAATGTCAGTGTTTCATTTTCAAACACTCTTTTCTTAATTAGAGGCTTGAGAAAAGCTGGAGGGATTCCCTGCACTTTTTCCTGAAGGGTGGCCATTCCTAACGACCCTTTTCCCTGAGAAAGAAATCTATTTTCATCCAAACTTCCTCCATTTGTATCAGTTTTAACACCCTCATCAGCAGGAGAGTCGAGGAACTGAACTGGTGAGAAGAACTTCTCAGTGGAACCTGCTGTTGAGGGTCTCTTATGCTGTACTGTAGAGAAGGGAAACTCATCAGGTGTCATAAATCCACTAGGTACATCGGAGCTGGGAGTGTGGAAGGACGGTGGTGATTTGAGAGTGTGAAGGGACTCTGCAATTGGTTGTGAAACCTCAGTAGAAGAGCCGGGAGTGTAAAACCTTTCAGGAATCTCAGCTATCTCTTCGCTCACAGTACTACCAATCTCTATAGACATCTCAGATTCGGGGGTTAGAGGCCTACCCCAGTCAGTTGGAGGGTTGTAGTACTCGTACACAGCCCCAAACGTGACCTCCTCCTCCTCCATGGGGCCAGGTTCTACTGCTCCTCCCTCAGCCTCAGCTGCCCAGGCGCCTTCTGGAGCAGCTCCTTCCTCTTCCAGTTGAGAAGCAGGTGGTTTTACTGGATTGTCTATGTCCTGGTTTCGGATATTTTTTGGGCGTATGGGGTTTACATCCGCAGCATATTTTGCTTTTTTTTCAAGCCTGGCTTTATCTCCAGTTTGTTCTTCTGCGTCAGTCCTTGAGTCTGGCATACTGACATATATGCCACTGTCCATGGATGGCTCTGGGATTGACATAAACCTTTCACCAATGGCTATACTCTCATTTATCTCCTCTGAAATGGATCTCTTTTCAAACCCATCCTTGAGAGTTCCACCTTCAACCAATGACTCTTCAACTATAGCTGCATCAAGTCCAAGAGACAAATTGAAATCCATATCTTGAGTCATAAACTGTTTCTCAGTTTCAAAATGTCCAAAAATTGCTTTTGGTGCCACACCTTCCACTGCAGGAGCTCTAAC